GGTCGATCCTGTCCGGACAAACGTCCAGGAAAGCGGCGACAGCAGGCCCAAGGACGAAGTACTGGCTATCACCGAGCAAAGTAGTAAGATATCCAATCAGCTGAGGGAGGGTACTTGGGTCTAGGCGATAGCACTTTGGGATTGCCAATGCTGCGGCTTTGCGAACATGTGGGCTCATGTCGCCGCAGCCTCTCTTGATTGCCAGGGACACAATCTGACTGATGACCGGCACTCTGATTCCCGACATTGTACGAAGCGCCATAGCACGCGAATGGGGGTTCTGATCGGTAAGGGACTTTTGGATAGCATTGATAGATAGGAGCGCAAGGTCCGGTTCCGCCTCCGCATGATGGACCAAGTAGATGTAGACCAACTTCTTAACCTCAAGGTTCGCACTAGCCACGTTTTTGACCACAGCCGAGAAGAAAGGAAGGGAAGGTTCGGATCGGTACATCAACTATGTGGCGCAAAATCAAAAGAGCGTCAGACAATGGACTCTTGCATTTAGGCATCTTGGGACCTTACCGTAATCACCCGGCGCATGCCATCCAGGACCTCCCGGTCATTTCGACTATCCAGAAGCTTTTTGATGTGAGCAGTAGCCAAATTCCGAGACGATAAACCCGTGCTAGACCCCTTACTCAGGGCTGCTGACTGGGCTGCTTCGAGGGTGAGCTCACGAGCTGCTCGCACGATCAGTTAGTCGATTTGTCCAGACGCGGAGGACAATTGGCGAGCAACTGTGCCCGGGGTGACATTACCTGTTTCCAGCATCGTGGATATCCTAGAAATGGTCTCCATTTTGGCCCCGGGTTCTTTCGCATAGGCGCAATAACAGATCAGCCCTGGGGAGGGGGGGTTGTCCCTAATAGAGGGGAGCTGGAGGAAGTTGGGAGTTCCGCGGCGGCGGGCGGGCAGCTGACATGACGATTGGGTAACGTCCTTAACAACGGCTACTTTCCATCATCCGCTAATCCCACTTGCTATCTTGGTAGCCATCACCGAGGCAGGAGATTAGGAGAACTTACTATTATCTCCCCCTATGATAAATTATTAATTGAGAAATATCTAATTTCTACAAAGATTTACTATTGATTATGCTTGCAGCGAACAATTAGATCTCATGACAGCCTCCGATGGGAGGAGCTCATGCCTCGCGGCGTCATCTTTGCGTGACTGAGAAGTCGCTTTGGGGTAGCTCCATCTTTTATTCTTACGTTGTGTTTAATTTGGTGGAAGAATATTGCTGAATAGGATGATGTGATCAGCGAAGTCCAGCAGAACTTGCTCATATATCAGCACATATTTCCGAGATCAATAGCTTTCATCACACTATCCAATATGCGGAATGTCATGACCGGCCGCGCTTCAACCAGGAAATTCATGAGCGCAATTACTCAAGGGGGCTGATGAGAGGCGACTCCGATACTTGACTGACCTCCAGACACCGGACATGCCTTTGTTGAAGATCTTGACTATACGTGAACTCGAGTACAGGTCGAATGTGCATTGAGAGGGGTGATTCTAATGATTAGCTGCCCGAGCGAAATTACTGCACCAAAGAAGATAAAGGAGCAAAAGTTGATACGGTTCAACTAGGAGGCTTCAGGTCAACATTAGGTTATGGATCATGGCATGAAACTAGAATATAGAGCACTGTAACTTTGCAAACAACAAGGCCTGAAGCTTTATTACTCCCTGAAACGAAAAGGTTCTTGTCCGGTGGCACGTGGTTTACTGTCAGGAGTTTCAGAGACTTTTGTGCAGAACTAGCGTGCAGCCATGAAGTTGGCTAATTAGCTCCTATCTATAGAACGGTAGACTAGGATATCACCTTCCTAGACATCTCGGTCGTCTACATGAGTTATACCCTCGCCATCGTGAACAATCTTCTCACGATCTTCGCCTTACTCGTCATCCTGGGTACTCTGCTCGTCGTTCTGGCCACGGGCCCTTGGAGCACGGCATCGTTGTCCCTGATTTGGACTTCACGATTTAGAGGATCGCTGTCAGTGGCAGCATTTTCCAACTCTGCTACCTTCCACGCTCGTACAAGCCAGAGACAAATGCATGCTGCCATGAACATGAAACCAACAAACACTTGGGCATGCAGAAAGTTGGTCTCGTTATCAGTTCGTAGCCAAAGGGCAATCGGTTCAGCAAATGTGCTCGGGATGACCACGGAAAGCCAGAAGATCGACAAAGCAGATGGTAAGAGCTGTAAACCCACAACCTCTGCACCTACTGGAGCTACAGTAGTCGTGAAGGTTGCAGCAACAGGGCCGCTAATCAGAGCGTAGAAGATAAGGACCCCGAAATTTTTGGCAAAGATCCAGATGACGAGAGAAAACAGGCCCGCCAGGGATGTACAAGCGAGAGCGGTGTTCAGCCGTCCAAAGCTATCGCTGACGTACCCTATAACAGGTCGTCCAAGGCCTCCTCCAAGGTTGAACATGGCACCAACAATCGAGCCTTGAGATGCTGTCAGGCCTACAGTGCTTGCGTAGTCGGGGATGGAGAACAGAAGGGCCACGTAGCCCAGCACGCTAAAGCAACCCCAGGCCAAAGTGAGCAGGAACTCTGGTCTTTTCAAAAGCTCGGTATGGAAGGCGATTTGAACAGCTCCAATGGCTTTGTTTCGATCCTTCACAATGATAGCAGAGAAGCCGCACGCAGCAGCGGAGACAATCGCTAGGATACGGAAAGCCCAACCAATGCCCAAATTCTGGATCATGGCACTTGTAGCTAACGAGTAGATAAGGCCTCCAATTCCTGATCCCGCCGTTGCAATACCATTCGCAAGAGAACGACGGCGGGTAAACCACTGAGGAATGATGCCAACAGTAGCACTGAATTGCATTCCCATTCCAAATCCGAAACACAGAGCTTGACTGAGAAACAACTGCCAAATCTGACCCGCCCACGACGCACCTAATAGTGCCGCGGTCTGCAATGTAATACCAATCATCAAGGTAGCCCTTGTCCCCCATACTCGGGTTGTGATTGTTGCTACCGGCGCGATGAATTGTGCCATACTGAGAGAGAGGCCTCCGACAAAGGCATAGTCGAGGTCTGATGCATCTGGGAATGTGTTCGTGTCCAAATAATGGGCCAAGAAAACACCGTAGGCCTAATTTGCAAAGGAAATTAGTGAATTAAGACTTGCCTGGAGGGAGACCTTACACTGTTGATGCCCCAAGTATGGGCATTGACCAAAAAGACACACACCACACAGACCCAGCCATAACCACCATCAACTTCTGTTGATGCTAGTGGTTGAGCTTGCTCGGTGTCTGAGGTGACCGGTCCGTTATCGACTGGGTCATTTTTAGACAGCGCCTTCTCTGACAAGTCAGTGGAAGGGACAATGGAGTCGTGACCAGGTGAAATTGTTGTTATTGTGTGACTTGAGTCATCATGCTTCTCTGACGGTTATTCTTTGTTCATTATTAACAGATAGGGGCTGGAAAGAGAAGAGGAAAAGGATATGTTAGGAGAAAGAGAATAGTGCCACTGCTGAAGCAGAATATCGCTTAGTTAGAAGGGATGCACTGCATACATTAGTAGATGATGAGAATGCATCAAGTCTCAGCTCAGGGGCCGTATGTGAGACCGTGGCCAAGGCCAAGTTAACCAACGGTATTCGACTAACTAGCTACTATATTGGTTGAGTCATACCATCATGGTGCTCAATGTGACCATCGGCCGACAAAGAAATTGCGTTCACTGGCTTGGCGTGCATAAGCCTGTCTATGTTGTCTAGATAGCCCTGGGATCTCCAGCCATTGTTGGAATGGCAGTTAATCCTCCAGTTATCAGTTGCTCTGCTACGGAGTACATCTCGATAGAACTTGAACCAATGACTTTCCTACGTCTCAGTATGCTGATCCAGCTCCCCACCTTCTTCGCCGCCCCCTGGAAGGACTGCGCGTATTCAACTTAGTACTAGTAGTTTGTTTAAGGATGAGCACTGCCCGCTCCACTAGGCAGGGGAAAGGAAGATGACGGAAATAGGGAGGATCGGGACCTATCTACGCCCTACGGATTACTCCATACCTTATCTGAGCTAATAAGGATCGGGAGCCAGTAGTACTATCTGTTTACTCCACACGGTGGAACCTATCTGGTGTTATCACAAAGTACTTTGTATAGCGAGTTGGGGAAGCAAAAGCGGCCCCAAAGTGGGGCCGAGACCGGAGGCCGGAGACCGTCGGGGGCATCTCTGACTTGCCCTACATCTAGATGGAATAGGACCTTTCTGCCTCATTTGGAGAATCACCGGCGACAATAACAGGGGACCCTAGTAGGTTTGCCATTTATTACGTAGATGAACACGTACGATAGTCGGGCTTTTCCCCATTGCAAAGCCGAACCATCCAATCAGATGACTAGAGGAGGCAGTTGCATGCTGCGCAATTTGCTCTGATACGCGCAGCATCTCAAGCCCTTATGCACCTCAATATCTTTCAGCCCCATGGGAGATGTCTTCCAAGTTGCTCAGGATCTCCTGCTTCGGAAAGAAGTATAAGCGTAATAATTTGATTGTGCCGGAGTAATACAGAGAGCTCAGCTACTAGGTAGTAAGAGTATTATCTGCCTGCGGAGTTGATGGCGTAGGATGACAGAGGGCACAAATAAACCAAAGTGAAATTGCTTGAACTTCTTGTCAGGAATCCAGTCACATTGTCTCTTACTGCATCGGGCCGATGGGAAGGAGCCGCATCATAGGTACAGTAGGTATGTTGAGGCTCCAGCCATCCCACGCCCTTTGCCTTTTTGCCTCTACTTTGCATCTATAGAGCCTCAGAGTATAGAACTTATCTGTTTACATAGACCTCCTACTGTTTCTTTCTGTTTAGCTACCTATATCCTGACGACCTCTGTTTTGGATGCATTTCCAGCTCGCGGTTGCATCCAGCACAGACAGCTACTCCGTGTCGGAAGGAATGATGGCTTGATTACATGACCTTGATGAGAAGAGCCGGTGCGGAGCAGAGAACATGAGTACGTTATGGTGAGTGGAGTAATTTAATCCTTCTGCTCTCACTAAAGTGGCGAATGGACACCTCGCTGGCGTGATGGTGCAAGCGTGTCGCTGAAGGGGTGGTACCTGGAGAGCGTGCGAAAGCTGCTGAGGAATACTGCACTGCGATCTGTGGAAGGAGAAACCTACCGGTCAACGGTGTTCACGAGCCAAACGGCACTGTGCAGCTGAATGGCGCCAACCATACAGACGGCGAAAAGGCGGAAGTGCTTCGTGAAATGGAAGCAACGGTGGGTGCTGAGGGAGGAGATCCAGAGCTCTTCTCTGCACGTTTCGGTGAATTTGGAGGCTCGTATGCCCCTGAATCACTAATGAGATGCCTCTCAGAATTGGAGGCAGGGTTTAACAAGATCCGGAATGACCCCGAGTTTTGGGCAGAGATGCGATCATACTACAACTATATTGGGAGGCCTGGGCATCTCCATCTAGCCGATCGGCTTACGGAGCATGTTGGAGGTGCTAATATCTGGTTGAAACGTGAGGATCTGACCCATCCTGGAAGCCATAAGATCAACAGTGCTCTGGGGCAGATTCTGCTGGCCCGCCGCTTGGGTAAAACTGAAATCATTGCCCAAACCGGTGCTGGCATGCACGGTGTAGCCACTGCCACCGTCTGTGCCAAATTTAACATGAAGTGCACGATATTCATGGGAGCAGTAAGTCCGCCGGCTTGGAACAGCGTTTGCAAGCTGATAACTAACAGCTATATAGGAGGACGTCAGGAGACAGGCACTTAATATGTTCCGAATCAAGCTCCTTGGCGCCGAGGTCATTCCTGTTGAGCAGGGCTCACGAACTCTTCGAGATGCTGTCAACGAAAGTTTCTGAGTCTGGATTACGAGGGTGGACACCGCCTATCATATCATCGGTTCAGCGATAGGTCCACACCCCTTTCCCACAATTGTGCGCGAGTTCCAAACTGTCCTTGGGGAGGAGACGAAGGCACAGCTGTTGGAACAACGAGGCAAACTGCCGGATGGGGTTGTTGCCTGCATTGGTGGGGGCAGTAATGCAATAGGAATGTTTTATCCGTTTCTCAACGACCCAAGCGTGAAGCTTATGGGAGTCGAAGCCGGAGGCGATGGATTGGATATGCAGAAACATGCCGCTAGTCTGACTGGCGGCAGTAAGGGAGTCTTGCATGGGAGCAGGACATATGTGCTGCAGGATAAGCACGGACAGATCCAAGATACCCACTCCATCTCAGCTGGACTGGATTATGCTGGCGTTGGGTAAGTAGGGACTGCATCCATGGTTTCTTAGTGCGCTACGCCATGGAAGAAGAACCCATGTAACTGACCAACTGAACAGGCCGGAGTTGAGTTCTTGGAAAGACTCAGGACGCGCAAAGTTCATTGCCGTTACAGACGCTCAAGCCCTCCTGGGTTTCAAGATGCTTAGTGAGATGGAGGGTATTATCCCCGCTCTCGAGCCAGCTCACGCTATCTACGGCGGTGTCAGGATGGCCAGGAACATGAAAAAAGGCCAAGATGTTGTGATATGTGTTAGTGGCAGAGGGTATGTTTTTCACTTGCACATTGTAATTCGTACTCTAAACTGACTTGTTTGCCAGCGACAAGGATATACAGAGTGTGGCGGATGAGCTTCCCAGACTTGGACCACAGATTGGATGGGACTTGAGGTTCTGAAATAGACCTACTAAGCGGCGTGTCACTGTTGTCTGAACTTATCATTTTGACATCCCATAGTAAGTCTTAATGTAGTTGAGATAACTAGTATAAGGTCATTTCATTGCAGTTGACCAAGCTGCGTCATTGAATTCATGAAGCATGAATCATCTAATTAAGTTGGATAGATTTAAAAGACCCCCTTGTTCTAGACCAGTACTTATATAGATGAAGTCACGTTGAATAGTCTGCCAAACGACCAATAACATAACTGGAGTGGTAGCAAATAAACGCACCAATCAAAATTACCATCACACCAACGACTCAACTTCATGCATCAATCCACCCTCTCCAACACCTAACCCAACTAGTAGTGTAAGGTCCTAGATAGCTTAGCGCAAGTAACGCGCTCCGCAAATTATCCATCTATTCATTTACATACTTCATAAATAACTTTCTAAAACTCCACCCCAATAATGATCAGAACAGCCCCAACCCGACAAATCTACACCACCAGCGACCGTGTAACAGATTTCCTCCAATACATCATCACCCAAGATGCTCCCACCACACTACTACTCATATGCTCAACAAAAGAGCAATTCTTAGAGCATTTATTACTCGCCTCCTCCTCTTCCTCCTCGGGATCAGGAACTGAAGAACACCAACATCATCATCATCAGATACTCACTAAAAACACCATCGGGGTGCTCTCTAAATCGAGCAGTATCAAGATAGTGTATTGTCCTACGCTGGAAAATCTTCGAGCGTATTTGTCTGTGATACGTTCGCCGGAAGGGAAAGCAGCAGCAGGAGGAGGCTTGCAAGGAGAGTTAATTACAGAGGAGAAGGAAGAGCAGACGAGAAGAACTCCATCTCTGATGGCTATCCTGGGCCCGTTGGCTCTACATGTTCCTACTTCGGAGTTCTCTGCCCAGGGGTTGTCTAGGACGTTTGCGGCGGCGGTGGAGGTGGCGGATCGAGAGGGGATGGATCTTGTGCTGTGTGAATGTAGGGATGCTGTTGATTCTAACGGGGGTGGGAATGGGAGGGGGGAGGTGTTATGGCATACGCAGGTGCCGCTGTTGAACAGCTCTGTGCGGGTTGGGGAGGAAAGTACTTCGTATCGAGGGGGAAGAGTACCTGTCAAAAGGGTCCTGCAGCGGTGGTTTGAATTCAATGACGATGAGGCTCCGATTATGGACACTACAGACATAGACGTTTGATTTGAAAGGACAGCAATAGAGCAAAATATGTGCTATGAGACAATATAAACCCCCATAATCAACCGGGTATCCTTAAACCAGTCCTAAAACTCCCGATTTGACACCATAATGAATTCCCAAATTTATAGGCATTTCTCCATGTCCGTGATATAGAGTTTGATGTGTGACTCCAACTTCAAGTACTCATCGTGAGCGCTTTGGATTTCGCTCTCAATGTTCTCCTTGAGATCGGCCATCTGGATGGAAATTAGTAAAGCATGCAAAGCCGAAGGAAACAAGAGACATTTACCTTCTTCTCAGTTTGTTCGATCCGGATTCTCCTCCGCTCCATGTCGCGTTGCTTTTCAGCTCGCTCCTCCCGGAGTTGTTTCTGAACTTCCCGGAGTTCCTCCATGCGCGCCTGCGCTACTTCGGCTTTTTCTTGAGCATTTTTTCGTAAAGCCTCGATCCTCTCATTCCATCGTGCCAGCTGCCGCTGCAGCAACTTCTCGGTCTGCTCCACTTCCCTGACATTATTCCCCCGCTCTGAAATGGCTTCTCTATTCCTAGAGGCCCTTGACTCTTCATCATCTTCCTTTTGCAGTTCCACGGATATATCTTCGAGAAGGCGCACACAAGCTTGCACGTCGTTACTAACGACCGTAAACGTGTCTGATGATGTTTGCAGAGCTCTCGCTCGTTTCTCCATCGCGTCGATTTGCGCTTTCTCACGAAGGAGATTTTCCGACAATTCACTCAGCGACGACTGGAGAGAGATGGGGCTCTCCATAACATAGGGACGCAGTTTCTCGACTTCTTGTCGCGTACGAACGACTTTTTCCGTCTTCTCCTCAAGCTGCGCTTGCCGTCTTGCCTTATCCGCCTTGGCTCTTTCTAGCATCTCGGCCACTCGCTCTTGGTTTCGTCGCAATTCGAGTAGCCGTGCTTTCAACTCGTCATTCCGTCGTACCTTCTCCTTAACCTGTGCCTCGTTGGCCTTCAGAGTCCGGCGCATTTCCTCGAGGCGCTGCTCCATCTCCTGGTTCTCCGTGTACAGGGTGTCAATGCGCGACTTGACCTTCTCGCCCTTGTTGAAATGCTCATCAATAACGGGCGTTTGAGATTCGCGGAATCTGACAAAGTTGATGAGGTAGGAGAATATCTTAACGAGTCGATCATGCGTTGGCTTGGTGAGATCGGTAAACATAAAATCATTGACACCACACTATGTTTCCATATGCCGTGTTAGGTTCGACTGAGCTCATCTGTTTCAAATAAGAAGCGGGTTTATACGCACCTCCATCATCAACCGCCGTAAGCTGGTAAAGAACCCCATGAGGTTGCGCGTGTCGGTAGGTACAATGTCGGGGTAGTCGCCACAGATATCGTCCGCCGCCGCTCGCATCGCTGGCTCGACGGTTTCGCGTGTCATATTCATAAGGAGCTCGGCAAACCATTCAAAGACCATTTGAATCTGTTGCGGGTTTGGCTTGATCAAGTCGGCGGCGGTGAAGGGGATGCCTATGTCATTAATGCATCCTGCGATTTCCTTGTCCGGCTAATAGCAGCGTTAGATATTGTAAGCGAAGAGGCCTTGTTCAACTGCGAACTAACCAGGCGCATAAGAGCATCATTCTCATCCTCCTTCTTGCGGCCTCTATTGTGGTGTTGCTGGGAGCCATGGAATTGCTGGCTCATTCGGCTGCCGTACGCCATTGTTTCTCACAGTCCAAGCTAAGATAGTGAGCCGCAGGAATCACTCGAACACGATCAAGGCAGAGTGGTGGCGAGATTGATGCCCGCTCGATGGATGTTATGATGATTGTTTACTGCGCAGGACTCGCATGGCAACCAGAAGCGGACTAGCGCGGTCGGAGAGGGGCACTGCGGACAAACAATGCAAACCTACTCCACGCTTCCCTTTTTCGATGACTCTTTGCGGCGGCCACAGCGGAATTACCTGTGATTTGTAAATCAGTGTTAGAGAGAGCTCTTTTGCCGTGAACGCGAGATTTTCCAGCTCACGTCTCTCAGATCCCCGGCGTATCATAGCTTCTCGGCGATTTTCAGACATCATGGCAGCTCCCACATCAGGCTCATCGGCCGCCGCCAAGCCGTTCGAGTAAGTCACCTACTTCACAACCAGGAAGTCCTAGTCCTTTGGATCACTAATATATCTTCTTTCTAGCATTGTCGCGACGTACAATGACTTGCTCCGCTCCGATCCAGACCTCACTATGCCAATTGCAGCTATCGAAGCTCTGGTACTACTCCTTACAAACTCTCCCTCCTCGACGATATCCGAGACGCTCGACCTTCTCGAGAAATCCACTGCACACCTGAAACAGTCGATCCCGAACCCCATTGGTCTCTCTGCTGGAACCGACCTCTTCCAGCGATACCTGATTACTACCCTGCAGAGACCCGGACAGCTCGGGCCCGCAGGTGATTTCAACGCGATCAGGGCGCATCTTCTGTCGAACGGACGGTTGTTTATCAGACGTGCAAAAGAGAGTCGGGACAAGATCGCGGCGTTTGGACGAGGCTTTGTACGCGATGGAAGCACGGTTCTGACGAATGGAGGATCACGAGTTGTCGCTTCGTTGCTACAGAAGGCCGCGGACGAGAAGGGCGGCCCGTCAGCCGTGCGGTTCAAGGTGATCTATGTCCTGTCATCGGCGAAGGGGACTGGCGCGCATCCCGATGAGCCGGAGGGTATGGAGACTGTGCGCGCTCTCCGGGCGAAGGGTGTTCCTGTCGCTACGATCCCGGAGTCGGCTGTTGCCTACTCGATGGGCAAGGCCGATACTGTCATCGTTGGTGCCGAGGGTGTGGTTGAAAACGGTGGTATCGTGTCGCGCATGGGAACCTACCAGATCGGTCTTCTTGCGAAGGCTATGGGCAAACCCTTTTACGTTGTGGCGGAGAGCCACAAGTTCGTCCGTATCTACCCGCTCAGCCAGTATGATTTGCCTATTGAGCAGCGCGTGATCGACTTCAAGACTGAAGAAGATGTCGCCGACGAGGCGAAGCAACAGCAAGCTTTGTCTACGGATACAGTCGATGCCAAGGCCGTCAACACGGCGGACAGCGCTGATGTAGTTGACTTCACTCCCCCACATCTGATCTCTGCCTTGATTACGGACAGCGGTGTTTTGACGCCAAGTGCGGTCAGTGAGGAGCTGATTAAGATTTGGTTCTAATTCTCCATTTCCATTCCGCGCTCTTCCATACAGGCATGAGACGTGGAGCTTGTGTTGTCTTTTAAAAACTAAATGAAGCGGATTGGCGTTAAGGTCATGATATCTCCGGACGCTCAAGGTGTTTATTGGTTTGCAATGTGTTGTCTATCTGCAAATCTCAAAGAAAATACAACTGAATAGATCTAGAATTACACTTCCGACAGGAAACGTAGCAAATATCTACTAGTTCTAATGTACAATATATTGCGGAATCCCGGTACATTGGCTAAACCACAGCCACACCCGCCGCCAGTGTTTCATGCAACACTAAGATAATCATAGAACATCTCACCGCTTTGGTGATGTTTCTGTTTAAGGGGCAGATGTAGTTGGCTACTAGTAGTCAGCATACCTGGCTATGAATTACGTAAGGAATCTGACGCTGAAGCGTGAGAGGCACTGCTCGATACTTGCGTCATAGTACTATGTTTGTATATTGTAAACTATGCAATTTGCGGGGGACATTCTGCCGAGGTTATCCTCATTCAAGGCAGCAGGCGGTGAAGGAGGCAACTGACTTGCCATATTAGGCTGGAAGTACCAAACTACGTAACTAGTAAAGGCTCCCCTTATGATTTCATCCCGCGATGGGCATCCTATCCTGTTCATGAACTCCTACCATGTAGTTTGTCCTGCCCCTGCAGCCGCCATTGGCTTTCTTTTTCTTACTGTACCACGCTCCAAGCCTTGTTCATGAGGTGTCATCTGTCTTACTCCCTGCATTCAAGCCTGTACACCTGATACCGTTGATCGCAAAAGACTTTCCGCCCTACGCCTCCTTGTCTCTGCGCGGTTTCGTATTCGTTTTTGTTGATCGGCCGCTGCACGAGCCAGCCTTACCAGCCCGCGGTCATACTCCGTCTCTTGCTATAGGATCCACCTCAAACGTCCAGCAGTCAACCCCCTTCCTGTCTGTGTCAGCTTTCTGCATGTGTCAGATTCCGTTTATCTATATAACTATTGGGGTGCTGGCTCTCCGGTTCCTTGGATCCATGTGAAACGACGAATTTCTCCTATTGCTTCTGTCTCTGCCCGCAGCATGTCTTCGGCCGTTCAACCGCCTAATGGTTCCCCTTTACTACGGCCCCGTGCCGTTCCGGGGACGAAGAATCTAGACGATTTGACAGCAATTTCCCCCTTGGAGAAAGCTGATTCGAGGCGAGTACTTGCATATACCATTACTACGAATCCTAGAGCTAATGTCCCATACTAGTGGTCGCTCAACGCCGGTCCCCGACGATGCTCCTCCCTCCGTGCATTCAATCTCCACGGCAAGAAAGCAAGCCCGAGCCCGGACTCGAATTTTCTATACAATCGATTATGTCCCTCGAGTATCGCACTTTGACCCGCGGAGCGAGTACCGCGACTTCCGCGGCTTCTATACCCTGTTTTGGATTGCCTTGTTTATCATGGTCGTTACTACGATGCTTCGGAATATCAAGGATACCGGATATCCTCTGAGGATCAGAGTATGGAGTCTGTTGTCTGAAAATGTGTGGTCCATGGGCTTCAGCGACGTGGCCATGGTGGTCAGTAGTGCAGTGGTCCTGCCGCTTCACCATCTCATACGAAACAGCGGTAGCTTGTTGCGCTGGGGAAGAGGTGGCATGGTCGTGCAAAGCATTTTCGAGGCCGGCTGGGCCATTCTATGGATCAAGTAAGATTGGCATCTCACTGTACCTTTGGCTAGATGCAGAAGCTAACCATGCCCTAGTTGGCCATTTATGATGCGCTGGACCTGGACGGCCCAGGTCTTCTTCACCCTCCATACTCTAACCATTCTGATGAAGGTGCACTCCTACGCGTTCTACAACGGCCATCTGAGCGAGACGCAACGTCGACTAGCGTCGCTCGACAAGCCCGGGAAAGTCTCAATGGAAGCGCCAATCCCATACCCGGATGCATCCCCCCGTCGGCGCTCGGTAGTTAGGCGTGCGAGCCACCATGCACGCTCCGAGTCAATCGCTGAATTGCGCGAGGACCTGGCCACAGAGCTCACCTCTCCATTGGGGAATGTCACTTATCCTCAGAATCTTACCGTTGTCAATTATGTCGACTTCATTTTCTGCCCCACTCTCTGCTACGAGCTGGAATATCCTCGAAGCAAGGAAAGACGGTGGATCGAAATTGGCTTGAAGACTTTGGCTATCTTTGGATGCATTTTCTTATTGACATTAACAAGCGAAGAGTTTATCCTCCCTGTCCTGACCGAGGCCAACATTCAATTGCACAGGGTGTCAAGCGCGGCCGACAAAGCCCTGATCCTTGCAGAGACCATCAGCATGCTTCTGTTCCCGTTCATGGTCACGTTTCTTCTTGTGTTCTTGGTGATCTTCGAATACGTTTTGGGCGCTTTTGCGGAACTAACATGTTTCGCTGATCGTCACTTTTACTCGGACTGGTGGAATTCCTGCGACTGGTCAGTGGAGACCTATAAAGCCTCTTTGATGCTGGCTACTAATCTGGCCACAGGCTCGAGTTCTCCCGTGAATGGAACATTCCCGTTCACCACTTCCTCCGCCGCCACGTATACTTCCCCTCGCTATCGAACTTCTCCAAACCGGTCGCCATGTTCATCACTTTCCTCGTCAGCGCTATTGCCCACGAGTTGGTCATGAGCTGCATCACCAAGAAGCTCCGCGGCTACGGATTCCTAGCGATGATGCTCCAGCTACCGATCGTTGCAGTACAGAAGTCCAAATACGTCCGAGGAAAGACGACACTCAACGTATTTATTCCCTCCCAATCATGACTTCTCAAAAGCAGGTACTGACTCATATTCCACAGAACCTCTTCTTCTGGCTATCTATGATTTTCGGACTATCACTAGTAAGTCAACCACCTACCTTACACTCAAAAGCCAAGGGGAATAATTATCCTGACCTATCACAGATGTGTGCGCTGTACGTCCTCGTCTAGACACACGAAGTCGAATTTTCCCGGTAGCTGTTAGCTACACTCAACTCCCTGACCTCTCTAGCACCATCATCCTGTCCCAGACCTGTAACATACACTATTGGACGGATATCACTTGTGGTACCTGTCTCTTATCATTTCACTTACATATATACTACTATACACACATACATGCATGTTCAATTCAGTTTTATATATACCCTGCTTGTTGTTTTGGCATTGTATATCATCAGTTTGGTTTTTTGCACATATTTCATCCTTAGTATATCGTCTTATTTTTCTTTTTGCTTTCTTTCTTATTATTTTGCTACCGTTTATCAATTGTATCCCGCGCAAGACTATCTTGCGTTAAGAGAAAGACACTAGACGGTCTATCCAAATGTTGATTCTAGAGATGGACATGTGTATAACCCCTATTATATTGATGGGTTTAGATAAACAACTAGATACAGGACAAGAAGGAAACGCCACTTGATTAAGTCAGGTGGGTCCATGATCCCGACTTAAATACTCTAAGCAGTTGGATCCAGCTATACCTAGCTAGTACTACGGATATTACTTTCCCTATATACCCACTTCCCAAATATACGATTTGTCGTTTATGACTTCGAATAGAACAAACAAATCTTCAAGACACCAGCTACACAAGGCCCAAGCGACAAAAGGACCTAATAGATACTATTGTTTCACAGAAACAAACCCCACTCCCAGCGGCTTCGTGCCTGAGTGCCTGACTCTATATCCAATTTGTGTGCCTAGAGCAACGCAGCCAAACGCGAAACGCCGTTAATGAACCAAAGATCAACCAATGATAAAGGTGCGCCCATTCCAAGAACCTGAAGCACTTGTATTGCGAGAGCGATAGATAACCAGTATCAAACAAAACCTGATGTGTCCGATCCGTCAAGGATAAGACACGTGACGTCACCGATCAAGGCGACGTACTCTTGATTTCAAGTTGGATGTATGATGTGTATGCAAGATGATGTGAGCCAAACAACTTACATATGCTCGATCGGCTCTTCAGGGAGGAGAATTTCTCGGTCGCGGCGAGAACTAGGAAGGCAGGCTTTGAGTGGGGGGCGGACAATGTCGTTGAAGAGGAAAGTTCCGTAAACGAGGAGCGCGAAGCCGACGACTTGTAGCCATTTGAAGGTCTCCCAGCCCAGAGCGAGGGAGACGAGCCAGATGAAAAGGGTCCGGCAGGTGTCGATTGTGCTGCGGGAAGTAGCGGATACGGTGCGGGTGACGGAGAGACCGAAGAAGTTGAATCCGCTGAGGCAGTCGTGGTTAGTATGCTGTAGATGAATAAGGAGGAAGGTTGGGAGGAAACTCACCCAATGCTAATCATAATCAAGAAACTGGACATGGCAATTGCTCGGTTGTTGAAGACCTGGCTCCATCCTTCCTTTGCATCGAAGTAGCCGTAACGGCCGGCCTCGGTGCGTCCAATGGTCAAGTACAAGATGATCGAGCCGATGACGGTGACAGAGAACCCGAAAATACCTTCCCAGCCAACAACCTGGAGGGGGTCCATTTCATAGTTTTCCAAGATCCACTCTTCCAGGACGAATTGGGACGCAGTGAAGATCTGGGCTGCAGCTATAAGCAGCACCCCAACGACAGCTTTCAGTGCTTCCGGAGACCGCGTTGTGGCCTGGATTTCCCTGATAGCATGGTTCATGACGGTGGCAGCACTTCCTTGGGTGACGTCGTGTCCTTGGTTGTCCGCGAAGAGGGCCCCTGCAAGACCGACCAGAGCAACACCTAGGACCACAATGAACAGCGCCAGCCAATGATAGAGATGAAGTTTGCGGTGGAGGAAAAGAACACTAAAGAGGCCGACGAATAAAACGAGGGCGCCGCGAGTCATCTGGTAGACACTGGCAGCGACGAAGAGCAACCCGACGTTCATCAGAGTTGTGCCCGCAATGTCGCAGCATGCTGGTGCAGCAAGAAGAAAGATCCTGTATCCACGAAGGTGAATGCGACCGTCTGCTAAGGTGGCGGGCTTCGTGACATCATCTGAAGCTTCTGGTCCTCTGATTGTATAATCTTCCTCCTCGTCGAGTCCTTCAGTGTTATTGACAGGGTGATAGCCACCAGCTAGAAGAGGCGAAGAGTTGTTGGACAAGCGCGGGGCAATGTACTGTTGATACAGATGGGTCATGAAGATCACCAGCCAGCATCCCATTTCTCCGGTGAACATCTGGATACTGCCGTCCAAGGGAGATTGTGAGCCGGAGCATGCAAGCTAGCACAAAGAGGGGAATGCCTACGTTTGGATAACAGGTTGCTCAAAGGTGCGACGGTATTTGGGAGAGGGCGAATCGCAATTCCATACACATTGCATGTCCTGTTCGTCGGGTGAGCCAAGAGATATGGTAGACCACAGTAAGGAAGTCCGACCTGGTATTTGTTAAGGATGGTATTGCACACCCCAGTGACGAGCATCATCGTCACCAGGAACGGAACAGCAGCCTTGTTCGCCATGATGCCCGGAGCCTGATAAGAATATGGGGGGACAAAAAGGTGGTTGTTGAATGGTACGAAGCAGGGGAGGAGGTAGAGGAGGTAACTAGAGCGATAGATAAGCCACTCGGTGGCTCACGTGGGTGGAGTGATAAGGTGGTCACAGGGAGGGAGGGTGTGGGTTAGTTGGCCAAGTCCGGAAGCTGATGGTGGGTGGGAAGGCGAGAGAAATTCAAGGTACATTCAAGTCGATTGGCAATGAGAGTCTTCAAGAGAAAGCTAGCAAACCGGGAGCTATTGAGCACCCATCCTGGAAGGCCGAGGATACAAGATGGGAGAAACACGGAACAAAGCAGACGAGGATGATGGAAGATGGAGGGAGAGAGTTCATGGGGAAAGAAGAGCCACAGCTTCGGTGGACAGGCGAACCTTATCGGCAGCTGATCCCGGAGTGGGTCTTGTCACGGGTCCGTATGGGGCGTATCATTACGGCGGACATACGGACAACCAATAACTACAAAATAACAACCTGTAGTGGTGTATACCTGGGGATAACCTGAGGACGCAGATGCGAAACGTATACAGATGGAATATTGGTGTAATTAAAGCTAGACTAGATGGTGCTTCAGACCAGCCATGGGATACATCCAGTTACCCTCAGCCCTATTCTTCTTCAGGCCGTGGCAGTTCTCACTCTTCAAACCACCCCCGAGAGAGCCTTGCTCCCAGGGCGACTCAGCAAATAAACCCTCTTTTTTTATCGCTCGCTCCATCCAACGCCGCGCCAGAAGAATACCGACCAGTGAAAAGGGTGAAAAAAGAAGAAAGAAACACACAACATGTCAAGCACTAGAAATGACAAGTCCTCCTCGGCTTAATGTACAGTAATCATTCGTGGTCCATGCCAATTGACATGGTAATCCGCACGCCTTTCGCCGGCTCAAATCATAAAACGCTTCTCATCACATGGTACCTTCCTATATCGCGCAGATCGCGATGCCGCTATCGTCAACGTTGATCGCCCCGTCTTTGCGCTCGACCAGATCCCAATCAAATTCCTCCCACGGATCCGTCATCATAATCCCATCTTCCAGCCGGCCTGGGAAGGCAACCCAATCCGCTGGAAGCCAGCTGCCCTCACTCCCTTCGTTCTTACCACTGAGATCATCCGTCTTGGGAAGCTCAGTATCCTTGGGGGTTTGGGTCACGAGGCCGGTCTCAACGGAATCCGGCGTGTCTTTCGCTTGCGTGTTGGTAAACATCTCAGGGTTAAGGAATTCGTCCATGGCACCGAATCCAAGGCCGCCGTCATCGGCAAACTCCATAAAGGTATCCTGTATCGCGTCGAGGGAAATTGCGCTGTTTGCCCACGGGTCTTGAGGAGCCGCGTCCACGGAGGGTCCTGGCTCGGCCAATTTAGCCGGCTCCTTCTTGCCGTCTTTGCCGGCGGTTGGCTTGAGGGGAGACGGCACTGCCGTTTTGGTCGTGGACGTGCGAGGCGTCAATTGTTGATTCGATGCTGGCGAACTAGGCTTTGGCCCTACTTGGCTGGTAGCTCGCCCCATCGGAGTCGCACTTGCGGGCACTGGAGTGGCCGCTTCGAGTTTAACCTCGTGCTTCGAAGGTGACGAGGTTGCAGCGGCCTTGCCATTCACGAGCGGGATGCTCTTCATGTCTTGAACCCCACTCTTATCTTCGTCCTTCACAAGGCAGTTGCGGAAGCTTTCCAGGGCGAACTCCAGCGGGTTCTCAATCGGCTCTTCAGCCTGGTGGGCCTCTGCGATGTGTTTGTCCAGGGCGTTTTGTGCCGCAAACCCTTGGTAGTGATGCTGGCACTCGGGGACACTACACTTGAAGGCTCCACCCAAGGCTGCTCCGTTCGCCCGTGCATCGGCCGGTTTTCCTGCCTGCGCCTTGGAAGTTGGCGTGACAGAAACGGGTGTGGCACCAGTTTGAGACTGCTTCCGTTTCTTCGGGGGAGGCAGTTTCAGCTGTTCCGGGGGAATACTACCCGGACCGTATGCATGGGGAACACCTTGAGGAGAAGGCGCTCCGAACGGCGCTTGTGGGATGGCAGCAGCGCCCGAAACAGTTTGGCTGGAGGCTCGGCGGGCCCGCTGAAGTGCTTCCTCCTGCTGTTGCAACTGCTGGAGATTGCTTGCGTTCAGGGCGGGCATGTTGGGTTGGCTGGCCTGTTGCGCAGGTGCCCCCTGAGAGACGCTGAGCCGCGGGCCTGGCATCTGTTGGCTGAGACGCGCAAGCATTGTATGGAATAGCTTCTTGATAGAAGAGGTATACATCGACAGATATTGTGGCGATATTGTGTATTGGTCATTGAGAGTCCAATCAGGCCCTGCTTTGAATTGCCTCATTAAGTAGACCCGCTGGAAAGAATCGTCAGTCATAACCGAACCTCACATATAGTAGAAAGGGAAAGCAATCGCATAACTCACCATTGAAAGTAAGCTGTGCACATTCTTCTCTTGTCCGGGAACTTTAGCCATAAATTGGATAAGAGTATCCATTCTACTTAGGTATCCAACGATATCCCGCAGCTGCTGCGTCATGGTTGCCTTTTGCTCTGGCGTAATGGGTGCAGGCTCCCCTGGAGGAGTGTTTCTGGCAATTTCGTTGTACAACTGCTTTAATTTTTCTGGCATGTTGTTCCATTGCTCATCTGAAGTCGGTCTGCTGACGGGGCCCCGGCTTTGGAGTTGTTGCCTGCGCAATTGTGCCTCGAACTGTACGCGTTGCTGGGGCGTCATGGCAGCCAACTGCTCGCGAGTGAGAAGCATATTCGCCTGTGCTTGTGTAGGGGTTGCTCCCACCTGAGCAGGTGCAGGAGGTGCGGGTTTCTGCGAGGGGGTGGATTGAGGTTCTGTAGACTCATCATGTGGCAACTTTCTTTTCTGCGCCTGCTTTGCGACAGGCCCTTTCGCATTCTTGCCAGGCGGTACAGGCTGTGCCTGAGCCTTTGTCGTCGAACTTTGCTGGGACTGTTGCGCCGTTTGTTGGGAGGGCTGCGGCTCCGATTTAGCTTGAGGCATCGAGGGCGGCACAGTAACCGGTGGCTGCGGTGCCGATAGAGATTGTTGTTGTGCTTGCTGGGCGGCAAGGGCCTGGGCTGCACGGCCCTGGGCCACCTGTATTTGCTTCTGTCGGTTTCTATGAAGCAACTCGCGGAGTTGATCATCGCTCAAATTCTGTACCTGACTGCCTAAGCGCTGGCGGGCCAATTGAATATCTTGCGCGGAGATGGGACGCATGACCGGCATATTCATTGGCATCTGCTGCTGGCCAGCTTGGAGCTGTGGGTTCATCAATGGCTGCGGCTGCCCCTGGAACGGCGTCGGCATCCAAGGTCCTTGTCCGCCCTGTTCGGGGTTGCGAGCATTCTCTTTTGACTGGGCAAGAATCTGTGCGAGATGGAGTTTCTGCAACGCCAACAGCTTCGTGATGTCGGCGCCTCCCAGGAGTTGCGGGTTTGTGGCCGCCAAATGCTTCAGCTGACCCCAGGTCTTGATATTCTTCGGAACAGCCGAGGAGATGTTCGGATTGTTGTTCAATATCGCGGGAGGGAAATGCAATCGATCCATCTCTTTGACCTGTTCGGGAGACATCTCCATACCGCCGCTATGCGCACGAAGAAGCTGGAGCTTATAGAGATCCTGCTGGCGCTGCTGTTGCTGCTGTTGCTGTCGCTGTTGGACGGACATCTGACCTGGCAGCATCTGATTAGGCGCTTGGGCACCACCCATTCCCGCAAGCTGTTGTTGCAGATTCAGAGACGCTCGTAGGTTCTGCCCATTCTGCATCTGGCCGTTTATCATTTGGCCATTGACCATCTGCTGGCCTTGATTAGACTGCGATAGATTCTGCTGCATGGGCATAGACTGCTGCGAGGCGTTTGCCCTAGCCAGGGCCTGGTTGTTCGCCAGCGCACGCCGTTGATGGTTCATGAGAAACACGCTTAACTGTTCATTGCTCAATGCATTGAGTTGCTCCTGAACTTGCGGGGGGAGGTTAGGTGGTATCTGTGGTCTTTGCATAGACGGCTGTCCGTTCATCTGAACGTTACCAGGCTGTTGTCCCATGCCCTGGGGTCGCGATGGAGGCCGGACTTGCGCTGTTCCTTGTGGCGGAGAAATCTGACCGGGAGCCATTGGCCGATTCAACATGGGCATAGCCGGGCTTTGTTGGGACATTTGATGCTGCATACGCGCGCCAGGTTGGTTTTGTGACATGGCGAATTGTACTTTGGCGGCTGCTTGTACCCGTGCTTGGTCTTGTGCCGACTGAGATTGCGCCTGTGGCTGCGCCTGGAATTGAGATGCTTGTTGAGACCTATCCTGCGGCATAGTCTGTGCATTCTGCACATGCTGCTGGGCTAGAAACTGCGGGCTTATTCCGGAGCCGTTCATATTTCCCTGCGCGCCCTGACCAAGCTGCTGTCCGACCTGGAACATATTCTGCGGTGTCGTGAAGGGTTGCTGGTTCATCTGCGAGGAGCTCGCGGGCACCACAAGTTGGCCCGCCTCCTGAGAGCGCAACCCATCCGCCTGTTGCCCCTGGATGTTCTCAACATTTCCGATGAACGACGACGGATCCAAGCCCTGCTGCCCGCCTACCGAGAAGGAGTTGCGTTGTGCGTTCATCATATTCTGGAACATATGCCGCTGTGTGTTCATCATGGGGTCGCCCATCATGGCACCGTTGGGATCAACCCCAGCACCTGGAGGGCGAATATCACTCCGATTCTTCTTATATCTCTTCAACTGATTGAGTGCCTGGGAACGGAAGAAGTAGGTGATCGGGTCCATGTTTTTCCGTTGCAAATACCCCCGCTGCTCGGGCGTCATGTTCTGCAGGTTCATCTTAATTTTCTCGAGATCCTCTGGCGAGGTCTTCGAAATGATCTGACTCGCTATGCGACACACTTGCTCGTACTCTGACGCTGAAAGGGTGTTTAAATCGTCCGAAAGCGCTGCGCCATTTGCAGGCTTTTGTTGCGGGCGCTGTTGCTGTAATAGGTTCTGATGTTGCTGCTGCGCTTGCTGGCGGTGTTGCATTGCAGCTTGTTGGTTCAGGTCACCCATGCCCATCGACATTTGCTGTTGTCCGGGCAAAGGCGATGCTTGCACGGGGCGATTCATTTGAGGGTTGAATGGCGGCTGCCCCACTCCAGGCATCCCCATGGCTGGCCCTTGGGGCATCATCCCACCTTGCATAACGGCTGCTTGTCTGGCACGAGTATCGCGAATATGAAGGAGCTTCTCATTGCATTCCCTTTCGTAGTCGGCCTGAAAGACACCATGATTAGAGCCCACGTCACACAAGGTCAAGGGAAGTAACAGCATCTACCTTCTGACCAGCTTCTTTGAATGCCTTCTGTTCGAAGGTCAAGGCAGCATGCGCAGCATTCTGCATGTCTATACGAGGTTGTATTAGACGCAGTGAGGTAATCCTAGGAGGTGACGGATTAGCGCGGGCACCAGTCACTTCTCAGTTGGAGAGAGGGGAGGGGTCCAGGTGAAGTTATTTTGAATCAGGTCAGTGACGACAGGGATGCGCATGGTGGGAACCTACATTTGGTACACCTTGAGTGCTCGCTCTCTGATGGGAACTTCCGCTCGCCATCCGGAATATTGGCCCTGTGCCTGCAGCGCCTGTGCGACTTGCTGGAGGATTATTTGATTATTCTCAGGCTTGGCCGGAAGTTGCATTTGGCCATGCGGCTTAACTCCGCCATTCATGGCCCCGCCAACATTGGGGAAGTTTGCCGGATTCATGTCAACAACCCCCCTCAATGGGGATCGAGGAGTAGTCCGCGCAAGCCGTCCGTGGGTGTCAGCATTCGCCGGCGTAGATGCCAAGCGCTACACTATGCGATAGAAGAAATTGTAAGTCAATGTAGACGGGCGCTCTTCCAGCAGATGTTCGTCGGTGCGAGAGATATGTGGGATGAGACCGGCGGTGGGGCCTTGGGGAGGCACGAGAGAGAAAGGGAAACGGGTAAGACGATGCAGATGAGTCTCGTCGCAGGTTGATCGCGTCTGAGACGGTTGAGTTGGTTGCGGCGTGGGCTTTGCTGTAAAACCAGGTAGATGGGGGTGAAACGAAAGAGGACGAGCAATAGGAACAAGCACGGGACGGCAGTAGAACACGGGGGACCAACGCAGCAGGGAAACAAGGCGTTCGGGCACCAGTGTTCAGACAGAGCGGTTTCGTTGGCAGATGCCCGGGGGGAGTGGCTTGGGGGGGGGATGTCAGACTAAGCAGGATTGAGTCCGGTGGATGCTGGATCAGTGACAGGGATGTTGCAGTGGCACTGGGCCAGTGAGTGCAGAGCCGTTCGTCTCGATGACTATGGAGCTTCCCGGGGCTCTAAGAGGTGGGAGGATGGGTGGCAGGACGGGGAGAAATGACGAGGTAATTTCGGAAACCTAAGCGGGAAGGAGGAAAAATGAACAGGTTAGGATGTTGCTTCCGAATTACAACAGAAGAACAAGAACGAGAAGGCAAAGCATCCACCAGGGCAGTAAGTTCCCAGCGTTCTGGTTTGGCAGTGAATGAATGCAGAAGTGCGCAAAAAGCCGAACGGTCGGAAAGAGGAGGACGCTAGAGTCAAGAAGGGGATCATCATACCTGAGTTTACAGTAAGACAGGTAACCCGATAACCAGCTAGCTGCACGGTGGCGTGTTCGGCAAGCGTGTCAGCTGGGAGGGCAGGATTAGATGTAGAGAAAATGAGACCAGGAAAGAAGGGGGGAAGGGAAAAAAAAAGAAAGGGCCGAAGAGAATAATAGTAGTAATAGCAATAATAACAAAAAGAAAAAGAGAGGAGGTGTGGTGGTTAATGAGAAAGGAAATAAACAGCCAGAGAGGAATCGGTCTGAGAAACTCGAGTGGTAAAGAAAGAGTGAGTGAGGGTGGGAAAGGCGGAGATCGCGAAACCAGGGAATTAGACTAGGAAGGGAGGAATAGCCGGGTTATGAAGAAGGTAAAATTGAGTGGGTAAAAAAAAAAACGAAAAGAAAAAGAAAAATATAATCAGAAAATAAATAAAATGAAAAGATAATAAAAGAAGGGAAATCTTTTAGAAAAAAAAAAAAAAAATTGACAGCAAAATATAATAACCACGACCAATCCCAATATATGGGTAACAAAGGGGAGAGTTGAGGAAGATAGAGGGAGGGGGGGTGTGGTTAAGGGAGATTGAAGGTGGGAGGAGGAAGTTGAAGATCCCGCTTGAAGGAGCGCGAGAAAACGAGCGGGCAAGAAGGAGGGCAGGCGATGCTGGCTGGGTAAGGAAGTCTAAGTTTGGGTGGTGGTAACGGTAAGGTAATTGATGGATGAGGTGTGCCTAAGGCGCAAGTTTGGCTTAGTGTGGCCGAGAAGAGCCAGACTAACAGACTAACAGGTACTAGACTTCCCAAGGCCCTTCTTGGGGATCTGCCCGTTGGTGCTCGTCGTCGGTCGGGCGAGGTTAGGGAAACTTAATTAGTCCCTCAACTAGGACCAAGTGGGTATCTTTTTCTACTGCCGTAGGTCCAGAGTGGGCTGCCTGCTTAAGGTACATCCTCTTCCCGTCGCTTGGTATTTTAAGGGAAGTAAGTAACTAAAGCAATAGATACTTCTCCAAAGATTAACTACTACTAGTTGTCTGAAGTCTTGAGTAGAAGTAACTAACTAGTACTTTGTATTAAACCAAACCATACTCATATTCTTTCATCCAATGACTCAATGTAGTGAAGGTCCCTTTCTCAGTCTTCTGACCCGGTGCTCCATCCATGGATTCTTCTCAAAAGGTAGATAGAAGCAGTGAGTTAGTGTCGTGCGAATGACGGCTGCAGAGATGGGGGACCGAAGCGGGCCATCTTTTCCTTCTCGGTACCCGCCCATTTTCAGTTCATCATGACTGGCTCTGACTCTTGACTGATTGAGTGACTGACTGAGGTGACTTGACTCCTACTTAGTACTACTTACTGACTATCTGTCTACTTACTAGTACCGTATTGGCCTGGTCCGGGTGACTGGCTGAAAGGGACGCAAGGTCTGTCAGGCCAAGAAATGTTGGTTTCGCAGACTTTCCGGATCGAATCAATGCTTCATGCTTTTCTTTCTTTTCCTCTCATTTCTTTTTTTTTTTTTCCCTCTTCTTTTCTGTTCTTTTCCTTTTTTTTAATTCACCCTACTCTTCCAATGGTCTCAATATCCCGCACAGGGGCCGACCATACTTAGTACACAGCCTGAAGGAGTAGTTGGTCAGGTCCCCGCCCCCTTCCCCCCCTCCGCCCCAATACCTGATCCAATTAATGTGCATGAACCTTTGGAAATAAAAAGGCTCTTTTTTCTTGTCTTGATGTTTCCGCATTGAATACGGATGTCCTCGCGCCTAAGTGAATTATCCACCGAGTCGGTAAGTCGTCCACCAAATGGGAGGTTGTCTCTCCTTTATAATCTGAATATTACTACGAAAGCGGCTGCCTGGTTCCATCCATAATTCCTACCGCTACTCAATCGGACTTTCTAGAGGCGCGTGTACTCTTTGCCCCACTACTAACAATCCCTCTGGTTCCGCGGGACGATAGCCTACCCAGGGACTAGATAGCAGTCTAGTAAATAGCCTGCACTAATATTAAAGAGGGCGAGCTGAAGTCAGAAGAACTGCATTCATCCTCAGGTTGGATCCACTGCATTATATATCCAAAGTCGTGTCAACTGAAATGATGTTCCTGCATCCAACCAATTCAAGTAAAAATCGTAATAGGAGCCTGAACCAAGCTGCCTGTCTGTGCGGATGGAAGTGCGGTAAATAGTACCGTCCTACAATACTTGATCTTTACGTTCCGGTTGTTGCTTTCCGGTCTATCCACTGCTAGCTCAATAAAAAGAGTGTCTACCTTGCAGACATTGGACCAAATGAAGTAATAGCACATAGCGTCCGTACGCGGCAGACCAAAAAAAGACTACTAAGTTCCGATGCGCGAATCGAAGCCATGGCCATCTGCCAGTCGACCGTACGACCTACTCACTAGGGTGACTGTGGGTGTCAATGCTGTCCCCCCTCTTTCCAATCCATTTCTATTGTTTGACAACTTGATCCTCTACCCTTCAATCAATTTGCTATAAATGTAAACATGTTCCACTATACTCTTTTCACACCACAGTTCCCTTGATCAAGACGAAGCCATGCTAAAATCGATATCTCTGCATTCAAAAATCTGGTTTATGAACCCGGGGAGGAGAGTTGTTCTACTATGGACAGAGTTTGGGTGGCGGGTAGTCTTGAAGGTAAGGCGTTCCTTCAAACTTCAGAGTAGAAAGAGGAACGAAGTGAGCAGGGAAAGCGGCGGCTGAAACACGCGGTGCTTCGGAGTGGTCCGGATCAGTATTGTATTCTCGATGTATTGACCATGAACTCTACCACTGTAGATATGGGGCAGATATATCATGGCTTAAGCTTAAAAAGCAAGAGCTATGTTTTGAGAAGAGAAATCAAGCAATGAGATGTGATGATATATCTCACAACACCAGCGTGAGCCATCCATCCTTCCCGTTTCACCCCCCCCCCCCCCCACGGGTGACCGACCAGGCACGGAGTCGATCGCAGGCACCGCCGTGATCATCCGTCCGTATCCATCGGGCTAGTGTCGAATGCGGGCAAAAGCGTCAGCCAAGTGGACCTGACTAAACAGTGCCTTAAAGTACTCGTCCGCCTGTTGCTTCTTTTAGCAGCGGGACACGTCAGGTGATACCACGTGACGCGGGTGCTGTCGTCACCAGATGGATGCACTTTGATTAGCATCGACCAACAACGACGAGCTTTGGGAAATGAGATGATCCATAAAACTGTCCTCGTTTCCATTATCGACTCTCTGTCTGTCCGGTCCCTTTTTTCGCGTCCTGTCTAACTTCCAAAACCTTCTTTGCATGCTTCTGCAACCCCCCTGGATCTTTGGGTCAAAAAGTCCCTCTTTTAGTTGACTTACGATGATTATTATTGATTGACTGATCCGATCGATCAAGACCCTGGATTTCCCCGTACTAGTTACTCCTCCTACCTCCTTCGTCCACTGCCGCATGTCGAACGCCCCTCCAGAATCGCCATGATTTCCGCATCACCTGTTCCCGTGGGGTCCAGCGTCTTTTTCACTTTGGCCCTCCTTACGATCTCCGTGCTAGTTCTGTTACTTCTGCGGCGCTTTCTCACTCTCCGCGCGACTCCGGCCTACCTTTCAATCCCCGTCTTCCTTGCACTCGCGCTTCCGGCCAGTGTAGTTCTTCTGGTCCCCATTGACCTAGCATCAAGCTCACGCGATGGCGGAGGCCCCACGGCTATCTGGCTACCCGACCGCCTAATTCTCGTCTCCTGGCGCATTGCTTACTGGCTAATCTTTGTGCTGACATGGTAGGTGATGTGCAGCACGATGTATCCGGTCGCGACCGTCTCAATTTAGATCAACACTGACTCTTTACTTCGTCTCAGGGCCATCCTTCCTTTACTCGGAGAATACATTGATTCGGGTTACCGTGACCCGAAGGGTCGCATTCAATACTCCATTCGTTCCAATGCGCGGTACCAATTGATCGTGCTGTGCTGTGCAACGGTCGGATTAATCTACATTTCGATCCAGAATGGCTTTGAATTCACCTCGATTAAGACGCTAGTGATGGCTCTTGCATATGTTTGGGGTCTGGTTCTGGCCATCTATCTGATGGGTCACGGACTTGTTTCCATTCCCCGCACGCTCTTCCGTAACTCCAACGTCAGTGGTCGTCTGCGGAGGATCCAAGCACATGCTCCGAAGCTGCACGACCGTTTGATGGACGCGATCAATGACCTGGAAAGCCTGGAATCGCAAGTCGCCCAACTGCAGCGTCGCAAAACGGGCACCGCTCGTGATTTTCAAGAGTGGATTGATGAATTGGCAGAGACGTCGAACCCGCCCGAGCTGCGTTCGGGGCTCTTGGAACAGGCGGATGGGCCCGGCACTATCCCTGCCGTCATTACTGAACGTTACCTTGCGGACTTGACCCGTCGTCTTCAGCGCGCTCGGCATCAAAAGGCTCGCTTCGTCGACGAATGGGATCGCTTGGTCCTATCCGCAGCAGACATGCAGGCAATTATCAATTCGTCGGCTTCTAAGAAGCTCGAGTTTATTCACTCCCCCTATCGATCATCTTGGCTCCCGAGCCTTAACTTTCTGAGTCCATACATGCGATACCATCTCTATGTGCATGTTATTCCAAACGTGCGACTTGGACTAGGCGCGGTTTTCTCGGCGGCGTCCGTGTGCGTTGTCTGGTCGGAGTTGGTCAAGTCCTTGGCGCCTCGGCTATCCGTCGTGACGCTTTCTGTGGTTTCCTACCACAAGGAACCGGCGCCGGTCGACTTTGGGCGCCAATTGATTGCCTCTGCTTGGCTGCTGTACATGTGCTCGGCAGCATTGGTGGGTGTCAACGACGCCAAAGTGTGGGGCAACCGTGCTTTGGTCCGCCGAAACACGTACGGGGAGAGTGCCTGTTGGTATGCGGGGCTAGTGGCCAGACTGACCGTTCCCATCGCATACAACTTCTTGACCTTTTTGCCTGCGACCGTCCGGCAAAGCACCACTTTCTACAAGTTCTTGGGCCGGTTCATTGACCTTACCCCGCTCGGAAAGGGCTTTGATTACTTTTTCCCGGTCTTCATTCTGGTTCCTATCGGTGCCACGCTTTTCAACCTCTACGGTCGCGTCCAGAATATCTGCAGCTGGGGTCTTCTGGAAGAGGATGATGATGACCTGGAGAATAACCCCGGTGGCTACGGGCTAGGCGGATGGCGAGAGGGACGTGATCTTATCGACCGGGAGCTCAACGGCCTCGGCTCTTTGGGACTCTCCCCTCGTGGCGGTCGGTCACCTCGCCCGTCCAGTCGCATTGACGATGACACGCCAGCGTTCTCCTCCTCCCGCACCGCACTCCTGGAGAATTCTAGAACCCCTCGAGCCTCCAGGGGAACACCAGCCACCACTCCTTTAATGGAGGATGAGGATGAAGATAACTTTTTCCAGTCCTTTGCTCACCGAGTAAGAAACACTTTCGAGACCGCCAGCAAGCCCCAGTGGCTGCAGGGCGACTCCTTCCGTCTCCCCAGATGGATGGGCAGCGAAAGCAATGAGGGCGATAGCGGGCTGGCGAGGTGGTTTGGTGGTCGACCAGCACCTGGCGGAGTCCGACTGTAAGAACACTGACCGGTCGGTAATGTAACCTGACTTGCTGCATGGCGAAGGCGTTGCTGGTAGACACTCTTACATGGTAATGTTTATAGATGTACATAGTATATATAGCTCTGAATGACAGCTTTGCGCTTATCCTGTATACTCTGTAGACTATCCCAGCCGCTATACATCTAGCCACGGGAAATACAGTGTCTGCCATATTATGTACCCAGTGACTGGATACTAACTAGTATTACCCAACAAACACCCTAAGTATCATGAATACCATTGACATCAGCATCTACTCTTGCCTGCAACTATTGCAGTCGAAAACCATCTCATCTCATCTAGTATCTCTCCCGGTCACAGCGGCTGCGGGGAAACCCAGATAACCTGCTACCCACTCAGCTACTTAGTGCCATGTCGATCACACTGCAGGCGTCAAGTAAGCAAGCTAGTCTACCATGTCCAGCATGATACAGCAGCTAAGTAGGTACCTGACACCCTGCTGGTAATATCATATGCATATGCATATCGACTTGACTAGACAAGGGGGCTCACGCAGGATGGATGGATAAGCCTGTTAGGCATTCTAGGGAAATGGTAAGAGGAAGAGCACTACTTCTATCACTGCATACGGTTTATTGGTATCCTCTTAAAGAAGTATAGCACTGTTCCCGTTGACAGGTAACCCCAGGTGAGGAACTCAAACACACTACATACATATTGAGAGGAACAAGTTCTCCAAACCCACTATGTGAAACAAAGTCTATCCGGTCGCTCGTTCTCAAGCCAAGGTATTATGTAACTACCGTATTCTGCTGGTATTATACTGAATAAGTTCTGACTACTTCTGACGAGCGGGGTCGGTGCCCTGTCCTCGTATTTGTAGCCGTAGTCTGACATGGCCAGCCTTGATCTGGAACGTGTCGATCGGCCAGTACACAGTAGGTAGTAACTTTCATTGTGACCTCTAGAAGTGTTTGCCACTCAGCAGCTGAGAGTTCGCTGCCTATAAGGCTCCAGGGGAAAATAATAAAGATAAGCAAGCGTGATAGCTGGAACCTGACCATACTGGGGAAGGAATCCGCTCTTAGATTAGGCGGTGGATTTGTGCGATAAAATAATAATCAAACCCAATCTGACGTGCGCAGTGCATTACCACGTGCGATCGATCAAATGGGCTGGTAGCCTATGAACAGGGGATAATGTATGGTCTTGTGTGCAGGTTGATTGTGTTTGGTCTGTTAGGTGGGAATTTAGTACTCTGATGCGGGAGATTTCTACAGTGATGCTTTAGTAGGATAGTATATAAGTATGCCTGGGCGGGGAAAATATAAATTGAGTCACTGGCTTGGCAGATTATGCTTTTCCCCTGTAAGCCTTGAAGACCACATGGTGTGCTCGTGTTGTTATTTATCGCGTGAGGAGGTAGAGAAAAAAGCAAAGAGAAAGGCACAGCGGCCTTGTCAGGAGATCATAGTAGTAACTACTGGACAGTAAGTAGGGACTGTCTGCCTTGAGCACAAGTAGTAGTACTAACACCAAGTAAGTTGACTGCGCAACTCCGATGCGGGCAGCTGCTCCACCGCAGGATTTGCGGCTGCGGCAAAAAAAACGCCCTCTCCGCCTTATCTGCCTGGTCCGGAGCTAAAGTTGGCCATCTTCCATGACCTCAAACACGCCCTTCCCCTGTCGTCATCCCCCTTCATTGCCTCGTGCCCTGGCCGTCAATCCATGAGCCAGCTGCTCTCGCACATTTCTCTGTCCTCGCTGGGCGAGACGTGTGCATCCTACTTAGACCACGTCACCACCAACCTTCCTCCGTCCTTGCACTCTCTCCACCATCAGCTCGTCGCCACGCTCTCATCAGCCAAAGACTCGACTCCCCTGCGCCTGCTTACGCCTTTGCCCGATCTACTAGCGGACCACACAGACGGCGCATACACCACCCCCGTCGCTTATACCCTCCTCGTTTGTACAATTGTCGTTCTCGTCATGTCCTGGCGCTCTCCGTTCGCCAACTTCTGGCGCCGCGGTTACACCAACGTCGATAACACTCCCCAAGTCACCGACAACGACTACAGCTACATCACACAAGATGATATTGTCGACCCACCCGCAAACACGTATCGCAATCAATATGCAGGGGCAGAAGATACCGAGCCCGACACTCTTATTCTGAAACACCGCAAGGAAAAGTACGATCTGCACTTCCCGGCTTACGCTATCAACGACGGCGCCCTCAGCGTGGGTCAACTGAGACAGCGGGCAGCGGAGGCGACGCGCACCCCTGATCCGAAGCGGATCAAACTCCTCTACAAGGGGAAGTTGTTGGACAACGACTCGCTGCCGTGTCGGTCGGAGGGTCTCAAACAACAGTCGGAAGTGCTGTGTGTGGTCTCCGGAGTGGAGCCCGGGGAGAGCTCACCCAGTGAGTTGTCCGAGGCGGAGGCTGACAGGAACGCGGATTCCGCCCGTCAGGAGGTATCTGGTCGCAAGAAGTCAGGCAAGAACAAGAAGCGCAATGGCAAGAAGAAGAAGGGTGGAAAGCAGGCTGATGGCTCAAATACCCTCCCACCTCCTCCCGCCGCCGCCGAACCTCCACGCCCGTCCAACGGAGCCGGCATGCCGCCCCCGGCGCCCAATTTGAAGCTGTTCAGCAACCCGCTCGACCAAGTGAACGCACTGTCGTCGTACCTGCAGCGGGAGCTCGTCCCTCTCTGCGAGGAATACATCACGAACACACCGGCGGATGCCAAGTCACGCGAGTTCGAGTATAAAAAGCTGACCGAGACGATCCTGGCGCAGGTTCTTTTGAATGCGGACAACATCAACCCCGATGGTGTGCAGGAAATCCGCGATGCGCGTCGGGCACTTGTCAAGTCAGCTCAGAACGCGCTCAATAGCCTGGACCAGGTGAGCAGGTCTTGAGACGTCGCGGCTGGTAATTATGCAACTTTTGCTCTATTCAATTTTATTCTTTTTTTTTTTTTTTCTGTACATGAGATGGGAATATTTCAGGGAAAGATGATCATAATAATACAACGCAATAGAGAACATTAACCTTCTGCTGTTTTATTTCATTTGCTTTGCTTGGGTCTGTCGGTGCCATCCAGGGGTACTTATCTAGAACAGATAGATTCCCTCGTGCATCGAGACCGACCACGACTGAGTTCATGCTGCACATACATACAAATGATGCGGATTTACCTATGATTTGCATGGGACGGCGTCCGGATAATAAATGAATGGGCTGGTGGTTGGGGTGGTTCCTTGCAGGATATTGATTGTGATAGTCCGTACAATATCACTATCTTTCTACCACTTGCTTACACACATTTCACACATACATAAGTAGTTACTGTACATGTGGACCACGTGTTCAAGAAAGTAGCGTTCGGATGCGGTGAACTAGATCATGAGCGCAAGATACTCTCCGAGCCGACCACGGTCTCATCAATCAAGGAGATCCTGGTTGGATTACACCCTAAAAGTTCAGGATGACCTTGGTCAATCCAAACCTTGACGTGATGTTGAGCCTGTCAGCACCCGTGGCGTAGATCAGGCTGTCGCCACGGAGCAAAGCCAACTGGTGATTAGAAAGTTGCTGGTTGGTAATGGGCGATACTGGTACTGTCTGGTCAGACAAAGGCAAGGAGGTTATTACAGGTAAGTTGTGAATTTACCTGACTTTTGGACGGTGAGGCTAACAGAACCGAGCTGGGACTAACACTGCTATTTATGTGTTATCTTTTCATAAGGGATTGAGTTGTGATTCCTTCTGTGCAAGATGCAGATATTCGGTATAAAGGCATGGTTTCTTCTTTTTATCCCGCGGGACTGTAAGTGGCAGGGATTGGGCAGATCATACTAACGGTGTCTACTTGAATACAAGTAGTCTAGTAGTGAAAGACGTAGCTGGCGATGGGAGATCTACTTACTACGGAGTTAGTACTTAACTACCAGGCGGATCCTGAACTAGTGGCCTCGCTTAAAAATGCAAGATGGGAGAGATGTATCACACTCCGATCGAGAAAACTAGAAGATGTGACTTGATTAAGTACGAGAGTTGGGGTCCCCCTTCCCCTTTAGCCTCGGTTGGCGTTCTCGATGTCATATCGACCCGTCATTGGGGAAATTGCATATTGTATCTATCTAACTACTACTTGGTGCTTAAGGCAGACAGGCAAACAATAGGCTGTTTTTTCTTTTCAATCTTAAGAATTGCCTTGTAGATATTATTTACTCATGAAGTAAGATGGAAGCAATGTGAGGGCTCAGCTGCAGGGCCTTAACAAAAAAAAAAAAAAAGTCCAGAATTAGATAGACTGCACATGGACGTTGACGGGGAAGGAGGGAAGAGACAGTTTTGGTGCCAGTCAGTTGGGAAACGATGGGATCGACAGCGAGATGCACTCCTTTTGTGTGTTAGTTTAACACAGTTTAAGCTAGAGGCATTGCTGGGATTTGTTCTTTTCTTTTTCTAGTCGGCGATGGTCGGAGTGATTGGCCAGACCAGTTCTAGGCTTGTCTGATAGTCGCCGGGAAGCTAATCCTGAAGGAGATTGGGGACTTTTTCCCCCCGTGTCTCTCTCTTCTCTCTCTGTCTGGCTGCCAGTCTGTCTCTCGGTCTTGGTCTCGACATTATTATCTTTCTCTCTCTCTCCCGTTTCTCCTCTCCTCTCCCCTCCCCTCCCATATTCTAGTCCTTCTTCTTCCCTTCCATTCGGCTTCTTCTGGGTTTGGTCCCTTGGACAGTGCACTTCCTCTATTCTTTTCTTCCTCTTCTTACCTACTTATTATCTATCTCTATTGAGCTTCTCTTTAATCAGCTTCCCCAGGTGTCAACGAATCGATCCTGACGCCACGGGTCCAGCCACATCTTCTTGCAACCACTCCTTTTCCTTTGGGCGTCCTTCCCCTCCTCTTCCTCCGCCTCCTCTCTTTCTTCTCCTCCTCCTCCTCCTCCTAGTCGCTTGACCCTCGACTCTTCTCTACCCCTCATCGAAACTCATCATCCTCTCTCCTATCCATTTATCTTCTTCCCCCCCTTAATTATTCCATTTTCTTCCAATCCCCCGAACGGTTCTGATTCTCGGATCCCGACATTGCTAGCCGTCTGCCAACCGCCGTCGGCCTATAATAGTGCCCAGCCCGGAGTTACGTCCACGGTTCCCATCCCGCCGGTCCCTGACTTCCTCTTCCACCCCCGGGGATTACATATTGCGCTGCAATTTTAAGGCTCCGGATTCTCCACTTCCCTGGCTGTTTACGATTTCCTCCTTTCGGAGCATCTCTCGTGTTCCGCTTCCACCCTCCCCCTTTCCCACCGACTCGTGCCCTCTCAACCGTACTACATCTCCCAACCACCTACCCCTCACATCGTACATACAGTTGTTGGAGTCTCGGCTTAGGGGGTATTCGAGACAAACGGTCCAGCACAGTTGGTGATTCTGGTCTGTGCGCTACTGGGATGGCATGATCGGGGAACAAGACGGGAAGGGCAAGAAAAAAAAATTATTCACCTAGTGACCAGACTCTCTTTAATTATCCTGCAAGCACGTTCGCCGCACCACGGGTTCCAGCTGGCCTGGCCTTGACCGAATCTTAATAATAGCTGTTGGAATGGCGGGGACAGCTACCGCAACTTACACGACAGATGTTTGGACGTCACCCAGCGTAGATGGGGGTCAGTGGGAGTATGCTGTCCCGATTCGACAGGATGTAAGTGTGTTACAATCCCGACATACCTTTCTGCGGTGCTCTGGTGCAATTGCGCCGATCGTTCTGGCATCTGCGGGCTAAAGCCGGACTGGCATGCTAACCTGCGATTCGGTAGAGTACTAAGCATCGCTCAAAATCACGGTCCTCCCACGATTCACACGCCAGATCTAGGGAGCGTACTTCCAAGGGCTCTCGCAGCTCCTCACTGTCGCGACACGCCTATGCTCACGAGCACTTGACCTCCCGGGGCCGCCCACAAGCTAGCCACAGCCGACGCGGAAGTGAGGCAGGCAGCTCACGCTCAATCTACGGACACGATGTAGCCAGTCGCAGCGCCGGCAATGTGAAGGACTCGACGGATAGTCTTTATCGAAAGGGGTCGGTGAGACAAGACGAGCGGAACGAGGGAATGGGGCTGTATATGGACGAGCTGGACCAGGACAATTGGATCCATCGCGACAAGCTGGCCAAAATTGAGAGTGAGGAGCTGCAGCAAGCCGCTATTCTACTACAACGTCGGGCGGGTGAGGGCAACAAATCGCGCACAAAGAACTATGACTTGTATGGAACGCCTGCCACCTCTCCGCCGACCGAGCAACTGGAGCCATGGCCGAGTTTGCACGGCGATTCCCAGCTCCGAGAACATAGCGGCTCTCCGACCTTCCCAGAAGAGGGTGAAGAGCGCGACAGATGGGATCCTCGTCGACCGGAAGAGAACACGGCTAATGGAGCGGCTGGCTTCTATCGTAACCCCGGATTGCGCAAGAGCTCGTCGCGGATACCCATTCCCTCGGGTATTCCTGTACCGATCTCTCCCAATCCCGAGAACGGCGGACGGGAGTTCTCCAAACAGCGCAGCCGCGCAAATACTAACGGGGATGACGATGCTTTGTCCTTCGGTATGCCCCGTCGGGCCAGTGAGCCAATGTCGGTGGACTCTGCCCAGAACATCACTCCGGCCGGGAGCCGGCCTGGCAGTCGTGGGAACACCCTGCAAAATGCGGCGGGTAGAAAGACCACCAAGGGCGGTGCTACCAATCGCAAGACGTCGGCTCCTCCGTCAACTACACGAAAGGCGACCCCGAGAAGCCGGGCACCGTCGAGCACGTTGCGGGCCACTAAAGCCGCAGAAAATCGTCCCATTAACCGGCCGGAAGGCGACCCTCCATGGCTGGCGACGATGTACAAGCCCGATCCACGTCTTCCGCCTGACCAGCAGATTCTTCCCACGCATGCCCGACGCATGCAGCAGGAGCAGTGGGAGAAGGAAGGCAAGACGCCTACCACGTATGATCGGGAGTTTGCTCCGCTAGCCATTGGGCCAGACGGGCCGAAGCCCACAGAGAAGCCGGCACCGAAGGAAGAGGAGCCGGAGCCGATCGAACAGAACGAAAAGGAGGAGAAGAAAGAAGTGCAAGAGCCACAGAAGACCCCGAATTTGGAGACACCGTCCAAGGAGTCGGGACGGCCGAACTCAGGCACCGGCTACAGCACGATGCCGCGGGTACAGGAACCACCACAGGCGGCACTGCAGCCGAAATGGAGCCCGCCAGTGGTGACCGCGCAGGAACCGCCGCCGAAGGAGAAGGGCTGCGGATGCTGCATCGTGATGTAGGGGGAGGACGCATTCGTTTTGAGTGGCATATGTCCGTCATTTAAGATACCTATTTCCTGCATTGTGGATTTGTTTTTTCAGCGAGCTGGGTGGTGTTTGATCTGACTAGGATTTTAATAGCTATCCACCTTCTTACTTCTTGTCATTCCTTGGAGAGATTTTTATTCTCATTTGATTCCCTATTGCTGTTGATTCCTGCATTGAGCGGTCATTACGACATCACGCGTCTTTCCTTGAACAAGCATTGTTTTCTTTGTGCATATCGTTATAGACAAATAGTTCACCACAATGACTTTATATATCCCACTACAATCAGTATACAGCACATACTCCTGAATACTACTAGACACCAATTCTAGAACCTCCCCAGAAACTATCATTAATAAGCCACCACCAAGCAACCCCCTCATTACATAATCACCCTAGCGCACCTTGCGTAATCCGACCATCCGCTCTCCTCATTCATCATTCATTCATTAATTAATCCCATCCTATCTGATCGATTCCATCATCCCGCGAAACCTTGATCCATTCCACCAAATCTTATAAATAACCCCACTTTCCCCCCTCTCTCCCCTCTTTCTTCCTTCTTTTTAGAATAGACTACCTGTCAATACCGCCACCATTTCCTCCATCTTCACTCGTCTCTTCGGCTCTTTTGCCGCTCCTTCTCCCACCATGTCCGCCGCCGCTAAGACTAAGGCCCAGACCTTGATCAACGAGAATGGCGTTGGTAGGATACCTCTCTGCTTCTTCTATCTCACATAATTAATTGGAGATGAAGTATATGAAAAGAACTCATGCTAATATGAATTGATGATGGTTGTTGTAGTCGTCTTCTCCAAGTCCTACTGCCCCTACTGCACCGCAAGCAAGAACTTGCTGAATGAGCTCGGCGCGAAGTACACTACTCTCGAGTTGGACCAGCTGCGTAAGTAACACTTCCCTCACCTCACCCTATACCTTCTATCCATTTTACTTTTCTTGAAGTTTATTTTTATGGGGAATCGTGCTGATATGGGGGTATGTAGCCGACGGAGCCGACCTCCAGGACGCTCTCCAGGAAATCTCCAACCAGCGCACCGTCCCCAACATCTTCATTAGCCAGAAGCACATCGGTGGAAACTCGGACTTGCAGAGCAAGAAGGGAGAGTTGAAGGGGCTGTTGGAGGCTGCTGGGGCTTTGTAGATCTTTTGTCTATGAGTTTTCTGCGAAGCTAAGAATATGTGATTGGGGGAGTAATGATAGATCGATTGGTTGATGATGATGATGCTATTCAGCTGGTTGAAATCAGATCATATATAATACATACACTACACTACATAAATCCTTGAACCAAAGGAAAAGAGGGGATTATACAGTTCCAACTGGCCTCTCCACCACCCCCATAATCCCATCCACGACACTCTGTCTGGCCCCCTCACTGGAGACATTCTTCCCCGCCAAATAATTCATCCACACCAACCGACTGATCCTCTCATCCTTCACCCGTCCCAGATACCGATCCGGCACTGCATCCTTCCCACTACCACCACCTTGTACCAACACATCCAACTGCCCCTTCGCCCCTCTCGCCAACACCAACACCTGTCCCTTGGGCACACTCTTCCTCTGCCCACCTCCAAACAGGCCCTTAAACTCCCCCATTGCCTGTCCAAACTCCTCCCCTTCAAACTCTCCCCCGCTCTCCTTATTATACTTCTGCGCCCTACCCGTAATCCCCCTCACCCACCCATCCCTCAAATGCAAGAAATCCGTATTCCTCGTCGGCACGACCCGGAACGCCGTCCTCAACCCATCCTTCCTCAGCAACATATCCCACGCCTGCTCCCCCTTCTCCGCATCCAACAACAACTCCCTCAACTTATCCCTCTCCATCGACACCAACGACGTCGCCGCCGTAGCTCCCACCTCATTATCAATCACCGACTCCGTCCCCTTTCCAGGCGGATGCACCGCCGTGCGCACAAGTCGCGATTGCAGCTCCGCCAGATCCTCCTTCGCAACATACAACCCCACCACATACACCTGGAAGTTAAGGAACGAGACAGTGCGAATCCCCAACCCTAGAAGATGGTATTCCTCCCCTTCTCCTTCCCCAGTACCAGTACCACTCTGCGTCGGCAAATCCGTCGCAGACGCAGGAGGATTCTCACTCTCCAACCACTTCGGCAGATGAATCACGGCCGGGAAATGCGGGATCGTGCTCGTTCCTGTCTCCACTTGGTCGGTTGTGCCATCGGCGGCTTTGATGTGCGTTAGGGTGGGTTTTGTCGGGAAGCCCGTGCTTGGGCCGTCGAGTTTGGTCGCACTGCTGTTGCTGCTGCTGGCGTTTTCGATGTCAATGCCCTCGGTGGTACTGGTGGGGGTTGCTTGTTCCAGCCCGAACACGTCGGCTTTGATCACTCCGTACATCCCGATTGCGCATACGATCATCCCCGTCGCGGAGATGTACATCGAGCGTTTGCTCCGCGCGAGGTCCTGCTCGCGGCTGCGGATGGGCCGGGCGCTGCGGAGGGGGTTGCTGCTGCCGCTGGCAGCGGTGGTGGTGCTGGAGCGGAGGGTGCGGGTTGTGCTGTAGAGGCGGGTTTTGGGGGGGTTGGTGGATGCGTGGAGATGTTGGGCGCAGGTGCGCCATTGAGTGCGGGCGGCGCGGAGGGAAGGGGGTATCGGTGGCATTTTGTGTGTTGTGTTGGGTTGGGTTGGATTGAATAGTTGGGTTGAAGATGGATGTAAAGTCTAGTCTGGAGTAGTATGGGGATGCGGTGGAGGTGAGCGGATCGGATGATTAGGAACACGTGATTAGAACTGCCCTGATTGGACGGTTGATCTAGTATAGGACTTGAGGGGGAATTATGGGAGGCGAATTCATGCTATTTTGCTACTTTGTTCTTTTGGTAGTGAGAGTCATGTCTGATCTGCTACTGCACCTCCACCTTGTACGTTCCACCTCCGCTGACCGTCACGGTCGCCGTCGAGTTGGCATACTGCACTCCCCGGCTGATCTCCGTCCCGTCGATCTTGATAGATGGCTTCGCGGCACTGACGAACGGCAGCGTGAGGTTCCCCTGTGTCCCGTGCGGAACCGTAAAGTCGAGTGTGTATCCCTTGTCTGTCTTTGACCATCCAGCCTGGAACTTTCCAAGCGACGTCGTGAATCCACCTTCGGCGGACTGCAGATCGACAAACTGCGGGGCAATGCGCCAGGTCGCCCCCAGTGGAGATGTGACACTGATCCCCACGATGTAGTTCGTCAGCGCCGACGTCGGTCCTGAAGACCAACCGTGCGAGTGTGACACATATGCCGTGTCATAGTAGTACCCGCGGTCAGAGCGGTAGCCGAACGTGCCGTTCTGTAGATAGCCTTCGATGACCGTGCTCTGTGTGCCGTTCGCATTGTTGTAGTACCATCCCCAGCTGCGGCGGATTAGCTCCAGTGCTCGTTGCGGCTGCCCCACGGTCAGATGGCCCTGGATCTCGAACGATGAGATGAACGGAGAGATGTTCTCTGGCAGTTCGGGTGCCACGGCTCCAATCGGGGTCCAGTTATCCGTTAGTCTTTCAGAAATGCTGGCGGCCCGGTCCGCATCCACGACCCCAAAGAGCAGGGCCATGCTGTTCGCGTCTTGAGGGTGCAGGGTGGTGTCGGTGGCGTTGTCTTTGAATGCGCCGTACGATTCATCCCAGCAGTATTCGTTAATGGCTTGACGCAGCTTCTCCGCCCGGCTGGTCCAGGTGCTGGACAGGTCGCCTGAATCTCCAGCCCAGGTGGCGAGCTCCGCGCCTGTGTTGAGGGTGTGATACAAACTGAGATCATTAGATGGGAATAAATGCAAGGGTAGGAATGACCTACATCATCTGCGCCTCGGAGTTGTTGTATCCTTGCTGCCATCTGGCCCAGTCGCGAGTACCCGTGACATTCAGCAAGCCGCTGGGATAAGTCACCTTACCGTAGATGTAGTCCATGGCCTTCTGATATCCCTCCCAGTTTCGCTCGAGGAAGTCGCTGTCGTTGGTAAAAAGCATGTAGTTGTAGGTCCCCACCATTGTCCACATGTGGTATGTATCCGAGTCTTTCTGGCTCAGCGGTGGGCCAGACTCGTCGAATGCACCTGTCGAGTTGTTCTGCATAGCGTTAGTATCCGAGCAATAGTACTGTCGCTTTGATGTGATCTTACCTGCGTGTCATACATAACCTGCAGTGCATTCTTGACACTGTCCAAGTCGCCCAAACTCACAAACGCGGAAGGGACAGCAATCCCCATGTCACCCGGCCACACTGCACGGTCACGCTTCGCTCCGTCGACAATGATCGTATCGCCAGGTCCAAGGGTGCAATTATTCGCCCAGCCTACGGCCATCGCTGGGATCTGCCGCCCCGTGTCGGTCGGCACCTCGTTCGTCTGCAGAGTGTAGGCACCAGTGTACCAGATCTTGTTGAGCAAATCGTCATTGGAATGGAAGTACCCCTGGTAGGCCTTCAAATTGGACCAGGTAGGCTGAAAGCCGATCTCCAAGCTCACATCCTCGATTTGGATGGTGGAGTTGTCGCTGGTGATCAAAAACAGGGTCAGATAACGAAATCCACCACGCAAGCTCTTATCCGGCATCACATAGTAGTGACTTCCGCCCTCGGTGAAATTGCCGTAGAGCGCACCATCAGGGCCTTTGAAGCCTCCATTCGACGAGTCCGACCACTCGCCAATCCAGTTCTTCGCTTCGGTAAATGCCACTCCTAGTGCACCACTGCCTGTGGAGCTGAAATTTACGGAGACAATGCCGCCAACTTCTTTTCCGAAGTCATATACCACCAATGAACCGTTTCCATGAAGCGCAAATGGGGAATAGTCTTCCGTCTTATCCGGTTGCGTAATGAGAAAAAGCTTCTCAGGGTTAACGGTTCTCGAGGACGGCGCGAAAATGTTTTTCTCCCATGGCCCGGAGAAAGCGCTCTCGGTCGGACCAGAACAAGTGGTGTTGCGCCAACAGCTTTGAGCAACTGAGAGGGGGAGCAGAGCGAGCACGCCCGGCAAGAGCTTGTGCCAGCGCATGGTTGCTGTTTTGTCTGTTCCGCAGACTGCAGCACCAATTACCACACAGAGCAATATCCATCTCCATCCGACACACAGGCCCATATAAACATCTCAGCTCGAGATAATGTTCCCCCGGGTTTTTGCCCAGAAAGCGAAGAGGGGTCGCTAGCTTCGAGGAGTTAATATCGCTGGCCGGCTCGTGCGGGACGGATCGATTGGCTTGACGGACACTCTGGGGTAAATTAGTCAGGTTAGTCTCGGCTGAATGGTAGGATGAATCAATCAAATATAAGCGAACAAGCAAGCTTTCTCACACGTTCAGGAGTGCGGTGTTGGTTGGCTGCGCAGCAGTAGGCTAGTAGGTATGCCGGCGTCATTGGTGGAATTTCCTACAGAGAGCCCGTCGATCGTGCATGAAGGCGTCACTCAAACGCCAGTGCATGGAGTCCTCCCCGGGTTTTCTCCGCACAGGGAAACTGGCGATATTACTTGGATTTGTAGTTCGGTAGAAGTAGCACCGAAGTCTGGTCTGACCGTCTGTCACCTCTAGTGGAAGCCCCGGTCAGCGTTCATTAAAGGAACTCAATGCTCCCAGGCACTTACTTCGCGCATCACCCGCATTCACAATGCAACTAAGAGCTTCGGTTTTGCTCTCTTTCCTGGGGCTGGCCTCCGTTGGCCATGCAGGCAATGTGGAAAACAACCACAATGTCTGCACCGTCCGAGCAAACGGGGGACACCAAGATGACGTCCCCAATATTATGGCGGCGTTCAAAGAGTGTGGCAATGGAGGTACCATTATTTTCCCCGAAGACCAATCGTACTGGATTGCGACGAGACTGCATCCCACATTGAAGGATGTCGCAATCGAATGGCGGGGGAAGTGGACAGTAAGACACCCTCACTATCCATCTCGTGACTTGTGAAACGCTGATTCGATCCAGTTTTCCGACAACCTCACCTACTGGCGTAACAACTCCTACCCCATTGCGTTCCAGAACCATCATGCTGGCTTCATTATTAGCGGCGACAACATCACCATCAATGGCTATGGCACCGGCGGCATTGACGGCAATGGCAATACTTGGTACACAGCCGAGAAGGGCGACACGCAGCCGGGACGGCCCATGCCATTTGTCTTTTGGAACGTGTCTGAGGTGATTGTTGACAGTTTCTACGTCAAGGATCCGCCCCTCTGGAGTGTCAACATCATGAACGGGACTAACATGCGCTTTAACAATATCTACTGCAACGCCACGGCTGTAGATGCCCCCTGGGGCGATAACTGGGTGCAGAATACGGATGGTTTCGGTATGATTTTTTCTGTCCGCGCTCTAGTGAAATGGGATAGGTTCTGACTAGCCCTTGTATCCAGATACCATGGACGCTACTAACATCCAGCTCACCAACTTCGTCTACCAAGGCGGAGATGACTGCATCGCTATCAAGCCCCGCTCCTACAACATCGACATCCAGAATGTTACCTGCCGTGGAGGCAACGGCATTGCCATTGGCAGCTTGGGTCAATATCTGGAAGATAGCAGCGTTGCTAACATTCGCGTGGACAAGGTCAATGTACGTGATTGTTTCCCGGCCACCATCGCCATTAGTATTAACCGTAATCCAGATCATCCGCTACAACGAAGACATGCACAACAGCGCCTACCTCAAGACCTGGGTCGGAGCTCTCGTCCCCCAAAGTTCCTACGAAAGCGCCGGCGTACCTCGTGGCGATGGCTGGGGCAGCATCCGTAACGTCCTATTCTCAAACTTTAACGTACAAGGCGCAAGCGCTGGCCCCTCCATCAGTCAGGACAGTGGAGACAACGGTTCCTATGCGGGTACAAGCAAGATGTCTATTTCAAATGTTGCGTTTGTCAATTTCACGGGATGGGTGGATACTGAGAAGTCAGTGGTCTCGACGGTCTCGTGCTCAGAGGTACATCCGTGCTACAATATCGACTATGACAATGTGGTGTTGTATCCAGGGAAGAATGCCACAACAGCTGGGACAGGGTCTTGTAAATATACAGCTGATGGAGGAGTGCATGGGTTGAGTGGGTGTTGATTTGTGGATCGCTAAGGAAGCGATTTGGTTGATATGTGTATATATGACTGCAAGAAGGATCAATGGGTGACAGTAATACTCTAGAAAACCGAGGTAAATCTCAGCAATATTTCAGAACCCTAGCATAGATAGTCACGACGTACTGCGTGAAGAGGGACAAACAAGCAGCTAGCAAAGCAAACCCCCAAAGCTTGACAACATTCGCAAGGCTTGCACTAGCATCTAAGTCCAGACCCACCCTAATGCAACTTTCCTCGCTTGGCTGCGATGTCAATCATCGTCGTGACATTTGCCTGGATTGATCAACGGCGGATCCCTGTCAATCATTCCAATCCTTGGGTCACTCACGGCACTTGCCGCAAGGTAACGAACCACAAGGAAGGTGGCTCTGGTAGATTTCGACAGATGAGTTTCACCCATGGAAATGCCCATCCTTGACGGTGGGTTGTTCCGAAGGAAGTGCTGCCATTGAGATGACTCCCAACCGTCCTGGTGGACTACACTTTGCCAAGATGGGATGGAGGGGTCATTGTACCACCTTCATTTAGGCATCAGTCTGGCCGTGATGAATAATTCGCCAGATAGGATAGGTGAAGCACATCTGCCTGGTGCGAGTGACAGTTGCGTACGTCACTGGGTAGGACAGGCCTCATTCCCAGCCGATTGAAGGTGATTCAATCGCCGTTCGGGTTTCTGAGGATGATGCCTGCACTGTCTCCTTTCACACTCGGCATCTTCCGAGTGACTGGGAACCCAGAACGGCGACCTTCTCGGGTATAAATAGCTGCCCATCTCTCCTCCTTCTTCTTCCACTTCCTCTCCCCTCCTAGTGTGCTATCTCCCGCTCTAGTATCTTCCACGACGCCCTTTCATCATATATTTTGGTAGTTCATCCCTTTTCTCATCATGGTGCTCATTCTTTTCTTCTAATATATATACTCCTACTTCTTATATATAGAAATGCATCGGCTACATCGAGTTCGACGCTATGATAACCATCGACCGTCTTCATCAAACCCTATAATGAATCGCGGGTGGAACACCTTTATCGACGAGGTCAATCATCTCTGTCAAGAAATCAGCAATCGGAAGAATGATGAGTTTTAATGCCAAGAGAAACACCGTGGCTAAAGCTGCCCGGCTTTGAATCACTCATGACAGTTCCGATGCATGACACCAAAGAGCCGGCATGCATAGCCAAATCATCTACCAGAACAATATAATCTATTTCATGAATATGAAAACTTTTTGTATATACGCAATTCAAGAATCGGGCTTTTCAACGAGGGAGTCAGTGGCCGTCGGAGATATCAAAATCATCTCTTACAAGTCAATGTAGGTTCATACCAGCCCACCAATTGCTAATGCACCGGAATCTGACCATTGTTTGCACTAGGCATCACTCATGTCAGTACAATGTCATAAACCAAGACCTTGTTCCAAGGACTTGCCAGTTCATTGCATTGTTCAAGGTGCCATGGCGCGATGAACGCAGATGCAGAGCTCGTCAGGTTTTTACGTCCGATATCTTAGCTTGCAGAAGCAATATACTACAATGCTTGGAGCATACGCACCGAAATGCCCAAGCATCTACACAACGCATGTGCATATAAAGAGCCTAAGCAGAGCTTCAGATGGTCAGGTGCATGTACTCATTCGAGCATGCTAGAGCCGCATCGACCCCATTGCGACCCTGAACAGGGTCCCAGTACCAGCAAGGCGCGGTCGAGGAAAGCATTTTGCATTGAAAGAAACCGAGCAATGTACAGTGTCTATCTTCATCTCATCCCCAGCAAGGACGAGTCAACGACCGCGGACGAATCTACGACCTCCGATGAGTCGACCGAGGATGGGTTGACCGATGATGGGTTGACCGATGATGGGTTGACCGATGATGGGTTGACCGATGATGGGTTGACCGATGATGGGTTGACCGATGATGGGTTGATCGCCGATAGTGTAAGCGAAGATGAGCATGCCCTTGCCTCAACCAGCGAGGCGAGCCCGGTGGACAACCAAGATGACTGCACTTGGGAGTACAATTACTCAGAAAATGATTTTCACCCTCCTAGGAAGCAGGCCACGAAAGTGGAGAGCTCAGATGCAAGAGCCAAGCGGCTGGCTGCTGTCTAGAGACAACGGCTCTATCACAAAAAGTGGAGGGCCAGAATGTCACCGGAACAAGTGCAGCGCTTCCACGTAAGAAAACAGGAATACCAGCGGAATAGGCGCAAGAACAACCCTGGGATTGATAAGAGACTAAATGAAGCACGCTCTGAAGATAATAAAAGGAATGTGCGCGATCGCAGAGCTGCCTAACAGCGGAAGCGAAGAGCTAAAGGAAAGCAATCCTTGCCAGAAAAGAAGCCAGTGCCCGCGAAGAATGTTCGAAGAAATACTCGACGAAAGAGCAGAGAGCAGCGGATCCGGACTTCAGGGAGGAGTCGATGAGATACCAGCGCATCACAAGGGCAATAAAGAAGCTTGTAGACGCCAGGGTGAGAAAGTCGGACGACGAGATCAAACAGGCAATCCTTTGTTTAGCGATTGCCGAGGTCGAATATCACGAAATGAATGAGCGGCTGGGCATACTCAGCACATGTCCGCCATCGAAGGAGGAATTCGATCTGGTCATGAGGCATCGGGAGGAGAAAGTCCAGCAAGAGCCCAGGAAGGAAGAAAGAGGCATTTGTCTACAGCCTCTGCACGTCGGTTCTTGGTACCTGAGGTCATTAGTTTGCTCGTTTCATTCCCACAACCATATATTTCCACGTCCAGTTAGGTTAACTGTTTCTATGGATATCTTGACTCATGACCATACCGAAAGGAGGCTTAAGTATTTCTGGTCATGATCGTGTGTACAAGCTCTGATATAATTGTTGACAGCTATTGACATATTTCCATTCACCAGGCTTTTATACCAACGTATAGATAATAGTGGCTTTGAGTGGTTCAATGACCGACTATATAGGTTGAGAAATAGGGATATATTGGCTACAAATTTAGTTGCTGTTTGGGTGGCAAGTGTGCTAATTGCAGTCTTCTGACAAGATAGTAGATCTAGTAGATGTACTTGTGAACCTGGTCTATGCTGGGAGTATGAGCTGTGAAGTGTTTTCCACAAGCTGAATATTCAATCATCTCGGAAAAAGTGCTTGTGATACCTGATCCATTATTGTTGCAGTGTGAGGCTGTGAAGGATGTCATCAGGTGTATATTATAACAGTTAATATATGAACACGCGACCTTGTGAAGCTTGAGTTTCATACTTCAAGGGATCTGTCTTACCCTTCAGAAACTAATACTTAGTTGGCCATAAGTTTCATTACATTTTGTCGGGCTATATACTGTCTGCAGAATATAAAGATAACTTCTATTTTATAGAAACCGCTGCTAGAGCGATACGTATATATAGATACATACTAATTTACAAAGTATTTTGTTATTCTAGATCGGCTGTGGTGGTATTATACGCAAATTCAGCACGGCCAGGGTGCTCTTGCTGCGTCGCCAACGGTCAGAAGGAGAGAGATCGCTCACCCCTCGCATTCGCTAGTAATTTCCTATCTAACTATTGCATACCTGGAGATGTCAGGCATGGGTACGCCGTTAGGCATTTGATTTTGCAGTTTTGATAGTGATGGTAGCTTACGTAGAGGCTTGATGAATGAAGGCTGAAGATGGAGATAGAGAGGATTGGTTCCCATTCCTTTCAGAGGAGAGGGGTTGTGAGCCAGTCTTGTACACTCAATTCCCTCGTCATCATCTGGCATCACATTAGGATTATGCGATATCACATTAGAATCATCTAGGACGTCCCTTTCTTTTCCTGTAACTCAAATCTAAACTTGAAAGCCAGCTGCCGATGGTCCCGGAATACTCCGCATCATCCCACAAATGGCTTTGAAGTTGGTAAGCTCAGCGTACTAGGGCTGGATCATACAAAGTGCAAGGGTGGATTCGTCAAGATCCACGAGTAGGATGCTGCATCTGGGGTGGGAAGAATGAGGGGTCGCAGGGAGGTAACCTTAATGCATGGCTTTCAATCACCACTGTTCTGACTGAAATAAGACACTATCTCCAACCCCGAGAACCACGCTCAGCAGTGCATCATTACAATGGGAGGATATAGAATGAGAAAACATGGATATGCTTCTTTTACGTCCAGTGCTACCCCCGCATCTGTCTTTGATGGTTGATGACCTTCGAGAGTGTGTGGATGTTGTGGTTAAACGACATGATATTGCTCGAGGGATATGGGGACTGAAATGATTCTATTCGATATCTTAGATTCTAAGTGCGCTTCTTATATTTACTTTCGAGGCCGCTATTCTGTTACACCTTTCATATTAGATGTGGTTAACAATTTCCCATGTCAGTGTCATGCCGTATGCTTTAAATAGCGACTTTAGCTATCGCTTCAATCAACTTAATCGTTACTTCAGATTCCATCTTAGACGACAGCCCTGCATGCTGAATCATCGTGTTCATCAAGTCGACACTCGCCCCTTGAGACGCGGGCCTCAGGTTCATTCTTCGATGGCTGAAAACTAAAGTTTTCTAACCACCCGCTGACGATAATGGTCTTCACCCGATCGCAATGTCACCCAGAGCCGATAGCCAAGGTGGCCGAGAATAGCATTTTCGGGTACATCATCCCTATCCTATCTGCGTTGTTTCTTCTAAATTACCCGTATTCTTTCGTAGTTCCTACATCCTTACAAAGGGATATTGTTCTTCCAGGAAGCCGGCAGTGTGACACCACTTAAAGAGCTAGACTACCCAAAAGGGGTTCCCTACGTAAACAAGCTATTTGGAATATTATCTACTACCCTCCATCATGATCAATTAGTTTATGACTACCACCAAAATGCTATCAATAGTACTACACACTTAGTTTATCATAAAGAAGCGCCAATCTAAATCCACCGTAGGCGCCTAGGAGCCACTATGACAGACGAACAGTGACCCAACTGTTAGTTGTTTTGTAGTTACATTCCTACATCTTCATCCATAAGCATGTCTTGATTTGCCGGCCAGCTTCAACTCAGGACTGGTCACGGTAACAGTCAAGATCTCACAGTATATAAGCAGACTACGTGAGTAAGTACGGACAATGACTACACTTATATCTTACCATAACCATCGATGAAGGAAACAAGTAACATAATAATGGCTAGCTCGAGGCTTCGTTCAGATGAAATAATTAAATTATATCGTAGTAAATGGTTCCTATTAAGAAACCCGACAACGATTATGGTGGAATGGAGTTGAAATGGTTGCGTTGGGCTACATACTTACTTGGGATGGCATGTCGGAGATGGTGATTTAGCGATTTGGATGATGGCCCCAGGGTGTGTACTCGTAGGGTAGTCGTGGCATCATAAGGCTATTACTTTGTAGAAGATCTAAAAATCATCGGTAAGCTAGAGCAGAAAGTTCGTATAATACACCTAGGGAAGACTCAGCATGAGCTCAAGTTGTAGATGGGCACCTCAAACATGTCGTGTTGACTACTGTAACCAACAGCGTTGGTAAGTCTTTGTTGGTCTGTGTCACGGTGTGGAGGACGTCGAGACAGAAGCGGTCTGATTGGTTGGCGTTCCGCTTAGTCAGCTACTGTTCGGCGCTTACTAAGATTTTGATATAGAACTACTACTTCGGCTTCATGTCGCCGAGAACGGAAATCTCTACAAGATTGCCTACGATGCAAGCCAATTGAACGAAACGAGTCGTAATTCAAGTCCTGTAGGATCAACTACATAAACTCAAAGTCTAATTCCGTAATTCCATTGTTTTGTTTGATCATCAAAGGTTCATCATGCCATTTTCACCCTGCACCAGCTTATTTCTTACCGGCCTTCTGGGCGGCCTTGGTAACCTTACCGGAACCACCCTCCTTCTTCTCAACAGCCTTGATAACACCGACAGCAACAGTCTGGCGCATATCGCGGACAGCGAAACGACCAAGAGGGGGGTAGTCAGTGAAAGCCTCAACACACATGGGCTTGGAGGGAATCATCTTGACGATGGCAGCGTCACCGGACTTGATGAACTTGGGGGAAGATTCAACAGACTTTCCGGTACGGCGGTCAATCTTCTCAAGGAGCTCAGCGAACTTGCAAGCAATGTGAGCAGTGTGGCAGTCCAGGACGGGAGCGTAACCAGCGCCGACCTGACCGGGGTGGTTGAGGACGATGACCTGGGCGGTGAAGCTCTCACAGCCAAGAGGGGGGTCGTTCTTGGAGTCACCGGCAACGTTACCACGGCGAACCTCCTTGACGGAAACGTTCTTGACGTTGAAACCAACGTTGTCACCGGGGACACCCTCCTTGAGCTGCTGGTGGTGCATCTCAACGGACTTGACTTCAGTGGTGACGTTGGCGGGAGCGAAGGTCACGACCATACCAGGGGCAATGATACCGGTCTCGACACGACCGACGGGAACAGTTCCAATACCGGAGATCTTGTAGACATCCTGGAGGGGAAGACGGAGGGGCTTGTTGGAGGGACGGACGGGGGGCTCGATGGCGTCGATGGCCTCGAGGAGGGTCTTACCGGTGACCTTGCCGGCCTTGGTCTCCTTCTCCCAACCCTTGTACCAGGGGCAGTTGGGGGAGGGCTCGAGCATGTTGTCACCGTTGAAACCGGAGATGGGGACGAAAGGAACACCCTTGGGGTTGTAGCCGACCTTCTTGATGAAGTTGGAGGTCTCCTTAACGATTTCGTTGTAACGGTCCTCGGACCACTTGCAGGTGTCCATCTTGTTGAGGGCAACAATGAGCTGACGGACACCGAGGGTGAAAGCAAGCAGAGCGTGCTCACGAGTCTGGCCATCCTTGGAGATACCAGCCTCGAACTCACCAGTACCGGAGGCAATGATGAGGATAGCGCAGTCAGCCTGGGAGGTACCAGTGATCATGTTCTTGATGAAGTCACGGTGACCGGGGGCGTCTATTATGCACGTTAGTATGTTGATTTGATTGAGAGAACTGTGTGATAGTACGTACCAATGACGGTGACCTCATACTTGCCAGTCTGGAACTTCCAGAGGGCAATGTCGATGGTGATACCACGCTCACGCTCGGACTTGAGCTTGTCAAGAACCCAAGCGTACTTGAAGGAACCCTTACCGAGCTCAGCGGCTTCCTGTAGGATGTAGTTAGCACCATGTCTTGATATTCTTCTTTCAAATGTATAATCCTCCTTACCTTCTCGAACTTCTCGATGGTACGCTGGTCGATACCACCGCACTTGTAGATCAGGTGACCAGTGGTGGTGGACTTGCCGGAATCGACGTGGCCGATAACGACGATGTTGATGTGAGTCTTGTCCTCCTTACTGTTGTAGAAGATACCCGTTAGCCCATGCCCTTCATCTGTCAGATGATGATTGTTGTCTGGACTCACCCCATGATGACGGTTGTGAATGAACTCGAAGTTCTTTTTTGGAATTAGATAGAAAAAGTCTGTAGAAAAATTGCTCAGATACTACGGCCAGAACGCGTAGAGGTGCTGAGCAAAGAAGTCAGTTAGAGAGAGGATGAATCAAGAAAGAAGGAGAGAAGAGTGAGAAGGAAGAGAGAGGGGGGGAAGATATACGTACTGAAGCGGACGAGGGAGGAAAGGGAAAGGAAAAATTTGTGGGAGGGGGAGGAGGGGAAATACTTATATGGAGGGGTCAAGCGAGAAGGCGACTAAGCGGGCGGGCTTCAACCCTTGGCTTTGACTTGAAATCATTGGACATGGAGGGGTAATGCCCCCACCGCGCAGGTGCGGGACCAACGCAGAATCTTCACGGCGGAGCCTTTTCCAGACTCAACTGGACACGCTTGCAGCCCAGCAACGCAGCGCGATCAGCCTGTCCTTTTCTCGCCTTTCCTTGGTTCCTCGCCCTCGGAGCGCCGAACTACGACCCCACCTTGACCACTCTTTCATCGAAAATTTTTCATCTCGGTCCCCTCCCTCTGGCCCTCCTGTCTATCTAATTCACCTAGCTCTATCCGTTGGTAAATTGTGGATTATTGGACTGAAATCCTGGGCATCAACGCAGCGGTGGGTTGATGATGGCCTGGCCTGTTGGTCATGTTTGCAACCGAACCCCGCGGCAGGCGGCTGTTGTTATTTGTCCGCTCTCAGGCTGCTGTGGCACGGCCGAGTGGCGCCCGCCCGGTCCACTTTTTGGTGGAAATCCCTGTGAGGTCAACGACCAACGTAGCAAACTAGATAGCAGCACAGCAGCATAGCAATGTTGGTATTTACTCGGGGCTTGTACTCGCTATCATGGGATGATGCTCAATAATATCCCAAATTCTACTAGCGATTCACACTAAAAGATGTGGACACTGGACACCCGACAATCTCAAACATCATCGCTTTTTGATAGTGGGATGGCTGGTGCGGCAAAACATGTGAGGGAAAATCCTTTTTTTCCTTGCCCACTTCTTTTTTTGCCATCAACACTGCCCCTCACTTAGTGTCTTGACCTGACAGTACGGTTAGGTATCTAGCCTTTCTCTTTTCTTTTTTTTTGTCTTTTTTTCTTTTCCCACCCTTGACCAACCCCTTCCTCTTTGGGACCCCGACAGTGGTTATTTGAGGATAAGAGAAGAGAGGAGAAAAAAATGACTCAAGATTTGGTACCGTACCAGAAACAACACACACAAAGGATCCTTCCTACAAAGTACTATACTCCTACTAACTTGGTAGCTTACCTGGATCTGGCCAATCCCAATCGGGCCATTATTTGCCGTTGCCAGGTTACCATGAATAGTTAGTACGTAGAGTATGTTCGCGGCGGCAAATTCTGTAGGAGGGGGGGATAGGAACCGAAAAAAATTAATCAAAAAATAATTAAGTACTAAAAAAAAAGAAAAAAATCATAAATTGGATCAACGAGGCGGGAAGAAAATTTCTTCTTTTGCGCTTAATCTGACATACTTTTCTTAGCTCCCTCAATAGGGAGTAGGCGTGTAGTTTAACCACTCTTGTATAGTAGTGCTATGGTTTGGTGTCATCATCCATTGAGGGGTATCTCTAGTAATTTAGATGCAAATCATCGCAAATGGGAACAATCACAATCGCAGGGGGCCCAGATCATCGTCCTAATCATACACCGTAGCACCAGCCTTCCTTTTTCGTTTCCCCTTCTACCCTTCCCGTTCATCCTCTACGTTATCCCCCGCCCCTCTATTATTTGAACAACACACATTGTTCTCCAGGGATATCCAAAACTCTAATAATGGAGTAGCTTCAGTTCTCTCTCCATCGGGCACCACACGTGGTACACTGTCAACCGCAATCAGCAAAGCATGTCAGGCCAGATGCATGAGAACCGCATAAGCCGCTGGTGCGCACCCACCTTTAGGAATGTGGTCATCGGCTCGTCTGCACTCCGAATCTGCAGCTGGAAAAAGTATGCGCGGTCGCCATTACAGTCTTCTGCGGGGCATTGAGCTGCGGGTAGGGGAAAAGGAAGAGAAAGCACAACATTAGCCCCAAGCCCCCAAGTTTATTCCAACAACCGTAGGGAAGAGTGCCCCTCAAAGTTCGTAACTTACTGGCCATGCTATCCGCATTTGCGAATTCTTCCTTTCCTCCAAAGACATCCTCCACTTCTTTTTGTTTCATGGGTGTCTTCTCAAACCAGCTCTGGTCGAGGGCATATTGGTATGGGCATGTACGGCACTCGAATCGATTAACGCCTAAGGGGTGCCTTGTGGTCGGCTCCGCACGAGAAATCGTGAGCGCATTGCTGCAATTAGGACAGACTGGGGAGTAGAAAGGTGACAGTTAGCCAAAAAAAAGTACTGTAGATGTAGGGACTGCAGGAGAAAACTAACAGGTCAACGGCATCGTGAATATTGCTTGTTTGCTCCTGGAGTGAAAGTCTTCAAATAAACAAGGGATCAATCAGTCAGTCAGACTGTAGCACAATTTTCGCATAGCATAGCCTTCATAAAGGCGGTTACGGGACTGGTGCAGCTGCCACTGTCCGGCGCAAGTAAGGGTCGCAGCGATCTGGACGATAATCGCCGGCTAGCTGCTGAGGCTCTTATCGACCGGCGATTTCGTTGGCGGAGAGATTCACCGCCGCCGATTGGACGCGGGGCTTCCTGGCACGGCCGGAGTAACCTCCGTTCCGAGTGGCCGTCCGCGGCGGGAGTCATGCATCCATTCCACTGTACTGTATGCTCGGCCGCGGGGAACAACAATAGGAGACAATATCCTACTGGTAGTACTTTCAAATGCAGCTGCAAGGATTTTATATCGATTAAAGCTTTATGTGTTTTACTCAACATTCAGGGCTACTGACTTACTACTCTGAAACACTACGTCGATTGTTTCAGTTGCTTTGAGGCATTGCTGATCCCCAGTCCTCGTTTCCGACACCGCCTCCTTTACCACCTTCGCGGCTAACCCGGCCCCATACTTGCGGCATTTGTTTGACCCCTCCGCAACCACTTTGACTATTCAAGATACAGCTACTTGTCATACTCTGTACCTTCCATTTCTCAAGAACAATCAAACATGGCTGACGAAGTGAGTGCTGCGGTACCCCACCCCCGTAGCGTTGCTAACAAGCATTGCTTGCATAGGGCGCTTCCCCCCGTGAACTAGTCGTAGAGGCTTGCCGTCGCGATCAGCCTCATTTGATAGAGAGTGTCCTGGAGGGCATGGAAGGAAAGTCAAATGAAGAAGTGGCCGAGTTTTTCAACAGTGTGACGGATTCGATGGGGAACCATGCTCTTCACATATGTGCTACGTACGGTAGCTGTAAGTTGAACCCTCCCCCTCATTGAGACCATAGTCCTATCCCCTTGGCATTAGCGTTGCCTTAGAAACATGCTAATCTAATGCTATTATATTGCAGACGACGTCATGGACGCCCTCTTCGATATTCAGTACTTCGAATGCGACCCCCTCACCCGTCTGGACAAAGATACCCCGCTGCATACCGCCGTGCGCTATGCGAACGAGAAAGACGCCGAACTAGGCGAGGCAATGATCAAGATGATGTGCGAAGCTGGTTGCGATCCGCGTGTCAGGAACAAGCATGGTCAGAAGCCGGCTGAGCTCGTCTACAATAACCAGGAGATCAAGTCCACGCTACAGCAAGCAGAGTACATCATGGCGGAGGGGCTAAGGGAGGATGCGGACAATGGATCGGTTCACGACAGCGCCAGTGACAGCGAATAGACGTCAACAACTGTATATAGCGACTTTTTTTCGATCATAGATATACCACTGATGATTACTTTGTTCCTGTATTCGAAGCATAGATGGCTGTTCAGATGCATGCGGCAAGTCCGCGGGTCTAATACGAATCCTTGTTTAAACCACCAGTGGTGTTTTGGGCCGGTACCACATACGATTTTCTTCCAAACCAGGTGAGCAATCTATACAAATCAGGAGCCATAATCAACGGGTATCATTCAGACAGTGTACAGCTAGCAACAAGACAACAAACGGCAAGTCGTCACATAAGAAAAAAAGCATGGTGGTTAATCATCACTCTCCTCTTCCTCACTCTCCTCTTCAGGCTCAGATTCAGGCAGCTGCCTATTAACCCGACGTCTAGGCTGCTCCCGCCTCTGCCTCTGCCTCCCGCCCTCTTCCTCCTCCCCATCACTACCACCACCCTCAGCCTGCTCTTCCTGGGCACGCGGTTCCGGCTGCTTAAGCCCGAGACTCCGCGCCAGCCGGATCTCAAACTCGTCATCCCTCTCACTGTCATCAGACCGTCCATAGACCTCCCGAACCAACCTCGCAACCCCCTTAGTCCCCACTTCGATCTTCCCCCTCGGCCCAAGAATATACTCAATCACCTCCTCCCCACCATCCACATCGCGATTGCGCACCAAATACCCCTCCTTACACAACCGCTGCAAGAACCGATCCGTCCGATCAATAGGCGTCCACGCATCCGTATTAGTCCGCTTAAGATACCTCTCCAGCTTCTGCTCGTGAATCGTGCCCCCATTAAGCACAATCACCGCAATAATAAAACTATACAGCCCCGTATATGTACTCTCCATCGGCGCTTTACTAGGCAGCAAAATCTCAGGCTTCCGGTACTTCGTCGGCAACGTAGTCGTCACTATCCAGGACTTGTTCGTTGATGACGGCTTTTCGACTTTTTGCGCAGCTGTTCATTCAAATCCACCAGTTAGCCAATACACCACAGACACAATCCAAAATCTCGGTAAGAACTTACCTCTCCTCTGCTGCACCGTAACCTTCTCCTTAACCGGCAACTCCATCATCTCCATCCCAAACTTCTCCTGCAAGACCCGCTGCGCCTCCTCAAACACCGTCTTGAACTGCCTCGTCCCCTGCTCTCCCAACACCTTGACACTGATATCCGACCGTCGGATCGGCAGCCGCGAGAACTCGCTCGCTAGCGCTAATCGCACCATCTTCTTCACCATCACGTCTGTGCTACTAGGCGCCCGGGTATCGTACGCATCATCGTCTCCAACATCATCATCGTCTTCGCTTTCTGTCGCTTGGCGCGCCGCTACTCGGCGTCGTTGCGTCTCGGGCGTAGGGAGGTCATCTTCACTGGGGGAGTCGGGGACCTTTGCAGTTCATTGTTAGATTTATGTATGTGTTTGGTGTAGAGCTGTATGGGTAGCATACCGCGCGGCGTTTACGGCCAGGTGCCATTTCTTCGGTTCTTCCTCCTTCCTTTCTCTCTTTCTGGGTGGGGTGTGTGAGGGATGTAGCTGTATGCAGTTGCTAAATTGGCAGTCTACATCGCAATGAGAGTCTTGTCTTGTCTTGTCTGTCTGTAGGGGCAAATAAGGTTGTATTGATTGTTGCCGAGGGTTTCCTTTGTTCGGTGGAACGCGCGCGCGACCAGATTTGGGTGGGGCGCGCGGGCGTGATTTATCCTATTCGGGTAGGTTTACTTGGCGGGTATGATAAGGATTCGATACTACTTACTACTAAGTTAGTACAGGCTGGGCAGCAATTGATGTGCTTTCAATGAGTTCGTTGGCTAGTACTGTGTAGGGGTTGTTTACGGTGTGTCTTGGTATGTTGTTTGATGTGTACAAATAACTCCAGCCACAGAGCAGTAGTACCCAGTTTGGAGGGTTTCAGTGTACGGATCTCTTTGTTCTACGAGGCCTTGGTGCAATCAATCATTTATCACTTTTGCAGTGGTACCATGGACGAGCTAGTGGCAGATATGCCAAATACGAATATGAAAGAAATATGCTGCGCCCAGTACTGAGCGGCAGAGAGTGGTAATGAATTACGAAAAAAAAAAAGGAAGATGGAAGAAAAAATTATCTCCCCGACTGGGAGTCGAACCCAGGTCTCCCGCGCTTGTTCCCGAGAGGGATTGACAAGCGGAAATCATGACCGTTAGACCATCGAGGATTTGATATGTTGGATTGACTGTTTTTGACATTATGTTTGGGGCTATCATTTGTAGGCACATGTTGCATTTGGATGAAGTTTCGCTGGCTTTGTTTGTGGTTCTGGAGTAATCGTCTGGGGGGTGTTGATTGTGGTGCTTGAGTGGCCTGATTGACACTAAGTTTGTGTACTAATTTGATTTTCAAGCTGCCCGCTGAGTGGTTGTCGGTGCTGTGGAAACAGCTTGATTTGTTTACTCGGGCCATTATATATTCACAACCACGCCACCATCTCTGCAGTGCCGGTCTGCTGCAGCATCAACATCCCAACGCTCATACTAGTACACCCCCATGATAAAGTAATGTTGACTCACTAGTAATACTAAGATCGCCGAACAGGGATCCCACGAGAAAGGATGTGATCGATAAACCCCAATGTTAGAGCTACCACCACATACCCAGACAGAGACTCAGCATCGCCAAGGACTTGCTATTCTACCTTACAAACACCGGCCTACATCATAATAGGAGGGTTAGTATTCTTGTCGTCCGGCCTCTAAAGTCCACAAAGATGGCAGATTTTCTACTATATTCTATGCTTGTATTGCTCGGATTAGCTCCGGCGGGATGCTAATTCAACTGGGTCAATGCACCAATCACGGTCACTATATTTCCGCGCAGCCCTAACTCGAGGTATCTGGCCGCATCAACGGCCAAGAACTTCCCCAATCCCCCCAACAGAGTGGCATACTCGGGAGTGAACATATTCAATAAAATAAACCTCGCAAGAACCAAAAAGAAAAAGAAATCTTAGTTATGTCCCATTACTAATATAGCGCCAAAATTTGTTTGAAGCACCGTCGAAGCTACCGAAATCGTGACAGTATGTCGACGAAGACACGAAAAGCCGAGAATAAAAAGCAAACTTTTATCGCTCATTGCAACAATAACAGACTTACTCTAGTACCTAGAGGCTGCCTCTTTCAAAACCTAGATTTTAGCCTGCCATCGCCATCGGTAATTAAGGCACGACCACCGCGCCATGGAGAACATGCCCATCGCGATGACCAGAACGGCACCGAGAAAGGCCACCATGGCCGGCTTTCCGACCGTCTCAATCATCTCACCACCAATCGGGATACTAATCAAAGTGCTGTTATATGTTAGTAACATGCACCCTTAAAACAGTTCGGGCGGCATACGCAAAGCTGACGGTCAGATAGCAAACCCCAAATCTCCCTCCCACCTCGCTGGCTTTGGAAATTTGCCCGATGCAAGCTGGCGCAAGACTAATAAAGGAGCCGGATGCGAAGCCGTATACGCAGCTAAAAATATAGAGGCCTGCCAGTTTGCTTCCGAACGGTAGCCAGATGACAAAGACCGCCACGGCACCTAGACCGAGCAGTCCTATCTGCGTGTTGATTCGGCCATACTTGTCTGCGACACCGCCGGCGACAAGGCGACCGATGGTAGAGAACCTAGAACATTGAAATCAGACTTGACTGGACTATTCAAAGTCATGAAATTATGTCGGCCCTTACACGTTCAAGATAGACAGAAGGATGATGCTGGTGGTGGTGCCGAATCCCTGCATTACAACGTATGTCGGGTAGAGACCTAGGCAGCCAAAGACTTCCAGCTCCATGACTACAGATCATTAGCAGACTGGCATTACTCTACCAGCCACTCGGCAGTATCTTTGACTTACTAAATGTTCCCATGGTCAACCAAGTAAACCTGGCGTCCTGAAAGGCACGCACGTTGATGCTCGGCTTACTCTGGCTTCTTGGTAGACGAGAACGAACAAAAGCAATCCCAACCGCACACATAGTCCCCACAATCAATGCAAGCAGCCGCATGGTCCACTTATACCCAAGGTCCTTAAACCCTGCCCGGAGGACCCAGGGAAACACAACTCCCCCAACTCCCGCTCCGGCCATCGCCGTGCCCATGGCCAAGCCGACTCGGCGATCGAACCAATGAGGGACAGCAGAAATGGCGGCTGTGCTCAGTAGAGCGGCGCCCATGCCAGTGAGTACGCCAAAGGTTAGGATAAATTGCCAGTAGAGGTGGCATTCGGCCATTAGTAGCAGACCCGCGACGTAGCAGGCCGTCCCAGCGATAAGGATACCCGTAGGACCGTACCTGTCGAACATCGGACCAATTTGGGCACCCAAGCCCAGGCCACAGAAGACAAATAGACCTGGAATCCAGCCGATGACACTACTGGTGTAGTCCGAGAGTTGGTTGCTGGCGAAATAACTCTGTAGGACACCAGTAGAGTTCATCATGCCGTAACTGCTCATCAGTAGGAAAAATGATCCCAAAACGACAAACCATGACCGGGTCCCGCCATCTGGAAAGACATCGTCGGGGACAGAATCACGGATGTGAAAGGTGTTTGTGGAGAGCTGGGCCGGCGGTTCAACGATGTCGAATGATCGGGGTCTTCCGTAGCTGGCAATGGAATGCGCGGTGCTGAGGTCAGACGGGCCTTGCAAGTCTGTTGAGCGCCAGGGCTGCTCGGCGATCGAGGTGGCCGACTTTTGCTCGATGGCCATATTGATAGTGTTGTCTGCTGGCTCTGAGAGCATCTGTGCACGGAAGAGGCCAAAGAAGCGGGGTGCTAGAGATATAGTAGGTCAGGCATACGGCGGGGGCCAGATTGGGTTACGGGCCTGGGCTGAAGGATCATCGGCGGGTTAGTCCTATCGGGCCTTTCAGCGAGCTCCTCGTTCAACTTCGGCTCGGTTTCCGAACGCGGTATCACATTTCATGACTCAGTGACCTGCAACCAAAACATGCCGTCGGTGAAAATTGAGTGTTCCCTCATTAATCCGCAGTGTTAGCTCGAACGACAGCATCTTCGGCATCATGCTCGGGCATTGCACAAATGGTAGAAAGTTCATGGTACGGCCGTATAGGTGTTCAATCGACAATTTCAACCCGATACAGGCTGTAAACGTATGAAGATCGGAGGAAGACGTTGTTAGAAGGACGTTTGCAGTGGACTGTGTAAAGGAGGGAGTACCTTGCTTCGTATCTCGTATTGTCAGTAAAACAATCTGGTTTGCTTTATGGATAGCTTATCTCCCCCTTGTCGATCCCTCCCAGAATGTAACAAGTCATGCAAAATTCTGGGCTCAACGGATTGTATCTCCATCAAAGCAAAGATGCGAATTGCGAACTCACAAGCGTTGATTGCGCAATTTGCATGGATGTTGACCAGTACGAATGAGCCCGTCGATGAAGATCCCGGCTTTGGATCCCGTGATATATCGAAACCTGACTTGACAAATACGCATTGCTGAGTAGCGCCACCGATTCTATTGTGCTGTTGACTGTGTCTCCAGAAGAGGATTGCACGGTTTTGTGGATGGAGACAGTCAATGAGGGACACACAGAAGCCGGGAGCGAGGATCCCCGGCCTTCTAATCCGGTATCTTGCCCTGGGGCACGTGCTCGACGTACTAGTCGGTTGGCCATTTTGCCTTCACATCACAATCCACTTAACTTGATTTCGGAGCCATTTGACAAGAACATTGTGGGTGTCAAAACTGACCGTATCCGGGATGGACAGGAAAGGACCTCAAGAGCATCTGTCAGCCTCGTTTCGCTCCGGTTACAAGTGCGTTGAGCCCCAAAAGACGAGGCCATTAGTTTCAATCGACGTACCAAGTCAACAGTGATCTCATGGCAGTTGTTGAGTCAAAGGGGGAATCCTGTAGTGACACAGACAAGCCACGGCGTATTCAAAACTCAAACATGCAGACGCCCGAAAAGCTTCTATTGACGATCATGACCCGCCCGTTGAGGAGCTTGCTAGGCAAGAGACTATTAACATGTCACAAACAATGCTACAGATGCTTCCCAGTACCATTCGAAATACATCACTTTATCCTTGGCGCTTCTTTCGGCATCGTTTTGGTGATTCATTACGTACACGCCCCTTACGGGTTTCTGGAATAAAAGAGACAGTGAAGGAGGGCCATCAATCCATTCAATTTAATCTTGGGAAATAACTTGATATTTCAGTCATAGCCAGATCCAACTTGATCCAGCGGTGGCCATGTAGTAGAGGAGCGAACCCTATCCATGAGTGTATTTGCTGTCGGTAAAGTCCAGAGTAGAAATCCGTCCAACAAGCCCGATACCACCAAAGAACACTGGACGGCCAAAATGTGCCTCGAATAAAGGCCACGCCAGCAAGATGTGCAACATGAAGTCAGAGTTCGTTGACGGCGTCTGCGTGTACTGCAGGTCAAAAGGTCACGGACCACCGAAGTGTTGGTATATCGATCCGACCTTTCGTCAAAAGGGTGGATTCTATAGATACAAGATATCTGGTTCTACGAGCCAAAGCGCATTAAATGGAAGTCAGATTGGAAAGACGACTCCAAGGCTGCAGCGGCGCCAGCATCTACGAAGCCAATCGCGGAGATGCCTGCTCAGCACGCTGGTGACTTTAAAGATATGGCGGACAGACAACCGTCCACAACTGACTGTCCGGTCCAACCTTAGATCATGAAGAGAGTGGGGAGGCATCTGATGACCCAAATGCGATGTCAGACGATCATAAAAATTCGGAAACAACTTCCGCCTATCCGTCTTCCTTACATACACGAGCTGACTGGTGCTGTCTCAAATCCCGACATAATCGATCGCACTCATCTAAAAAGAATGGTAGGGCACTACAGTAATGCCAGACTCGATCAAAGCTTAGCAACTTCCCCATTGTAGCGTCAAAACAGCCAACTTTTAAACAACTACAATCCTGTCGAGAACAGTTCCAGATGGGGTTGTTGAAAGAGGAGGAACAGGATACGTTTTATTTAAGAAGCGTAGTTATCCAGAGCGTGTTGCGTGGTACAAGAATGTCTCGCTTCGCCATCACTTGTTCAATAACTTTTCTTTATCTCGTTATTTTCTTCTCTAAATTCGATGTAAAGGACCATGGTTCAACAGAACCATGGTCTGCGGGTTTCGTCTGTATCACGTTTCTACCGACTGTGGAGTTAGTTCTAGATGTTTACCTGAGATATTCAGAGCAATAGCAGCATTGATGTTTCTTTTAGAGGAATATATAACGAGCCCGAATAGTTGTGTGATGCTTGGCTGTCTGCGGTATTGTGAGAAGGCGATCACCTCGTCTGAGACTTGTTCTGTGTCTCCTGGTTCGTAGAAAGGCGGTCGACTTTCTGTGAGCGATATGTTCTTCCTTATAGCGGACTAGGGAGACGGTTAGAGCGATACCTTCCACGTGCCCTACATGGCTACCCTCAAAGGTAGCTATATCTTGGGCTTATTCTAAACAATGTCGGGTATACAACCTTCCCTGGGTATTCTTCAATCGAAGGACATCCGATACCTGTCACCGGGGCTTCAACGTACGGATGTAGTCACGCGGGGTGCTCTTGATCCAATGTAACTGAAGATGTCAGCACGCCAACTATAGGGTAAAAACGATACAAAGTGTTTGTCTACGGGATAACACAGAGAGAGAGGGGTGTTTGCAGACAAAAAGAGACAATAATAAGGAATTAAAAATCAAAAATACATACAACAGAAGGGATTCGCTGGTGGTCACCCACCCAACTACTAACCTCCCGGCGTGTGGCTTAAGTACGGCTGAGCGGACGGGAAGCCCTGTTTTCCACACCCTATGGTCGTATGTACTTGTTATACTCTTGGAAAGGTAAATATAGTGTGAATAAAAGAGCATAACCATCTTAGACAAGTATATTAAAACGCTAGGGGGTATGACGGTGTTGTTGTTCAACTGCCCTTGCAGTTTTACAGGTGTATAAGGCAGTGCGGAAGCGGGATTTTACTGTTTACATTCGTTTGTATCGAGCTTGTAGTCTCGAACTGAAGGAACGATATGTCAAGGTAATTGCATTATATATACTGAACATCAACCATGGAGGATTTCCAGTTGAATGAGCAGGGTCACTTGAAAGTAAAGACTATCCATCAACATCAACTAAACAATAACATACCAGCAAACGAAGATGTAGATCCACTAGCCCACTAGGCCATGCTTAACCCCCCCAATCGCCATCCATACTAACCACTATCCATTATGAGTCTTAACAAACAGACGACTTTGACGGCAAGACACTCTGCATATCAGTAGCATGACACATATGCCTTCATCTGAACCGTTTGGCCATCGTCCCACACTCTGTAAAAAGTACATAACCAGAGAATCGTAGCTAGTAAGCCATAAAGCCCTCGTGGTATGATTTGTCATAAACCCCCCCAACACCCAATCAATCATTCTACTCAATATAACGTCAAAAGGACTGCATAACCCAATCCACCGGCACTAAGTGTACGTAGTCTATCTACCCCCAATTATCCACATGTATCAATAGATGGGATAAATAACAATGTTATGGTACATCCTCATTTAGAGTTCCAGATACAAACTCACCCACACGACAAACCATCGCAATCCCGTATGCCATTAAACCATAACCCCCAAACACAATAGTCACAATATCCAAAGAGAAACCGAATAACTAAACATGAACATACCCTCCTCCCAGAGAGACAGGGCACGTGTCTGCAATACAACTACAATGAAAACCGCTCTCATCTCCCCAAACAAGAACCTCCCACCCACAATATGAACGAACCACAAGTACTCTCCCCAACGCCAAATACACCACCAAGCTCACTAGCACCGGATACAATGGCAAACCAATATACTGTCAACACCCCCCTTCACGAAACCGGCAATGAAGACAGCGCCTACCGAATCACCAACCTCCCCAACCAAGAACAACGTCCCTACCTCCAAAACACCATCCATCACTCCGACCGCGTCGTCAAAAGCCAACTCCAGCACGTCATTCACGGTAAACTTAATCCTGGCGACCATGTCTCCGACAATGCAACTCCCACAGTCGCCAAGTTCGAGTTCCTCGGACAAACGGTCGATCGTCGGTTCAAGTACGCGCGGATCAAATGGGAAACTGTATACGCTGATGGCGATGGCAATGATGAGGACACCGATGCACCCGAAGTGAGAAAAGTTTCACTGGATGGACAATATGTTATCCATGAGTCCGTGCTTTCGGTTAGTAAGGAGGTCCATGGTGATGCTGGAGTACAAGGGTGTTGTGGGGTTGCTATGGCGAGTGCTGGAACTGGGTGGTCGCGGCCACAGACTGCAGAGGTGAAGGATCACATTTCGATCTTTGGGATGAGTGTCTTTACGAACCAATTGTGCGGGGAGCCGAATGGCGCTCAGTAGGTTCTGGAGGAGAATGCTAGTCAGCGGAGTGGGATTCCTGGGGCGATCACGACGGCGGTACTGTTGCGGAGGGATCCGGGGAGGCTGTTTACTGGAACCATTGAGGTTACAGCTGAGGTGGGGGGATTTGATAAAGTGGAAGCTTGGTTTGGGAGGAAGCCTAGAGGTGATCCGGCGGTGTTTAACCCGGCGTTACCACCTACTATTACTACGGTGTATGATGCCCAGCATCTGGATGCCGTTGAGTTAGATAATATCCCGGCTGTAGTGCTGCATATGTCTCTGCCAGTCGCGCAATAGGTTTATGTACGTATTTCTTCTGTAGATAGCCTAACCTAGCTACAACATCTCAAATGCTCAGTCTCACTTCTTCTTTGGTGCCAATTCTTCCCTCCAACAACAACTGCCTACCTCAAAGAAAAACCCATTAGGACCAAAATTCGTAGTGGCCGCAGTCCCATTCTCGCGATAATACAGTGTAGGTTAGTAGTAAAATTGTGACTCACATGAAAAAGTACCTTTATTTCATGTCAGACATATAGCCAGGAATATCAGAGGCATTTGATACTGAGCGACATACCAATGACCTTTCCGTTGCAGGTGAAGAACGCACACTGTGCATCGAAGTCAACACCACATCCCACTACATCTCCATTTCCATACTTGGGTCCAAAATCCTCCCGCTTCCCCCTTCCCGCATAGATATATCCAATATTCGCGTAATAACCCCACGAACGCGAGCGCTCGTCATGCAAATCGTTTTCATGGCCTTCCGCGCAAATCCCGAAGCCTAAGATCCCACCCATCTAGCAGACGTCAATCATTAGAGGCTAGATGGGGTGATCTACGGAAGGTATAACCCACTTATGTATTGCGATATTAACAATCGTCAGCTCAGAATAATATGCATAAGTTCCGACGGGCATTGGGTGGTCTGCGTGGACATGAATTCGCCTACGAGAGCGGCCGATTCCTCCTAGCCGAGTAAAGAGAAGCCGTCAGCATGTGCCTTAATGTCTTGTTAGAAAAGGGCCTACCGGTCATGACTCTCAAGCCATTTTCAGCTAGCAAATATCCAGTAGATGCATCTCCTCTTTCACTCCACTTACGCCATTGACTTGGGAGGTAGCTACTTGGCCCATCAACTAGTATGTCTGGTAGATATTTCCCAGAGAGGATGGAGACAACCTCGGTCCTTCCACGCACTTGAGCAATGTGGATAGGCAGGCGACCATGAATATCTTTCATGAATGCGCACCGGTCATTCTTCAAAACCAGTGCCTTCACAATATCTTCGTTCCCTCGTCCCGCTGCCATATGGAAGGCAGGCATTCCCCGCTTGTCCTGAACTGATGTGTCCACACTCAAGTCAAACAGCAGTTTTGACGCCTCCAAGTCATCCATGCGCCCCGCCCAATTCCAAAGCAGTCTACCCAAGCCTCATGCCCTTAGCCCCGATATTAGATGGATGCTCCCTAATAAGCCCCAAATCGCCCACCATTGCGGCGAGATGCAATGGGTGTTATTCTGGTCTCAGCCTCCATCATGCGAATCCCATATCGAACCATGAGATCCACAAAAGTTGGATTGTCATATACCGAAGCCCAATCGAGGATCATCTTGTCCCAGAAAGTCTGGGAATAGTTGGGAAAATTTTCACCTCAGCATCCAACGGGTAGGTATGCGAGCCCTTTAGGGATCTGTAATTTCCGCTGAAGTAGGCTAAAATTCACTATTTAGGGAGTTGTCTCAGAGGAAAGAAGCAGCATTTATCTAGACCAGTTCAAACAGAGGCTACGCAAAATCCGGCCGAATAATGAGATTGTGGAAGAGAGAATGATAAACCGCATATCGCCGCAAACTCATCTCCACAGTCAGGCGACAGCCATCAACGGGTAGCGCTCCCCCCAGTTCCCCTTTGCTGTTGACACGACAAACTAAACCATTCGCTATAACAGCAAGCATCACTGGCTGGATACGATGGACCAATTTGCGCTCATCGTCAAGAACTACCACCGCCACCTGGAGAAGTGTTCACCCACTGTGAAAGTGGCTATTACTGATGACGGAATCGACCCTCTCCAAGCAAATCTGCAGGAGAACATCGATGGTGGAACTTCCTTTCACCACCGGCCTGGTCGTCCTGATCGCCCCATTTACTACTGGTCCGCACCTGGTGGTTATGGTACGGAAATGGCCAAGCTGATTTGTCGTATCTGTCCCAAGGCGTGCTTATGCATTATCCACCTCGGCGAGGGACTTGGGGAAAAAGAAGCGCGACAGATCAAACCAGAAACAGCTATTGAGGCGATCAAATGGGCTACTACTGCCGGTGTGCACATCATCTCTATGAGCTGGAGCATAAATCAAAGCAAGGTGTCCGGGGACCTGTACAACGATTTCCAGAATTTCATCCGCGCCGTCTACGATAAGGGAATCACCATGTTTTGTGCTGCAAGCGACCATGGGAACACCAGTGTTTCGGGGGTAAAAACGATCTCCCCGCTGCCTTCAGCGATCCACTCAAATCTGGTGCAGCCACCGTCGATGGTAAAAACGGACCAAGACTGGTGCACAGAAACTGGACTTTTATCTCCCTGGGGAAAACCTACCGTTACGGGATCAGGTGCACCCTCATCAGTTTTTACTGCAGTCACTGTCCGGTAGTTCATTAGCGACAGCTGTTGCAGCTAGACTAGCCGCATTACTGCAATATTGCATGGGAACTGCGGCGAGAAAGCCCGAGAACAAACCTGTATTCCGGACAGATGATATGTAACATGCCTTCCAGGAGTTGAGTAAGAAGGATCCCGAGATCCCCGAAGTCCACAAATACTTTGGCGACACGCAATTACTTGACACGCTTAAGAAAGTCGAGGATCGGCATGCTTGGATTGCAGGTGATCTTCAGAGAAGTCATCGATGATGGTGCGATATACCGGGGCGAGATCCTTGCTACACAGCCCTTCAGCTATCTAAATCATAACGACAAAAGAACTACGATTCGATTACGCTTGCTCCGAAGGTCTATTAGCCCACCAGGGCAATGTCATGCCTGTGCTCTTATCACTGTTACACAACGAAACATGAATAGTATACTCTAAATTGCGAGAGAATCTAGGAGCTACTCATACGGATAAAGCCAATATGCGTATAATTTGGGTACAGTGAATACTCGCCCTAATGAATCTGCAGCTACTTATGAACAAGAGGCCACCCATGCATTGCTTCTGTCTTGCCCGGCCTGATGATGAATAGTATTATCTCCGGAGTACCTTTCCCAAACAACGATACCTCTATACCGTAGTCTATATACTACTGCCCCCGTAATAAATGATCTGGCCGGCACCAAACGCTCTATGCCAAATAGCAACCATCATCACCAGAAAGCAACACACAATTGAGCACTTGTACTCATCATCTCATACACCTTCATCGATTCCAAAGCCATCCATAACCTAACATCCCAACCAATGTAAATATCTCGTTCCCACACGAAAGACACCAGAAACAACCACAACCAAAAAGTAATTATAACCAGTACTTCAACAACCCAGATCAAAATCATTAAAAACCCACATAACCAACACTACCCACCCACCTAAGGTATAAAAAACACACTACCCTTCCTACCCTCAACCCCCTCCCCAGAGGGGCAAAACCAAAAAAAGAAATCTCCCCGACTGGGAGTCGAACCCAGGTCTCCCGCGCTTGTTCCCGAGAGGGATTGACAAGCGGAAATCATGACCGTTAGACCATCGAGGATTTGATATATTATGCGGATTAGATTTTGACTACATAAAGCTAAAACTGGTGTGGGGTGGAGATGTGGCTGTTTTCGGACAGGTTAGGGCTATTGTTGGGTGGGGCGGTTGCTTACCATCTATCTACTCCAGTGGATATGTGAGTATGTATAGTTATAGTTTGGTTCTGGGTTGCAGTACCTGGGATTCTGGTTGTACTTGGATGTGTTTGGTTGTTGTTGTTGGTATGGTATGGTATGGTATGAAGGGGTTGATTGGTGGTGAGAGTTTATGGGGGATGATAATGTAACTATTGGTATTTACTAAGGGGTATGGGGAAACTGGGTATCTATGCTGTTTGAGGGTCGTCGGAAGTATGATTGATGTTGGGAAACTTGATTGATTTCTAAGTGGGGAGTTGTTATTGAGTTGCTATGTTTTTTCCGTAAAAGTGCTCATGTGGATCGGCCTGGGTACTTTTTATATTGACTGTTAGAAGTATAAGCAATGGTTGGCAAATAGTGGCCTATGTATACCATTGGCATCGTTGAATTGTAGCGAATCTTTATAATCGAGTTTAACTACATTGCTATAGCTCTCTTTTATCTAGCAAAATTCGGCAGCATTATATAACGAAGATCCTCGATGGTCTAACGGTCATGATTTCCGCTTGTCAATCCCTCTCGGGAACAAGCGCGGGAGACCTGGGTTCGACTCCCAGTCGGGGAGATCTTTTTGTGATATTACTTTTTTTGCTTCTTTGTTACCGATGTACCACGGACCTCTAGCACGGACATTGCATAAAAAAGTCAATTAATCCTTAGCTATCATTATTGAGCCAGTGTATGTATCCAATGCAAGCCGCATGAGCACGTGGAGAATTGAACGCAACCGCCTATGTCCAAGACAAACCGAATAAAGGAGACAGGCCTCCCAGAGCAAAACGATCTAAACGACAAACACGCAAAACGATTACAACATCGCAAGAGAACAGACCAGTTGAAACAGGAATAAAGATTTTCCAATTGCAAGCGTTTAGTTGTCAGTCTTCTCGTTGACTGCATCCTTAACTTGGGCTTTCTTGGCCTGAAGCAAGGAGCTGATATAGGCTAGCGACTCCTGCGAGAGCACCAAGCCGGTGGTGATCACGGCCTTGCCGCTCGCAACCATTCCATCCCCGCCACACTTCTTGTACTCCGAACTGTAGGTGTCAAAAACATGACCCTTGAGGTCATAAACGAATCGCACTGGGAATGAGACGCCATCTTTAATCGATCCCTTGAGCGTGGTTGTATCATCCCTGATAAATGGAAATGTTTCATCAACCTTGCTCAGACCTTTATCTCCGAGGGTATCTACGCGCGCGACATATGGAGCAACAAAGCCGTACGGCTTGGAGAAGTAAGGGAGGAACGGCTTGGCTAAGCGAGAGTAGCCTTGGTCGGCATATTCCAGAGACTTCGCGGCGTACTTGTTGGTCTTGATGACGGTGATAGAGTCGGAAACAACAGGATAGGATGTCAAATGCTAGCATAGGAATTAGAGATTAGCGCATGTTGGAAGCGATCGACAGTCGTGCATTGGGGTTACTCACATCGAGGAATTGGGAGTGGATAGTCTCCCCGTTGACAGAATTCTCGCCCATAATGCCGTTTTCTGCGTGAGGCATAAGTTTCTATCATATGAAAATTGCATTAGTATAGGGAAAGGCAGTGTAGAGTAGCGGAGCGATAAGATAAACCCTTACCCGACAATAGAACGCTCAAAGCTATAGGTCCTGGTGAACAAGACAAGCTATGGAGGGTCAGACGTGAAGAAGCGGTGACAAGAAACGGAAAGCGAGGAGGATGGGGATGTTGAAGATAATAAAGGAAAGGGAGGGGTGATGGGGGGGAAAGGGCATCACTTACATTTGCAGAAGGAAAGACGGAATACGGGAGCAGTTGGGATGGACCGGAAAGAGGTGAACCGTAGTTAAATTTAAGGTAGGTTCAAGAAGAGAAGAAGAGCAAACACGCCATCAGTCGATCCGATAGCTAGGATCCATGAGGCTTGTGATTTGATTCGATTGAATTTTTTTTTCACCTGTGCTAATTTTATTTTAGTTTTAATTATTGCCTTTCTTTATGTTGTTTTGATTAATTAGAAAATAATAAATTATTTTTTTTGGGTAAGAGGGAGAGAGAGCGAGCTGGCAGCATGTGATAGCGGGCCCGTTGATGAGTGAACAACTCGCTTGGAGCTTGAATGGAGGGGCAAGCCGTTGGTTCCAGGAGGTTTTAGACCGTCGTAGGACGGAGTTAGTTGTTGCGTGCTCAATCCGGCGGCTTCATCGTCATTATCATTTCACCTGCAGGGCCTGGAACCTGGGATGAGCCTGGAAAAACGCGACCCAAGATTGGATTGACCAGGATCGTGCATCTCCTTCCGTGCGCTCGCGCTCCCCGACAGCCCGCATCCGAATTCGCAGTGAATAAGAGCTATCGCGGAGCAGCGAGGATAAGGAATAAGGAATCAAAACTGGACAGAGTGAGTTCAGGCCCCTCGGAAAGCTGTGTCGAACAAGCCACCCGCACTTGTGCCTACATGGTTCCCTCTTCCTTAGTCATGTCGATATCATGTAGTCATGGCTTGAAGGGAACGAGAAACCGAACGATTCATGATTTAGGTCTCGATAACGGCGGTAACGGTTGCGTTGTCGAAGTGGCAAGAGCCAAGTCAAAACAAATGAACGACGGGCATCGAGCAGCAAATCAGGACTGTGAATCGGAGCAACTGGCTGGAAGTACTAAGTAAGTTGCAGCACAATGTGGATGATGATGGAATCCGGAAGTTGCGAACAGTTGACCTGGAAGGTTTTCTGGCTTGGATCGCGGGATGGGCTGATAGCATGTGATTGCGGGTCGGGCGCCCTCGTTTTCTGTCGCCCGTCGGCTGGTCTTTCTGCTACTAACAAGACTACATGCTGCACTTATGGTCATTATAGTTTATCCCCGAACACTCATGATGCCTAATGCCATTTTTCCCTATCCATCTTGATCTTACCCGCGCATTATAATATGCCATTCATTCATTCAGTCATTCATTCAGTGTTCGTGTAGAAGCATGCAAATTGCTAATTTACGCGAATTCCTCGTGGCTCCCGATAAGAACGGGACTCCGCCGTGGTTCGCGCCGCATGCTTATCAGGGCGCCTACTTACGGGAATGACTGTCACAAGGAAACCGGGTCCCCCCAAAATCACCCCAACGATCCGGAGTACTACTAGACTCAGGAAGCAACCGGCTGGAGGGTAAACGTTGAGGATCAGTACGTCCGGCAAACGGACTACTGCTTTCCCCCTGCCTTCGATTTTGTACCAGATGGGTAACCGCTCTCGTTGATCTCCTGCGGGAAGGTGCAAGCATCATCTTTGCGCCTGGACCTCGTCTCAGGTCCGGGGTTAGAGGCATCTTTGACCCTTTGGCCCTCTGGACCATCAACCTTCTCCGTGGAAGACATCTTACTATCCAGACTGCTCCGTATATTCTGGGCTAGAGAGGGGTTTAGCTTGATCCACTCGTCTTTTGGGCGCTAACAACGCCAACCGTGCGGTGGTAGTCCTGCAAGTGCTGTCCAGATCTGAGCAAGCTTCTACAGAATCTGTCCCCATTGGAGTAGCATCCACGGTCTTCGCTCTCCAGCCCAGTCTCTTCTAGTGCTGACCATGTGCGTCGTACTTCTGTCCATGCGAAAATGGTCGCACCGTGCTGGACCTTCCAATGCTGTCTGAGTGTCCTTCTGCGGCATGTCGGTCGACGCTAGTCTTCCCGGAGGTCAGTTCATAAACCTCGATCCCGATCAACTTTGACGTATTGAAGCACACAATGCAGTGCCTTTGTGCTTAGCGTCTGTTTTAATCGTTGACACACAGTCTGGACGTAAGGTCCTTCCTTCCTTCAACACCACCACAGTTTCTCCTCAACCCCAGCGATCGGAAGCAGATTGACATAGAAGGCGCCAACAACCTGGACGGCCAACTCCTGGTGGCTTGCTTGCTGCATTCGCCGGCCGCGTAGATTACAACAACCAATGGCTATTCACATGTCCTGAAGGATTCTCATTCTCATCGGCAGCTTTAACCATCCTAGTTGGTTACTATTCTGTCAGGATTGTAAAATACCGGGCCATCATCGACAGCCGGAACTGAGGGATTGTCGCACGCCTAGACGGCTACTCCCTCTCTCGGGTAAGGAACGACGTGCACAGATCGCGACCTCTAATTGCACCTCCTCATTTCCAAGGCTACATGGGGCCCCATGTACCTTGCCAGCACCGGTTGGCGCTACACCTACCTTTCTGGTACCTAGCTCGTTTGGTTCAGACGCAGAAGCCGGTGCTACTGTCATTTCGACTTAGGGGCAACCTCATCCGTGCTACATTCGCTAGTGAACATGGTCTCCTTGCAGTAAACCGCCACTACGTATGATGGATGGAGCCAAAGGAGGAGCACCGTATCTACGAGATATGACATAACCCGAGACCTATCTTAGGGGCTATCTTTCTTACAGGTGGGGGTTTGTGCTCCTCCATGGAACTCCGCTTTTACCCCAACAATGTGGGATAGGCTGGGATTTCATGTACGGGGAATATCGGCCGTGCGGGGATTGGAAGCACAAGCTCGGTGGGTTGACGGAAGTAGGTTTCCAAATCTAGATCAGACCGACACACATGTACCCTTCCTTACCTCGTAAGACTAGCCAACAGGGGAAACTTGGAAGGGCCCATGATGTCGGATGATTCGATAGGATTCTTTCGTCCAAAGGTGATGGATAGTGTGCGTTCGATTGGAATGATAGAGCGATCGTGGTGTTTTCGGACATTTGGTAATCTTTTCCGACCTGACCGGTTGGTGTAATACGGACGCGGCCTTTGTGTGCGCTAGGTTGTAGCATGCTTTGTTGTAAAGGAAGAAACCCCTGGAAGCCGAGAATTCCGAAACACAAAAAAAAAGTTGAATTTGTTCATATTTTCCATTTCATTTCGAGACGGACGCCAGATCTGAGTGGCCTCCCTCATGATAAGAAAAATTGGTCAAGTCCTGGACCTGTACATCGATACATTCCCATTCTTCTCTCGTGCTATGGTATACTTCACGTGATCCCATGCTTTTGAACCGGACGTCTTCGATGCTTTTTCTTTTTCCCTTTGCCTCATCTAAGACCCTGCGCGCTCAAACGACAAAACGCCCCATATTACCCCGTTTAGAAACCTGTAAAACCGTCAGCATTGCGAACCTTATCCAGCCAACGTAGGCAAAAAGCAATGGATGGCAAAACGTACGCAGAGGAGTGAAGAACCAACGGTTCTTGCCGCTGGTGTAGCGGTCCTCAAGGGCCTTCTTGACGTTCTTCTTGGCGTCCTCGCGGGTGGAAACCTCCTTGAAGGTCTCGGTGGAGACGGCACCCTTAAGACCCTCGAGCTCAAGGGTGTAGCGAGTGGGCATCAAGTGGTTGTAGTTGACGACCTTGATGAAGGGCTTGATGCGGCTGCGCTTCTCGACGGTCTTCTTACCCATGCGGCGGGTGACCTTGAGGGGGTAGCGCTCGATACCGGCGACGATGGCGTAAGGGAAGGGGTGCGCCTTGGAGCCAGTGTCGTTAGGCTGGACAATGACGACCTGTCATTCGCGAAAAGAAACCCTCGTCAGCACATATATCCTTGCACATTCCGTTCGCTTTTGCCCCCATGGTAGTTCGCCCATCATTCGCGTTTCCGCTCGATTGTTTTATTCCCATGCAAATCGAAAATTCATTTCCTTCGAGTCGGCAAAAAATCATTCCTTCCAATCCATTCCACCTCGGGGTATATATATATGTATCTCCTCGCCAGAAAATGAAGAAATCGGTTGTCGTACCTTCTTACCGGCGTAACGGCCACGGGTGATGATGGCCACACGGCCCACTTTCATGACTATCGTAACATCCTGTCAGTTTGGATTCGAAGACGAGAAAAATCAAGAGTCGAGGTGATGCAGCATTTCACTAACACTTCATTGTGAAAGTCCCGGTGAGCGGCAGGTCGATGGGGTGGTTGTCGATGTGCTTCGGTCGAGTAAGTGAGGTTCTCCGCGTTGGACGTTCTATTTTTCTGAGCGAAGAGGGCTCAGGGCTTTGTGCGCCAAAATCTCATTGGTCATCTTACCGACAAAAGGCTACTAGCCGTTCTGGGAAGGTTTCTCCAAATGGACTAGTGCCCGAGATGTCGGGGAGGTCGGACAAACTCACCGCCTCGATCGGGCCTTGGCTCTTTGTTTACCGGACAACCAAAAGAACCGTCGGTTGCTATGACGGGAGCTTCGATGTGTACGCCGCACATTGGATCGGGCTTCCGTTGATGCCCCATGAGCTACCGTTCCTTTCAGCCAGGAACTCCACTTGGATGTTTGATTGTCTCTTATATTGACTGTTCAACCTCTGGAGCCTGCTCGTATTCCTTGGTCTCTTGCAACCGTCTCGTCGCATTGTGTTTCGTCGTCCTTGTTTCCCCTCATCTCTCATAGCAAGCGCATTTGTATCATCATCTTCAGTCTATATTCTTTTTCCTGTCCCTGCTTTTGTTCGCCTATTGACTTTCCAAATTCCCCCCCTCCTGCGTCCTTTTGGTTTTTGTTTTGACGATTTGATATGCCCTTTACGACCCCCATTGCTTTGATTTTGACGAACATTCCTCTCGCACATTCCTGATATCCCTCGATCGACTTGCTTTATATCCAACATCGACAGACATACCCCGTTTTCTTGCTTTAACGACGATTAAGTTACATGATGCCTACGCACACACGAGATGGGTCCCGCGACAGGGAACTGGTCGTCAGAAATCAATCGGTGCCCATGTATGTGTAAACTCTATTGTTGAGCCCCCCTCTGCAGCTACAACTATGAACCGCGTCAGGCTGACCGTGGACTGTGGAAACGAAGGTGGGACAGTTCGGACCCCGAACGGGCACCCCCTCCGCTCCCCATGAATCCCAGTGCTTCTAGCCCTGTTACAAGAGGAAATGTCTCCCCAGGCATTCAAGCCGTGGCGGCGAATTTCCAAGAAAAGATGCGCGAAAACGCACCGAGCCCGTATACAACCAACCCCATGCCGCCGAAGTCCCCAGAGAAGTCCCTCATCAAGGGCCAATTCCACAGGCGCATGCAATCGCTACAGAATACAGATGCTCGCAATGAATTCTTAAACTATCTCGAGAGTCGGTCACCAGAACGGCCTCTCCGCGCGTCGACTTTTGATCAGAGCCCTAAGCAGCATGAATTAACGCCGGTGAAAGCTCCTGGCTCCGCAGACTCGCGAGATAAAGACAACGAGCAAGAGCTCCCTAACCTGCAGATTTCGAACCGATACCTTTCGAGGCCAATCCTGGGCGAAAGCACACCTCCGTCGGCGACAATGTTAGCTTTGCAGAATATGCAGCTGCCTACTGAGAGCGTCGAGCCATTGAAACCAAAGAGTAACGATGCAGACCCATTCATTGGGCCCAGGCGCGCCGACAACCACAGCTTCGAATCATTATCTACCCAGATACTCAGCCTCACAGATATTGCGAGTAACCTTCAGCGCGAAATGGCTCAACTAAGCCGACGAAGTAAAGACAATGCCACGGACCTGGTCAGCCTCAAAGCTGCAACTAATGCTCGAGACGAGGATATTCGCAGGAGCCTCCGTGATTTATCCTCCAGCCTAGCCGCAAAGTTCCTTGATCCTGATGCTGCCACAAGGTGGGACTTCAGTACTCTCCTGGGTTCTGAAAACGGTATTAACAACAGGGAATCGGATAGTTCTCCGAGCTCGAAGAAGAGCTATTCGGCACCACGAATGTCAAGCCCTAATCCATTTGCCGCAGCAATGGAGCGCGAACTGTGTGGATCTCCTACGCCTATTTCTGATGGTTCCGCCAGCATCGCATTACTAGAGAAGGTCCTTCGGGAGATGGGGACCAAAGAAGGCCAAGACAAGCTTATAGAAATGGTTGAAGAAATAAAAGCCAGGCCTGTCTCCGAAACCCACGAAGTATCGAATGACGAGACGATCACGAGGATGCTCGAAGAAATTCTCGAGCATGTGAAGGATGACTCGGGGAACAAGGCTTTGGTTCGCTCTCAGGCTTGGGTCGGCGCCGACAGCGTCCCTCCGCAGGGAGAGCCCGACGGTTCTGGAACAAGGTCGCTGGACGACGAACAAGCATACTCGCCAGATATGGAAACCCACAACATCCGACCCGCCGAACGCTCTTTGGTGCCCGCCGATCCCGAAATGGCAGACGAGATGCTAGCAATCATGAAAAGAGTGAAGACTAGTGTCATTGAAGGAGGTGGCATGACGAACGAGGTCAAAGCCCTTGTGCGAGAACTACGAGGAGAGGTCCTAGGAATGGGAAGGAACCTGGCTCGACAAATCGAAGGCGTTGGATCTTCCCGCGCTATAGAAGACAGGCCGGACCGACCTACCCATGAAGAGCTGGCTGGTATCGTTGAAAACAACCTGCAGGAGCTCAGAGACCAACTCGCCTCGATCATGGATGAGAGTAGACACCATTCATCGTCCATCTCGGAATTCAGAGCTGCCATGGATGGTAACGAACTGTACTCTATCGTCAAGAGGGCTCTGGATGAGCTTGACCTGTCTCAGTTCCGTGCCGAGCCCCACGGTGTCAATATGGAAAAGGAAGAGATTCTGGAGACCGTTCGGGAAGCTTGGGAGACATACAAGCCTGAGATTGAGTTGCAGAATTTCGGGCTGGAACGAGACGAGATTCTGGAGTGCCTGTCAGAAGGGCTTAGAGACTATAAGCCGCAGCACGAGGACGCCGTTACTTATGACCAAGTCTTGGCGGCTGTCCAGGCTGGAATGCAGAGTTTCGCGCAACCACCCAGCATTACGAAAGAAGAGATCGTACAAACAATTCACGAATGCCTTGCCAATTTCGAACCCCCTGTACCTCGGGGCGTGGAGCGCGAACACCTTGATGGCATGCGCGATGAGATCCTAGAAGCCGTCACCCACTCAGTTACGTCCCAAAGTGCTCTTACAAGAGAGACGCTGGACTCTGGTCTTGGCCGTGATGAGATCTTGAGCGCTCTTTCGGAAGGGCTTGAAGCTCATTTCGGTGCGACCAAGGCCATCGAACATCCTCACATCACCAAGGACGATGTTGCTAATGTAATAAATGAAGCATTCATTGCACAGCAATCGGTGGTCAGCACCAATGTTCAACCCACTGTTTCCCGTGACGAGATTCTCCACGCCATCGCAGAAGGCATGGAAAGCCAGAACTCCATCACGAGAGAGATCGAACTTAACAGGGATGATCTTATGGAGGCTATCGCAGCTGGTTTGCAGGAGGCCAATGAGGCAAACCAGAGCGTCGGGGAACAGATGCTGGAACGTGTTCAGGAGCAGCTGGATGGCATAAAGGGGGAAATGGGCCAACATTTCTCTGCCAGTGAAGAGACCTCCGAGCACCTGCTTAATGCTATCAAAGATGGCATTGCTGTCGTGCGACAGGAAGTGGAAGGCTACGCCTCAATTGCAGCTGAAGCTTCCGGGAAGCATGAGATCATGGACACTGTCAAGGAAGGGTTCCGCCTGTTGCAGGCTGACATGGAGAAGACGATCACTGAGACCGCCGCGTCTAATGCGCCTCGCGGTAATCCGGATACACCGGAACTTCTTGATGCCATGGAGAAGGAATTCGAGCATCTGCGACAGACAATGAGCTCCTTGTTGATTCGCAACAACGCACCGAATGAAAAGGACGAGATCCTGGACGCCATTCGCGACATCTCCGAGCAGCAAAAGACTTCCAAGAGCGATGATGTTCTTGCAGCTATCCGCGAGCTGTCGGAGAAGCAGGCGGGTACGCCTGCGGAGGATATCCTTGCAGCTCTTCGTGAACAGTTGGACGAGCACAAGACTGCGAGCAGTGATGCAATCATTGCCGCAGTTGAAGCAGCGTTCGAACAGAAACCCAGCGCTCCAAGCGACGAGATCCTTTCTGCCCTTCGTGAAATCTCCGAGAAGCAGGACAACACGAACAGCGAGGAAATTCTTGCTGCCATCCGTGAAATCTCCGAGAAGCAGAACAACTCGAACAGTGAGGAGATTATTGCTGCCATCCGTGAAATTTCGGAAAAGCAGAACGATACGAACAGCGAGGAGATTCTTGCGGCAATTCGTGAACTGTCGGAACAACACAAGGCGGCCAACAATGACGATATGCTTGCTGCCGTGCGCGATATATCCGAGCAACACAAGGGAATAGATAGTGAAGCAATTCTTGGAGCAATCCGTGAATTCTCAGAGCAACACAAGTCTACAAGTGTCGACGACATAACGAATATCATCAAACAAGAGTTCGAGGAACTCCGTCACTCAATGAACATGACTCTGGTCCGTGCGGAACCTACGGAGCCCAAGACGGACAAGGATGACATTATTGCTGCGCTGCACGAAAGATTTGACACCTTCAAGGACGAGCAAACCCAGCCCAGAGAGGTTAGCGAAAGCGACGCCTTCACTAATGGTGAAGTGATTGAAGCCTTGAACGACGGCGTTGGCACCATTCGGGAAGACATCGCAAAGCTCATGGAGAAGAATGTTGAGTTCGACTATTCTGAGCTCCTGGATGAGCTGAAATCAGGGCTTGGCAGTCTGAAGGCAGATGTTGAAATGCTGAGGCAAGCTCAGAAAGAGAGTGAAGAAGTCGAGACGACTCGTGGAGGTGAACTGATGCTTGCAAGCAACACTCCACCCTCTGATTCCACCAGCAGCAACGATATTGAAGGTCTCAAGGCCCTTATCACTCAACTTCAAGTCAAAGTCGAGGCAATTGAGTCTGCTCCGCGCGCTGCAGAGGCTCCGGAAGACATGCTGAAGAAGGAGCACCTTGATGAAGTCCTCCTTGGACTACACGAACTTCAGAGCTCAGTAACAGGCATCGTTGCCCGTGATCAGCCTGCAGATGAGGCAACAGCCAAGAAGGAGGACACAGACGCCATTGAAACCCTGCTGCGCAACACGAAGGCACAGCTTGATGAGATGACATTCCCTGCCCCTGACGAGATCGCAAGAGCAGAGCAACTTTCAAACCTTGAAGGTATCGTCAAGGAAACTAAAGAAGCCATGTCTGAACTTCGTACTCGATTCGAATCGGACGGCCCGACGAAGTCAGAAATTGGTACTTTGGAGACCCTGATGAAAGACATGTGGATCGCTCTCGATGAACTGAAGGGCAAGGGAACAGAGGAGGAAAATGATGCCGAGAAGTTGGTCAAGGCAGATCTGCAGACCGTGGAAGCGATGATCTTCGAAGTAAAGACGCAGGTCGAAGAACTCAAGCTTCCCGACATCGAGACATTGCCGACCAAGACCGACATCCAAGATCTTACGGCACTTGTTACTGAGTTCCGCGAGAAGGTCGATGCCGACAACGAGATGACCGGTCAAGCCTTCGATGCTCGGAAGGTTGAGCACGCCGGGCTTGCCGAGAAGATCGAGGAGGCTCGGTCTGTCGTGGAGGGGCTCGGAGACGAATTGAAGAGCAAGCTGGATGGTAGCAACGAGGGGCTCAGCGAGCTCAAGCAGCTACTTGAAGGCTTGGCAGCGTCTGCCGAAAGCTTCACGACGGTGGAGAATGTCAACGAACTTACGGAACTGATCAACCGCGAATTCGAGCGTGCCCGGGGCGAACAGGATGCGACGAAACTAGAGAAGGAAGAGCGGGATGCTGCTGCGATGGTCAAGCATGACGAGACTCGAGCCGCTATTATCGTTGAACTGGGCTCGAAGATTGACGAAAAGCTCGGTGAAATCGTGGCCAAGTACGACGAGGTCCAGTCATCTATCCAAAGTGCTATGGACTCCAAGTTCTCTGAGAGCGCGGAACGTGACAATGCGCATCTTGAGGCTGTTACCAATACCAAGGCTCTGGCCGAAGACATCAGGCTCGTCATTGGATCCATGGGCAACAGCGTTAATGAGGCCTGTGAGCGTATGTGCACGGATGCGCAAACCTTCTTCGAAAAGGTTGATGTGTCCTACAACAAGATGGAAGAGATGCACAACGAGGTCAAGACCCAACAGGAGCAGGCTCGCTCGGATCTCGAGCGTGCAGCAGCTGCAACTGATCGTGTCGAAAGCCAACTGCACGAGTTCCATCCTCAGGTGCTAGAGTCTATTCAGGAGATTCTTTCCATCGTCGGACAGCACTACGATCACTCCCAGAAATCGGCGCAGGATCTCAAGATGGATCTTTCTACAATTCCCTCTGCCATTACTCCGTTACTTCCTGCATTGCCGCCGCCCGAGCCCGAGAAATACGATGATACTCCGGTTCAGGAAAAGCTCAATGACCTCCTCGAACGTGCTAAAAGCAGCCAAGTCCAAGAGACACTGAATACTCTTGTCGAGCGCGTTACGAATGATCAAGTACATCAAAAGCTGGACGAACTTCTGACCCACACTACGAGTACTAATGGTCAGGTCTACGAGAAATTGAGCGAACTTCTGGACCATGCAACTAACTCTACCGGACCGGTCCACGATAAGCTTGATGTCCTCATCGACCATGCGACCAATAATGATCAGTCAGTTACGCAGATGATGAAGTTGGACGAGATGCACAAGGATATCATGGATACGTCCCGCCGGATGAATGAAATGTTTGCCGCCCAGACCGCCATGGTGGCTGAAGACAACGAGCGGAGACGTAAGGAGGCCGAGGAAGCAGCGATTGCACTGGAGAGGCGCAACGCCCAGCGCGAGCAGGTTGAGGCAGAGATCTTGACCCTAAAGGAGGAGAAGGATTCTCTGCTGCACATCATCCAGAGCTTGAAGTCCGAGAAGGATGACCTTGCCAAGCAGACCACCAAGCTCAGCAAGGAAGTCGCTGGCTTGGAAATGGCACTCGAGCTCCGGCATGAAGAAATGCAAGTAATGGAAGATCGTGCAGACCATCTCGAGAAGCGGATCCTGGAAGGCGTTCTCGACCACGCTCGCAGTGTTCTCTTGAGCCGCCCGAACGGCATGAAGAAGGCGCGCGGATCTCGCGCCCGCGGGCCCAGTGTTGCCAGCAATGCCAGCACGGCGAAAGATGCCCGTAGCATCCTCGGCAGTAGCGTTGGGCTAGCGCTGAGAAAGCGAGCACAGAATGGGTCACAGGCGGGATCTGTCGCACCATCGACCACCAGCAAGGAACGGCGTATCTTCAGTTTGAGCAACGTTACAGGCAATCGCGGTGCAGGAGATCGGCAGGTGAGTGGCGCCAGTGGGTTTGCCAGTCTAAAGCGGAGCCATTCAGTCAGATCCAACGTCTCCCAGCGCAAGGCATCTTGGGGAGGCCGAAGCTCCATCGCCAATAAAGAAAACGAGGTCTTTCCGGAAGAAGATGGGGAAGAGAGTGACGCAGGCACGGAACGACGAACCAGCTACACAGGAACATATGCGGACAGCATGATCTATGGTACCAGTAGCCATGTCTCCGCCGATCGGCGGGTAAGTGCCGCTAGCTCCACAGGGCTGCGTTCGGTCGCGGACGAACCGGAGGACTCCGAAGGGGAGGAGGACGCTCAGACGCCCAAGGCAGATGAGCCGGAGGATTTGGAGCTGGATGAGGAGGCCTCGAAGATGGTGGTCTACGGACAGCACAGCGATAGTGGTATTGGACCCGAGGTCACGAGTGCGGCGGCATGAAGCTCTAAGAGCACGAGGACTCCTCTCGGCTCTGCTGCATGACCCTGGTAATGAAGGGATGAGGGCAAGCAGCATGTTATGGAAGCCCTTCTGAAGCGAATCATCCGAGCATTTGGCTGAGCTGAGTGCTGTATAGATAGGGGGATGCTTGGTTTCAGACATGAATCCGATAAGGGTTGGATACGGGGTACTTTCCTTTGTACTTTCCTATGTTTCTTACGACTGTTTATGCATGATGTACCTATGTTTTTTTTTATTCAGCGAGGGAAGTTAATAATGAACTTGATATGCTGATATGAGGGAAAGCCCACCTAAGAATATTTCTTCTGTAGATGTTCGTAGTTGCCTGTAGATGAAGATCAAAGGAGCAACGAGTCACATGGGCAGCGGTCATGCAGCGCGGCTGAGTCAGCCCCAAATCCCCCAACGGATTTGCTTCTCGCGTCACTTTTTGTGTTTTGGGCGGTTGGCTCCTTTGGTCCTTGCTGCATCAACTGTCGCTACTCGCTTCATCCTGGATGTGTGCATGCTTGCATCGGTTGCCGTCCTTGGCTGGCCCGACGGCGAGAGATAAATAGATCCTCGGTGCTGCCCCTGGCCACTCCTCATTTACTACTTCTCTCCTCTCGGTCGGTAAACTCCAACGTCTCCGGGTCTCCACCATGGCTAGTTTCTAGACCAACTAACCTCACTAGTCTCCGCCCTCCTGCTGCTCCCTCCTCCTCTGTCTTGTTCTCCTGCTCCCCTATCTCCCTTCTGCAAGAGTGGATAATTTTCCGGTTCTCTCATCCTAACTTCTCTCCGCTTGGTCGGAGGAGCGGTCAACCGGCATGTTGGATCCTTTTCCACCCCCGCCAGCATGGCTGCGGGATTTCGTTGAGCCATGGGCGCTTCATTACAACGTTCCTGCTCTGACGGAGCATGCTCACGAGGTCATTATTGCTTTTGCCGGCTACCTTTTTATCCACTTCATCTTGTCCCCCGTTCTGTCTCCGGTGCTTTTCCCCAATCACTACCCGAAACTCAAACCCCGGACCAAGCTCAACTGGGACGTTCATGTCGTCTCGCTGGTGCAGAGCACCTTCATCAATGGCATGGCCCTTTGGGTCATGTTTGCCGATGAAGACCGGGCTTCTATGAACGCCTCTGAACGTATCTATGGATATACTGGAGCCTGTGGACTGGTGTCCGCCTTCGCTGCCGGATACTTTGTTTACGATCTGATCGTCAGCACGATCTACGTTAAGCTCTTTGGCATCGGAATGCTTTTCCATGGCATTAGCGCCCTGTGGGTGTTCAGTTTTGGATTTGTGAGTTGTGACCTATTTCAGCTTAACAGTTTGCGTCAATGAGCTAATCATTTGGCTTGTGCTATCATCACAGAGACCATTCGTGAACTTCTACTCCCCCGTCTTCATCCTCTATGAGCTCTCCAGCCCCTTCCTCAATATCCACTGGTTCCTCGACAAGGTCAACATGACCGGCAGCAACCTGCAGTGGTACAATGGCATGATGCTTCTCTTCACCTTCTTCAGCTGCCGTCTCCTCTGGGGCACTTACCAGTCCGTCGCCGTCTATCGGGACATGTGGTACGCCTTGAAACAGACCTGGGATGCCACTGCAGCTGCCACTCCCCTCGAACCCGTCGATCTCACCTCTCAAGTCTTCCAGGTCCGCGGAGGCAGCGGCAGTGAAATGGCTAAGTACGCCTCCTTCACCGCCGGCGGCGTCCCCACCTGGCTGGTCCTGACTTACGTGATCTCGAACGTGGTTCTCAACTTCCTGAACTACTTCTGGTTCTCGAAGATGGTCGAGACCGTCCTGAAGCGGTTCCGCGGGCCCGCCGAGAAGTCCGGACCGGCCGGTAAGCCCTCCAAGGAGGAGCAAATCAGCCATCTGAAGGAGGAGATCACGCAGAAGGTCGTCCTGGAAGCGGCCTCCAAGCTGGAACAGGAGGAAGGTAGCCCTTTCCTCGATGGAGTGTCTGAGGAGAAAGTCGCTTCGGCTGTCGACTCGGGGCTTACCGAGGAATTGAGGAAGAGGAAAGTCCAGTTGTCATCCTAGTCTGCTCCTTAACCTGGTTTTCGGAACCTGCTTCAATGCAGCAGCAGCAGCAGCAGCAGCAATCCAAAGAGGAACAACATCACTCGTCATACCATCAGCCCTACAATAAACAGCCTCATAGCTCGCGAGGACATGTCTCACAGCTTGTTGACTTGAGATTTTACTCCCTCTCCACCCTACCACTGCCGATCAGATAGGTCAGCGAGACGGGCCCCCAAGCATCAGGAGCTATATCGTTATATAACGCGACGTTATGTTATGGGAAAGCTAGTTGATTCGAAATCATGCATTCATGTCTTTCGATAAGGAGTTCATCTGGATAGGAGAATGGGTTTGCTCATTTATTCTGTTTTGTTCGATTTCTTTGTGCAGTTGCTATCTTGCTTAGATCTCAGTACAGTCTCAGAAATATAAATGAAACGAGGAACGGCATCCAATCATACATACCTGCATTCATCATGATATATATATTTACACGGTCTCACATGAGAGTTACTAATTAGCAGTGACACTTATTAGTCGGTTTCTTACTTACTGGAAATAGAACAGATACGAGTAAGATCTGTATTTCACTCAAAGCAACTGAATACATTATTGATGACAAGGGAACTAGTAAAAGAGCTGAAAGAAGCAACCATCCCGAAATCAAAACCAACCAAGACAAAACACCACGAAAGCGCCCCCATCAAACAAGCCCTACTTAATCGACTAACTAAACTAGTATCGTTCGTAAGTTATTTTCTTCGCTGATCACCAACCACATTCCAAAATAATACACCTGTCATATCACCGACTTAATACCACACCACCACCAACAATCTGCCCTGTCAACTAGCTAGTTCAAGAATCACCTCCCCATCGCCGCCTCTGGCTTAGCAAGCATATACCGCACCGCTTCCCTCGCCACAGTAGTATCCCAAACGCCATCCGTACCACCACGACGGAACTCAGGCCCACTAGCATCTTCGCCACCACCACGCGTCGCCTCTCCAAGAATAGTCTCCAAGTCTCTGCGCTGGGAATTGATCCAGCGGCGGACGAACGTAGCGGGATCCTTGCTGAGAGCCGTGTAGAAGGAGTGACGGGCGCGGGAGTGCGTCAGGGCTTGCACAATGAGGGCGACCTGGTCGTCTAGCGTGGCGATCTGGCGCATGGAGGCCGTGTATTGCGGGTTTTGGGTGAGGGCGAGCATCTTGGAGCGGAGAGGGTCTTCCAGGGCGACTTGGATGTCGTAGACGGTAGGGGTCGGGTCCTTGTGGTAGTCTTCGTCGACGCGGATGGTGTAGGGGAGGTGGATGGGGTCAATGGGGCTGGTGTGAGGGCCGATGCTTTCGGGGATCTGAGGGAAGAACATTTGGTCGCGGCCGAAGATCTGCGCGGTTGGGTTGGATTAGTCTTGGATTTATATGGGGAGGGGATGGGGAGGGGCGGTACCGATCGTAGACGATGGTCACAGCGGACGAGTCGCTTCTCTTCATCTTCTTGAAGGCCCATGGCACGGATGTAGTCCCAGATGCCGAGAACAATGCCGCTTCGTGTTTCTTCCTCTACGTCTAGTACTTCTGCTAGCTCTTTGCTTAGCTTGAACCGTTCTGGTGTCTCGTCGCGCACGAGACTGAATGTCACGTTCAGGTTCTCCTGTGACGCGCGGGTGAACTGCATCGAGTCGAAGTCTGCTGTGGGCGGCAGAGTGACAGTGTTAGGGGGTAATTGCGGCTTGGTCCAGGTGATTGGCTTGACTTCCTCCGGGCTGGCGGTGGAGGACTTATCGAAGTCGACGGTGATGGATTTGAAGAAGTGCGAGAAGCGCTGCTTGGAGCGCTTGTTGGACGACTTTTTGGTAGTGGCATTGGCGTTAGGTCCATCTTGCTCCATCGCGTCGCCGTTGTCCGTCTGCTCGGTAGCTTCGTCGTCACTGTCCTCCGGGGCGGTCGGGTCGGTGTCGTCGTCCAGAAGACGTCCCTCGATGCGTACCTTGTACCGTCCGGAGCCGGGGTTGCTTCCGGGGGCGGCACCGTTGGCAGTCTGCCAAGGTTGGTTTTCGACAGTGTTCGAGATCCAAATGCGCATTGTGCGGTACTTCTTGACCGTCTTGCTGATGGAGTCTTGGATGTCCAGGCGCTTACGGACAATGGCTGCATCGAGGCGTTTCTCCAGGTCGCGGAGGCTCTTGTACTGCTGCACACCTTCGCCGATGATTACTTCCTCAATGCCGTCGGGGATGTTCTTGTCGGTGGGTTTGCGGCTGCGACGCAGGGCGGCGTCATTGGGAGGCTGCATGTTGCGCTGGGGAGGGATGTATTGAGGTGGAACGGCGTGCTGAGGCATGGGGACAGGCATCGCAGCAGCTATACGAGGGAGAAGGAGTTAGAAGAAAAAGTTCCGCCGGGGTTTGATTGGGTTAAAGGGTGGAGGCTCACCAGGACCTGGAGGACCGCGACGAGGCGTGGCAGGGGAGCGTTGGGCGGCTTGTGGGGGGAACCCACGGCCGTAGTTGGGTGGGATCTGGGCATTCATGGTTGGTCCGTGATGAGACGGTGAGGCCGCAAGGGAAGATCCGCGAATTGGAGGATGGAGATCCTTGGGGCGATGAGACAGACCGCGCAGGGCCGGAGAGATGGGCGTGTATTGCTGGGCGGACGAACAGAAGCAAGTCACTTGCTTTGCCGGCCTCTTCGCGATTCTTTTGCCGCGGTCGCGCTATTCCTCTTTGGGATGGACCAGCAACCACCAGTTCATCGCTACATATCCCCATAACATCTACTAACTATTTCCTAATTTATCTAATTTATATAAGAACAACAACTCTCATATATTCATTTGTAGTAATGCTGTTTCATTTCCAAGCCATTAACTCGATAACCCCCGCATCAGTTGCCGTTTCTTACTCTAGCAGCGATGCTTGATTAGTGTACAGCTCTTCCACCACATTGCTCAGCTTCTCGATCGTGTCCAACGCAGCATCGTATGCCTGGTCCCGCTCCGTCTCATCGTAGACAATCAGGCATCCAGCCCCCTGGTCGAGCACTCCAATAATCACCTTGTCCAGGATCATCTGAGAGAGCTTCCGCTCCACCTGCTGCGTGTCCAGCCCAACCATCTTAGCAATGTGGTCCAGCTCGACCCGGCTGAAAGGTTCAATAACCTTGATCAGGTTCTGCTCCAACATGGCATCGTACAATCTGCGGAGGTGGTTGCGGATGAATGTATCACTGCCCAGCTCGAACCGGTAGTCCGAGAGCGCCTTTTCGTACTCCTCCAGGGACCGGTTGGCATGTGCACGCGCCACAGCCTTCATGGCCTCGAGTCGCGGGCTGGCATACTTCTGAGCCTGCTTCGATCCCAGCAAATTCGTCACATCATCCACCAGGTTCAACATGATCTTGCACAGCAGCATATATTGGAGGGCCGCAGTGGCCTTTTCTCCCTCATCGAGGGAGCTGTACCCTTCCAGAGCCTCAATGAAATAGGAGAATGACGTGTTGAAATCCTTGTCCTCTGCGTGTAGCATACCACTCTGCATGTCGAGACCGGCCTGCAGGTTCGTCGGCGTGTAAACGGAAGCGGCCGATGTCCGGGCTGCCGTCAAGGCAGCACGTGCCTTGGCCTGGTTGCCCAATGCATGGTACACCCGCGACTCCAGCAGCTGCACCTCAACCAGCATGAGCTTGTCATCCAGGCGCTTTAGCTCGCGGAGGAGGGAGTTGATGAGGGTGAGCGCATCGTAGTAGGTCTGTTTCTGCATGTAGATAGCTACAAGGCGAGTCTGGAGGTTCTGACGAAGGAAGGACCTCCGCTCGGCGATGGCCCATTCAATGCATGATTGGATGACGGAGACTTGGATATCGAGTGTGTTCGGGATCTCGCTGAACAGGTCCAACAGCTGGCGGACTATCAGAGGACGGGTGGTCAGTAACCCTGGAAGCAAAACATCATCTCTGTCAATGCTACATACCCAGCTTAGCTGTCTTTGCCTTGGCAAATGAAGAGAAGGAATCGCGGCTGGTCTTGATGAGTTCGGCAATCTCGTGGGGCTTCTTCTGGTCCCGGTAGAGCTCTCCCAGCAACACCAGGGCATTCTCGTAATCGCGCGATGAGGCCTCAGACGAGCCGGTACCTTGCGCAAGAATTTCCTTGAGGATGCTCTCGGCCTTGGAAGGGTCGCTCTTCACGAGACCCCGGGCTTCGTCTATCCGCCCAGCGGTCGTCGAAGAGGGTGCCATGACTAGATCGGGGCTGTGAGGGGCGGCGGAGGAAATGTGGAGGGATTGCGGGTAGTTCTGAATCTGCCAACGAAGTGACAGGTAATGCACAGAGCGGGGAGGCCCTAGACACGATGAGAGATGAGATGATGAGGTATAGAGGACGATGGCAGGACAGGAAGCTTACAGGTTTGGCTATCGTCACTGGCGGTTGGAGCTGCAGCTGCCGCCCTCACCGCCCGCGGCTTGGCGAGCCAACCAGAATCGGCGGTACCCGCCTAGTAGAAAAAAAGCGCCTGGAAATTTTATGTCCGATATAGTTTTAGTTTTCTTCCCTCCAGCTTCCTTTGCAGAGAAAACCACCGGACGCCATGGTAAGTAAATCCAAATTGTTTCATCGTCTTCCAAATAGATGCTAATATACCTATCAGAAAATCAAAGCTCTTTCTCGTCCTACTTCGTCGCAACAGGCTCCGGGAACCGCTGTCGTTCGACAGCCCCGAAACCTCGACCCGGCGCAGCATCCATTCGAACGGGCTCGTGAGTATACCCGTGCTCTCAATGCTACCAAGCTAGAGCGCCTGTTTGCTGCGCCCTTCCTGGGCCAGATGGGCGACGGCCACGTGGACGGTGTGTATACCATGGCCAAGGACCCAGGCTCTTTGGAACGGTTCGCCAGTGGTAGTGGTGATGGTGTGGTCAAGGTGTGGGATTTGACCACTCAGGGAGAGGTGTGGAACACCCAGGCACACGACAATATCGTCAAGGGTGTCTGCTGGACCCCCGATCGGAAGTTGCTCTCTTGCGCGAGCGACAAGACCATCAAGCTTTTCGACCCGTACAACTCGGCACCCGAAGCACCACCGCTAGCAACCTACCTGGGCCAGGGCGCTTTCACCTGCCTCACGCACCATCGGGACCTGCCATACTTCGCCGCCTCTTCTTCTCAGATCTCTATCTACGATCTCTCCCGTCCTTCCTCCACTCCGTCCCAGACCCTCCACTGGCCCACCAACGTCGATACCATCACCTCCATCGCTTTCAACCAGACTGAGACGTCCATCCTTGGTTCGACCGGTATTGATCGCTCGATTATCATGTACGACCTTCGGACATCGTCCCCTCTACATAAAATGGTTCTGCGCCTGGCGTCGAACGCGATCTCGTGGAATCCGATGGAAGCATTCAACTTTGCCGTTGCCAACGAAGATCACAACGTCTACCTGTTCGATATGCGCAAGATGGATCGCGCATTGAACGTGCTCAAGGATCACGTCGCCGCTGTGATGGATGTGGATTTCAGTCCCACTGGTCAGGAATTGGTCACTGCCTCTTACGATCGAACGATCCGCTTGTGGAACAGATCCACGGGCCACTCTCGCGACATCTATCACACCAAGCGTATGCAACGGTATGTATTTCACTTTCGCTCTCCTTCTCCAAGCAACTATAGTGCTGACTTCGTTCTACAGTGTCTTCTCCGCCAAGTTTACCCCCGATAACAAGTACGTCTTGTCCGGCTCCGACGATGGCAACATCCGACTTTGGCGCGCAAACGCATCCGACCGCAGCGGTGTAAAGAGCGCTCGTCAACGGGCCAAGCTCGAGTACGACCAGGCCTTGATCCAGAGATACTCGCACATGCCGGAAATCCGCCGAATCCGACGCCAGCGTCACGTGCCGAAGCCGATCAAGAAGGCGCGCGAAATCAAGCGGGAGGAGCTGATGGCGATCAAGAGACGCGAGGAGAACGTGCGCAAGCACACCAAGAAGGAGAACCTGCCCAAGAGACAGAGCGAGCGCGAGAAGATGATCCTGGCCAAGGAGCAATAGATGCTCTGCCTGGACCGTCCATCTGGAGCATCGTGCGGAAAGGCTGCGCTCAGAGACCGAGTACATTGTGTCTCAAGTATATACATTGCATGGACATGATACAGTTGGGGTATATTCTATTACAGCTGTTGTTCAGCTTCGTCGTCAGTCCTCTTTCACGTGATCCAACTCAGTCTGCAATTGCTGGCTGGACGAATCAGCCCTGTCGGCTTTGGACGACGCTTGTGCTACTGCGCCGTCAATCCCGCCCAGGTACCGCGCCAACCGCTGCACGCTCGCCGGCAACACCGCATACCAGTTCACCAGCATGGCAAACGCGGGCAACCTTATCACGCCACCCCTGCCGCTGTCGACAGCCGAGACAATAGCCTGGGCCACCTGGACTGGCTCCAGAACGGGCGCAAAGAACCGGTTTGGTGTCTGGACGGATTCAAACAGCGGCGTTGAGATCTGGCCCGGCTCCACCAGAACCATCTTCACTTTTGCCTCGTCCCCGGATTGGCGAAGTTCGGCCTCGAGCGAGCGATGCAACGCGCTCAACCCAGCCTTACTAGCCGAGTAATCCGCCAACCCAGCCGCACATAGCTGCCCGAGCACGGAACTCACTGTGACAATGGTGCCACCGTCCGGAGCAGCCAGCATATAAGGCAAAAATACCTGATAGGCATGAACGGCGGCGAGTAAATTGGTGTTGATAGTTTTCTGGAATGCCTCAGGAGAGAGCTGTTGCAGAGGCAGCCCGTTGATTCTTGCAGCTGCGCAATGGATCAATATGGTAGGAGTACCCAACTATCCCGCAATCAATCAATGAATAGTTAGCCATCATCAATATACCCATATCCATACCTTTCTTCCCCTTTGTACACAATAATAGGAATTATACATACCTCCTCCCTCACCCTCCCCACAACCCCCTCCAAAACCCCCCTATCCGAAACATCACAAACATAACTCCCTCCCAACCCCATCTCCTCCACCTCCTCATCCGCTATCCCCCGAATATCCAAAACCGCTACCGTGGCGCCACGAAGCGCATATATCCTCGCAATAAGTAATCCCAACCCGCTCGCTCCGCCCGTCACGACCACCACTTCATTGGAGAGATCGACGGTGCGCGGAGCTCCGTATGCTAGTTGCTGGTTGAGTGTGCTTAGGACGTAGATGAGGGTGAGGAGGGCGGCGTAGGCGATGGCGATGAGGAAGGGGACGGAGGTGTAGGGGGTTGCTTGGGCGCGGAGGCACAGGAGAAGAATGTAGGATGGGATGGGGTGGAGGATGGTGCGAGTGAGAGTTGTGAGGAGGAGGTCGAGGGTTATGGGGGGGTTTGAATTGGAGGTGTTGGTGGTGGTGGTTGTGGTTGTGGGTTGGATGGGGGTGGTGTGGATGAGTTTGGGGGTTGTTGGGGTGGCCATTGTTGGTGTAGGTGTTAGGGATGTTGGGTTGAGAGGGTAAGTGGGCTTGGGGGCATGGTAGGAGGGGGTGGTTTGTGTTGTGTATAGCAGTGGTTGTTGTGGTCGTGGTGTTTTGCGGAGGCTGCTTCTGTGATGGGTTGGGTTCTGTGATTGGTTGGTTAGGGATTGTCGGCGCTTAGATAGGGGGTGTGATAGCTGATTAAAGGGGAAGGGCTTACTGGGTGAGATTGTCAATGAGAGTTGACGGTAGACTTCTAGATTGTAGTGTCTCAATATTGGAGATCCTAACAGTTGGAGCTTGGAGGGAGTGAGGAGAAAGAAGCTCTGGCCAGACGATTGCGATGTGGGGCTGCGGATGGTTCAGTTCAGTTCAGTTCAGTTCATGGCCGAGTTAAGGTTGTGCAGAAGCTATGCATAGAGCATTTGCCTTAATTCTCTAGATCGAATTTGCAATTGATTCTTGAAAGTTCAAATATACAAATATGTTCACATTGCCGTCCGCTGTTACCTAAGAGCCCATGGGCGTCCCATGCTCGGGGATACATACAAGTGCGGCGAGTTCCGCTCTCACCCGAAACAGCACAATCACGTTTCTATCACTCACAACACTGAACACCATATAATATCATATACCAAAGAATGCCTCCACCTACTCTTACACCCGTCAAGCGCATTCAGAATGTCCGCCTCCCCGGCAGAGATTCAACCTGGGACATTGCCATCTCGCGCCCCCATGATACTCCCCACAGCATCATCACATCCATCACCCCGCACCCCAATGCTCAATCAGATCAGACCGCACCACTCGCCCTCCCAGCTTTGACACACCCACACATCCACCTGGATAAAGCATTCATTCACAACTCCCCCGAATATGCAAATCTTCTTCCCTCCACCGGCTCCTTTGCCGAAGCGTTATCCTTTACCACGACAGCGAAGCAGCAATTTACGTGGGAGGATCTCCTGAGACGAGGAGAATGGCTGATTGCAGGTTCTGTCTCTGCAGGGGCCACGGCGATGAGGGCATTCGTGGAGGTAGATCATACTGTAAACCTCACCTGCCTTGAAGCTGGAATCGCCCTCAAGGATGAGTGGAAAGAGGCATGCGCAGTGCAAATCGTGTCCTTTGCGCAGGACCCGATATTCTCTGGTGAGCACGGGGACCATAACCGTCAGCTCATGGAAGATGCGGTGCGACGGCCGCAGGTGGATGTCATTGGGACAACACCGTACGTTGAGTCGTCGGTTGATGCATCGAAACAAAATATTACATGGGCCATTGAGCGTGCCCTAGAGTGCAGAAAGCATGTCGACTTCCATCTCGATTATAACCTCGATACCGGGAAGGAAGCACTAGTATGGTTTGTCCTGCGCACGCTGAAGGAGAAGGGCTGGACATTGCAGTCAACGGATAAGCGGGTCATGCTGGGGCACTGCACGCGGCTGACGCTGTTCAGCGATGAAGAATGGGCGCTTCTTGCACAAGAGATCCGAGGCAATGGCCTTCCGGTCAGCTTTGTTGGGCTACCGACGAGCGACATGTATATGGCCGCTCCACCATCCTCGAAGAGCCATGATCGACCACGGGGTACATTGCAGGTTTTGGAGATGATAAACAAGCACAGTTTGGACACGGTGATTGGGATCAACAACGTTGGTAACGCATTTACGCCTTGGGGCTCGGAAGACCCCCTGTCGTTGGCGTGTCTTGGAGTGGGTATCTATCAAGCTGGGACCAAGGCAAATGCCGAGCTATTGTATGAATGCGTGTCGACCAGAGCTCGCGCAGCAATCGGGCTATCGCCACCAGAGGCTAGCCTTTCTTTGAATCAGGGAAGTCGTGCAGATATCCTGCTGTTTTATGACGTGGACGACACTGGTAGTAACGTGTCAAAACCGCGACATGGTGTTGCAGGCATCGTCTGGGACCCGCCAGCGAAGGCTAGTAGGGAGCTCGTGGTTGGTGGCCAACTTAAGGCTTCTCCATGTTCATTATGTCCGAAATCTGCGTTTTGCTTCGCGTAACGGCGAGTTGTCGGGAGGCGTCGTCTTTGGCGCATGGAAGGTTGCACAGCAGATAGTGTATTATATCGCTAAACCAAAGATCCACATGCTTCAGATAAGTATAGTTCGCCAGACCACAAAGTGATGGAGATGATCTAAAGAATCTATGACGTCAAGTGCTCAATGTTAAGTGTGAAGTCAGAAAGAGTTGAACGTAAGAACAGGGGAGGTTGATGCTGGTGTCATGTTCCCCACACAGGAACGATTTCATTCATTTGAGCGTGTACCTGCGCAGGTCCGTGTAGCGAATAGCTGAAGGTAGGACAAGCAGGGTCTTCGCGCATAATATCCATGTCATCCACATTAAGCGATAGCCGGAACCCGTTCCCAGCGCGTGGATACAACCGGTGCTCCTGGAATTCATATTCCGAGTCGTCATCAGAGATCTCCTCATACTGCCTTCGAGTTGTTGATGAAGATGTAGCTTCGGGTGCAGAATCCTCATTTTGTTTGTTCCCTTCAGTAGATGCAGACGCGGAATCCCTTGTATCATTGCTTGTCGAGACATTACCCGACACGGATGTCGACGGAGTCGGGGCATCGGAGATCGGTAGACGAAAAGCAAACTTTGAAGACTGAAGGTCCCTCATGTTCTCAGGAAACATCGGCAATATCGGGTTGTTGTCCGAGATAGTCATCAGCAGCTCAACGAGGGTGGCGTGCGAAAGACTTGACAGGAAGCCCCGTCGCTCATCGGCCGAAAACTCCGCTGCACCAACCTCGCCTTTAGGGATTGATAATAGAGGATAATTAGGGACTAATGGCCCAGATGTAAGGTTAGGATTGCTCCGCACGACCGTTGGTTGAATGACAGAAATTTGGACAGGTCGGCATTCTCGACAGAACCATTCCTTCTCCTTGACCGCAACAACGTCTGCGCCAATAGGAGGGTCGTGACACCACTGATGCCATGCAGCATTGCACTCGTCACAGAATACGATCGAATTGCTCAATGGGCTATGGCCCCTTTGACAATGCAAGCAAATGATGATCGCATCTTTCCCTCGGCGGTGGGTACGTTTACGCTTTCGTGCGACGGCTGCATTATCAGACGCGTCCACCGAGTTGCTTACCTCCTTGGCTACCGCAGGAGTTGACGGCGCAGGTACATATAACGAAGGCCGGTTGACCAGGCGGCCGGATTTCGTTTGCGTCGCTGTTGGTGCCACATCTGATTCGTCGCTACTGGAGTCTCCGGCCCTTATGATATCTTCCCCGTCACTATCGTTATTTCGTCTGCGCTTCTTGCCGCGCTTGTTACCATTTGCCGCACCCTTTCGCTGGCGCGAGCCAGCTGCTGCTTGCGGTTTCTTGGGCTTGGCTGCCGTCTGTGGCTGTTGTGGTGTAGGCAATGAGGTTGATGCTGGTGCTGCACCATCTGACAATGTCCCATTTGGTTTAGGGGCGATTTTGATTGTAGCTGTGGGCTCTGCTGGTATGGATGCAGTCAATGGTGTTGGTGCTGAATTAACACCGACCGGCGTTGTGCTCGGCTTTGGAGCGATATTGACTGGAATTGGAGACGCCGACTGCCGTGATACTGCATTGACGGGCGTTGAACTTGTTGGTTTTAGGTCGACATTGACCGGGACTGGAGACCCCGAACTTGCTGGTGATGCGTCGACTGATATTATGCTGGGTGGTTTGGGAGCAAGATTCGGTAGGTTTGTAGGCTTTGCTATGTCTCCAGCGTTTCCTTGAGGCACTGGGGAGGCGGCCTGAGGGACCGCCGGTGGCGCCACATTGTTCGAATACACGAACGGCGCCGTAGGCAATTCAATAATTGTAGAAGAAGCCCTCATTTTTCCCATTTTTGAGTTGCTATTCTGGCTTTCGAACGTCCGAGTGACTGTTGATGGGTTCCATGTAACAAATTTATCATTATCACTTCTCTGCTGCGGTCCTTTGAGATTCCCGGTAACCCGCGCCAGTAACTCGGTAGTAGCTGCAGAGAGCCGGGGAATCTCGACCCTCTTCGAGGGAATGCTCGACGGCCGTCCGGGTAAGGAGGGAGGTAGTCCCAGGGAGGAACCAATGCTGATGCTGCGCGAGGAATCCGAAGGGGGTGAGCCAGAAATGGTGGTAGTGGTATGGAGTGTTCCGTGGTCTGATGAAGGCGCTGTTTCTATAGACGCCTGGGAGGAAGGAGCTCCATTGTGCGGTGACATATCCCCAATCCGGGTCGATGTGCACAGTTGCTCAGTCGCCTTAGTAGACTTGCTCAGAACACTGCATCTGAATCCTTACAGTTATCGGAGTGCGACGAGAGAAGTCATCATGAACGGACCCAGATTTATATACCATCACGTGATCGTGAGGAATCCATCCCCCGCGCCCTTGACAGAACCGCCTTTCATCGTCAAAAGCAATAATGCTCCTTAATTGTGTAATTGCCAGCGGCACACTGTCCAATCTGCATGGCTGGCTTGATGATTTCTCTTCTATCTGTCTCTCTATGATATCCGGGACTCTTCAGCGCGGACTAGCCGGTAGTCGCACAAAAACTAACCATGTAGGGATCATTCCTGCAGATGCGTGACCTTCCGGACCACCGGCTCTTCAGCGCAGTCTAGAGCAATCCACTGGCGAAGTGGGTCGAACAGAGCTACCATAGGATATAATCTATGCTACTACGCCATCTTTCTTCAACCGAGCAATATCGTCCTTGCCATACTCGAGTAACTCCCCCAATATCTCGTCCGTATGTTGCCCGAGGGTTGGGGGCGGTGTCCGGATGCCAGGGGTTGCGTGGGAATACTTGATGGGTGTATTCACCAACTTGATGGGACCGCAGGCTGGATGGTCAATTTCTGCAACCATGCCTCGTGCTTGGACTGCATATAATTTATCAGCGGATTGATAAATTTTCTGGAGACATTCGAGATGTATAACGTACCGTGAGAGTGGTTCAACGTTCCCTGAATATCATTGACTGCGGCATAGGGCATGCCGCTGCCCTCCAAAATCTCAAGCCATTCTTGCGTGGTCTTTTGCTTCACAGTTTCCTCAATCAGGCCATCAATATCCGTACGATGCTTTACTCGATCACTGTTGGTAACGAATCGGGGATCGGTCTTCCATTCCGGGTGTCCAAGTCGGTCGCACAACACACCAAACAGCCTATCGTTCCCGCCTCCGAAAAGAATATCGCCATCGAGCGTCTTGTAGCTGCGGTAAGGCACAATGGATGCTTACAGACAGTCAGTAGCTATAAGTCCAACACATGGTATAAGCTACTCACGGTGTGCGGTTCCCCATCTTCCCGAATCCTTCTTGCCACTGATCAGAGCGGAACTGGCAATATTCGCCAATGTCGCAACTTGACAGTCGCTCAGACACGCATCGATATGCTGTCCCTTACCAGTCCTCGCCCGCGCAAGCAAGGCGGCCATAATGGCATTCGAGGTGTACAGGCCAGTCGTCAAGTCGGTCACAGCAACGCCAACTTTCACCGGCTCGCCCTCTCTACTACCCGTGATATGCATCAAGCCCATCTCCGCTTCAACCATGACATCGTACCCCGCACGATTGCTGTATGGCCCGGTCTGACCATATCCGGTGATGCTGGCGTAGATAAGTTTGGGATTGATAGAGCGCAGAGTCTCATAATCCATGTTATATTTCTTAAGGCTACCAGGAAGGTAGTTCTCGACGAGGACGTCACATTCTTTCGCCAGCCGGTGTAGAATCTCAACACCGGACTTATGAGCGAAAGACAAACCGATTGATTTCTTGTTGCGATTTACCTATACACAGTGGTCAATTGCGCTTCTGGAAGTAGGGCAGTAGCGTAGCGCATAAACATACTCCAAGATAGTAGGCACTCTCTCCTGGGCCTTCAGACCCATCCGTGTACGTGGCGTACGGGGGACCCCAAGCTCGAGTATCATCACCGCGCACGGGGTGTTCGATCTTAATAACATCCGCTCTGTACGTTACCGTTCCAGTCAGCATTCCCACAGTCTTCTGAGTAATTGTGCAGATGCCGAAGAACATACCCTAAATCTCCCAAAATCTGGGTACAGTATGGCTGCGGGGAATGTTAGTTACATCTCCAACCCGGCGCTGTTGGAGACGACAAGCCTACTACTCACACCAGCCAAAACTCGTGTCATATCCAAGACTCGTATACCTTTCAGAGGAAGTGTATCATCAGAAACAGCAGAAGAATAGCTGCGCCATTGCGTTGTCCGCCGGGGAACATAAATGCTGCGACGGGCAATGCAAGCCCGCTGTACCCTCAGTGCGGCCGTGGGATTCATGACTGAATTGGAACGCTGGCTTAAATATACGATTTCAAAGACTATGATAAACCATAAAGATAATGATAGTTGGAGCAATATTCAGTCTAGAAGACAGTGGTAGATAAATAAAATCGCCAATGCAAGGTTCAATTAAACTACAGGGGAGATCAAGTAGAAGCGCTGGCTCTCATTCGGGGACCTCGCCGACGGAGCTTCGCAGCCGAGGTCAAGTCCGCTTTCCGCTCGACTTTCCTTCTTCAACCGCTTGATCCGCCCGCTTCCACGGTATCGCATCTACAATATCATATTAATATCCATTTCCACCATGTTCACCGGTCTCGTTGAGAAGATTGGGAGTGAGTCTCTAAACCTGCGACCATGGCCACATAAACAGCAAAACTAATCACTCTCCTCTTTCGCAGCGGTCTCGTCCCTCGAGCCTCTCGATACCTCGTCAAGCGGGGGCGGGGGTACATCATTGACTATCACGGACTGTGAGGAGATCCTCACAGATTGCCATCTCGGCGACAGTATAGCCGTCAATGGTATGAACTGCATTGCACGATACCAATTGACATACTCACATCCATTCCCATTGCACTTGATCCCTTTTTCCTCTGCTCTTCCCTCGCCATCGTTGCCCCTCCCCCTTACCCCCACTCCCCCCCAAAACCTCGAAACAATAACCCCCACCAAACCCCCCCGAAAAGAGAAACCCACCAAGCCAACACAATCGCATCAAAACAGGAACCTGCCTAACAGTAACGGCCTTCGACAAAACCTGGTTCAAGGTCGGCGTCGCCCCCGAAACCCTCCGCCGCACAAATCTCGGCTCCTTGCAGACCAACTCCCGCGTGAACCTCGAACGCGCCGTCCTGGGCGAAACGCGCATGGGCGGTCATTTCGTACAGGGCCACGTCGACACCATCGCTAAGATCCTCTCCGTGACGCCGGAGGGCAATGCGCTGGTGTTCCGTATGCAGCCGCGCGATATCGGCGTGATGCGGTATATCGTGGAGAAGGGATATGTTACGCTGGACGGGGCTAGTTTGACTGTGACGAATGTTGTGGATGGCCAGGAGGGATATTTTGAGGTGATGCTTATTGCGTACACGCAGGAGAAGATTGTCACGGCGGCAAAGAAGCCCGGGGATTATGTGAATGTGGAGATTGATATTGTGGGCAAATATGTTGAGAAGAGTGTGCAGGGGTATTTTGCTGGTACTGCGGGTGGGGATATGAAGATGTTGGAGAAGATGGTAGAGAGGATCGTGGAGGAGAAGTTGAAAAGGTAGGTCCGTGTTGTAATTACTGCATTAGTAGGGAGGGAAGAGATGACCATGCATGATGTTTACGAGCATTTAGCTATATGTGAAATAGTGATGTGAATGAAGAAAATTCTTTTGTTTCCATGTACGAGCATGAGGAATAGGCAGGATTGTGGGTATATTTTGGTACTTCTATCGGTCATGGCCAGCCTGCTGAACGTCACGAGAGACTTCCGGTCATGGCTCGCAGCATTCTGATCGAGACTCTTAAATAACTCAGTCCGTCTCGTCCGTGGCCACCTACTCCCAACGCCAACGGCAAAGGGCACAAAGAGTCACGTTCACCATCGCAGGCTTCGTCACAGTGAAATGTAACTGGTCTCCACCATCACAGCCTCGCATGCATGTGCCCAGTTCTCAGGGTCAATGTCCGAAGCAAGTAATGCAGTGGAATGTTGATGTAGCAGCTGGGCTATGAGCTGCTTGACATTAAGAATCCGGTTCAAGGTGATGAAGGTGCGGCTGTTTACTCCTCCATTGATTCGTCCTCGTCCTCAACCTCAACTTCATCCTCATCCTCATCATCGTTCTCCTGCTCCTCCGCATTATCATCTTCGAAGTCATCACTGAGCCATTCGTCCTCGTCATCCATATCAACATCATCTTCATCGTCGTCTTCAACCTTCTTGCCTTCGGCTTTAGCTTGAGCCTTGGCTTGCTTCTTCTTCTCAATGTTTGCCTTTTGTTCCTTCTTTCTTTGCTCCTTCTCCTTCTTCTTCTGGTCCCAGTTCTTGTCCAATTTGGTGACTTCATCCTCAGACTTCTTGATGAAATCGTGCCACATCACGCGACCTTCGCAGAGGCCTTCTTCAACCTTGAGCAAGCGAAGCTTCATACGAGGGCCCAGCTCAACCAACTTGACCGCCCGCTTCTCGACTCCTGGAGCATTGCTCAACTTCTTCTGCGCCTTCTCCTTCTCTCCAGCCTTCATGCGCTGCAGTTCACGCTTCGAGAGAACCTTCTTCGTGGTGCTCTCCGCCACCTCAACTTCAGCATCCGTGTCCATTTCCGTTTCACTGGCCGAGGTATACCCAGCAGCCGACGGATCCAGCAGATAATCCGCCGCATCCTCCAGCTTACCCAGGTTGGGCACAGCAGCTCCCTTCTTCTCCCTGTTCCGGATTTCCTTGGGATCAAGACGGCGAATGCGTTTCGAAACACCGGTCTTCTTCGTAGTAATGGCGTAATGACGGAGGTTCAACACATAGTGTTCTTCTTCCTCACCCTCGGGGGCGAGTTCACGGTTCAAGAGCATTACACGGCGAATGGAGGAGAGGGGAGTGGCTTGAGGGTTGATCGGGGGGAAGAGAGATTGGAAGATGGTCGTTGAGAGACTCTCCAGACGCTTAGGTACCTTAGAGTCCTCAGTGGCGTTGGGAGAGTTGAAGTTGTTCATGACCAGCAAAGGAGGCGTCTTGTGATCCTGACCACCACCTCTCGGGCGCTTCAAAGCTTTCTCAACATCACGGCATAGGGAGTAGTTTTCCACCTGGAAGTGCAAAGTCGGACCCCGGGGCGTAAGCGCCAAACGCATATTCGTGTTTCCAGTCGCCGACTTGGAGAAAAGCATAAGATGTGTGACTCCAAGGGGACCAGTCATAGTCGTGTAATCCCTTAGTCTGTTTGATTTGCGTTCCTAAAATCCAATACCATTAGTCGTAGTCCAGCTGAGAACGGGAAAGAATTCAAAGCTCACCTTCAATCTCACAGCCGTATCCGGCTCCATCATCGTTCGCACATCTTTGACCAACTGGCTCACACTAGCACCGACTTCTGAAGCGCCGACGCGGATAACCATCGACTTCGGAGTCTTGCTCATAGATGCGGCGCCGCCTTTGGCAGCAGCAGCCGTGGCATTTTGCGCGCGAACATGAGTGCGCTTCTTAGTACGTGCCTTCGCCATGGTGACAAAAGCCTGAGGATGAAAATGAAAATAACGGAGGAATAAACAATCGCTCCGGATGGATGTGCCTGGGCAGTGACTTTTTTTCTGACCCGAAGAAAAAGTATGAGCGGAGCAAAGCCGCGGAGGAGCCCGGATCAACGATTTTGCGGCGCCTAAAATTATACTTATTTTACTTTCGCAATGATGTCGACAAGTTTTTGAATTTTCGCTGCTGCCAGATAATTCCATTTCTACACGATAAAAATGCCTGGAGTCAAGAAGCGCAAGGTCGCCCGTGAGGCACCTGCGCCTGCGCCCGCACAAGAGAGCGATGTTGAATCTTCCACCCCAGAGCAAACGCAAGAACCAGAAGCACAAGAGCAAGAACAAGAAGAGGGACAGTCCAAGACGTTCAAGGAACTAGGAATCATCGAACAGCTATGCGAGGCTTGCGAGACCATGGGCTACAAAGCGCCTACACCTATTCAGCGGGAGTCGATTCCTCTGGCTCTTCAAGGCCGTGATTTGATCGGTCTTGCAGAGACCGGAAGTGGAAAGACGGCAGCGTTTGCTCTTCCCATCCTCCAAGGTACGTTTCCAGCTACAACAATCTTGTATCGCCTTTTATCGGCGCTCCCAAATATGACTAGATCAAATAACTAACATCACCCCACAGCCTTGATGGAAAAGCCCCAACCCTTCTTCGGCCTCGTCCTCGCCCCAACCCGAGAACTCGCCTACCAGATCTCCAAATCTTTCGAGTCCCTAGGCGCCAGCATGGGTGTGCGAAGCTGCGTCATCGTCGGTGGCATGGACATGGTCTCTCAGTCAATTTCCCTCGGCAAAAAGCCCCATATCATCGTGGCCACCCCCGGTCGTCTTCTGGACCACCTCGAGAACACCAAGGGCTTCTCCCTCCGCAACCTGAAGTACCTGGTGATGGACGAAGCGGATCGACTTCTTGACATGGACTTCGGACCCCTCCTCGACAAGATCCTGAAAGTCCTGCCCCGTGAGCGCCGCACATTCCTCTTCTCTGCGACGATGAGCTCAAAGGTCGAATCCCTCCAACGTGCCTCCCTCTCCAACCCGCTCCGTGTCTCTGTCTCCACGAGCAAATACCAGACCGTCTCGACTCTCCTCCAATCTTACCTCTTCATTCCCCAGAAGCACAAGGACCTGTACCTTGTCTACCTGTTGAACGAATTCGCCGGCCAGAGTACTATCATCTTCACGAGGACGGTGAACGAGACGCAGAGACTTGCGTTCTTGCTTCGTGCGCTTGGCTTCGGCGCTATCCCGCTGCATGGACAGCTTTCACAGTCTGCTCGTCTCGGTGCGCTGGGCAAGTTCCGTGCTCGTAGTCGGAATATTCTTGTCGCGACGGATGTGGCTGCTCGTGGTTTGGATATTCCGTCCGTTGATGTTGTGCTTAACTTTGATTTGCCGGGTGGTATGTATACCCGGTCTTCTGTTATGGGAGTATTATTTGAGTCGGCTAATGTTTTTATGTATTAGATTCTCCCAGCTATGTCCACCGTGTCGGACGTACTGCCCGTGCTGGAAAGAGTGGTCTTGCTATCAGCTTTGTCGCCCAGTACGATGTTGAGGTTTGGCTGAGGATCGAAGGTGCTTTGGGCAAGAAGCTCAAGGAATACGACTGCCCTAAGGATGAGGTCATGGTGCTTGGTGAGAATGTCGCGGAGGCGCAACGGCAGGCGATTATGGATATGAAGGATTACAATGAGAAGAAGGGAAGCAGGGGCAAGAAGTTCGGTGGGAAGCGTTCTCGGGATGAGATGGATCAAGAGGAGGGTTAGGCCTGAAGGGTTCAAACCTCTTGGCGCCGCATTTTACGAAGTTAATACCCAAAATTGATGATTGTTCACCTGCTTGCTGTGTCGACATTTTCATAAAAGTCTAGATGTGCTCCAATCAACTATAATGCCAGAAGAATGTATTTAAAACGTGAAAACAGATCTGAGAACATAAAATGCAACTTCTTTTGCTTCAATGCAAGTTAAACTAATTTCATAAATTCATTCGTAAAAGTTCCCAGGATGCTTGCAAAGCAGAACGGAGTTTTCCTGTTCATGCACTTGCCATTGAGTAAGTATATCTGATATCTTTTTGCAGGTGAAGCGGACTTTGCTATTTAGAGCAGTCCGTCAATCCAAGGCAGCATGGGTTCAAGCAGACTGCAATGTTTCCTTGGCAGTGCCAGCCTCGCGGACGGCGTTGGCGACACGGGTAGCAAGATCGTCCGCTTCAGAGCGGCTTGCTGCCTCGGCATAGACACGCACCGCATCTTCCGTGCCACTTGCACGGGCAAAACTTCTGCCCTTGTTGTAGCGGGACTGGAGAGACTCAATCTTAGCCTGCAGGCCGGCGGGCGACTCGAGCTTGCGCTCGGCATCGTAAGCCTTGAAGATGGAGCGGTCTGCAACCTCCACGCGGACAAGTCGCGAGGGAAGGTCGGTGTAAGTGGCAAGCCATTCCTTGGGGCTCCAGCCCTTGTGAGCAAGAATAGCTTCGACAAGGAGCATGTCGGAGATGGCATCACCGACCGCTTGGTTGATCAGGTCAGTGAGAGCCTGGAGGCACTCAAGGGAGCGCTGCTGGGCAGGAGACTGAGGCTCGGTGTTCTTAATGGTCTTCAAGGCGGTCTCAGAGAAAGTGATGGTACCGTGACCGTTGGCTTCAAAGTAGACGCCAACATCGAAGCGCAAGGCCGCATGGTGCAGATGCTTAACACCGGTATTGGTGCAAACGGAAGGCAGCTTCAGGACCTTCTCGATGTAGTCCGTGCTAGAACCATTCGCATAAGCAGTCTGGACGACGCCGATCTTGAGCTTCTGCGCAATTCCAGCGCTGCGCGCAAGATCGCCGATGAAGGAGGCCGCAAGAGTGGCAATGCGGTCACCATCAAGCAACCTGAAAGTGTTGCTCTCGTCGATGAAGTAGTACACGATACGATCGGCATCACCATCCAACGAGGCACAGCGGTCAAGAGCAGCTGCCTTGGAGGATGGTGGGGCCCGTTGTTTCGTTTTGACATAATCGGCACCACACTAGAAGCGAGTTAGTATGCGGAATAGAAAGGCAAGCTTAACAGAGGGGGTTCCTTACTTCAAAGTTCAGGCTATCAGGGTTAATGACATCATCATTAACAATCTTGATATCCATGCCACCCTCCTCCGGGCCGGGCAGGTACTTGATGAGCTCTCTCAGCTTGGGTCCGCCAACACCGTTCGCGCAGTCCACGGTCAAGGAGCCCTTGACCTTGACACCACGCATAACTCTCTTGAAAGCTTCGGCAAGCTTCTCATAGTAGCCCTGCTCTGTGGGCTCTCCATACTCATACTGGGTGCCCAGGGTGTTCTTGCAGCGCACAACATAGTGGAGCTGAGGGGTGGTCATGTACTTCAGATCGAGGAATTCGACCTCCGAAGCGGTAAGGGCGGCGTTGATGACAGAGACCAGACGCGAGCCAGAGGCACGAGTGTCGCGAGCGAAGACGACACGAGCTGGGTTCTCCATGCTGACATCAATCTCCTTGATGAGTTCGTCAAAGACATCGCCAACCTTGTCAAGCGGGGCGTTGGCAAGTCTGGTGGCATATGTTTCCCACTCAGCCTACACCGATGTGAGAAAGTGGTCGCATTTCAGTATCTTGCAGCTCTGGGAGCTTACCTCCAGCATTTCACCCTATGCAAGGTTAGTCACCTATCGTATCATTGCCAATACTTCATACTGGCGAGGTTCACATCGACTCACCATGGGATCAATCAACTTGACGCCATTATCTTCCGCGGGGTTGTGACTGGCGGTGACCATGACACCAACCCATTGTCCACTCAGCTTTCTGGAGCGAAGCCCGGCAAGCAAGCCCACGGTGAAGACTACGGTGTTGAGGAGATCACTGGCAATGCGTTGGTCAAAGTGTAAACAAAAGGGCGGTCGCGGGGTATTGTGGAGGCGGGGTCGATCCTTCGAGGTGTTTATCGGCAGGGAGCAACTTACGCCTTCATACGGAACTATAAGCAAGGGAGGTGATTAGTACATATTGCTTCAGATGATGTCCAGAGACTCGGTTTTCGAAAAGGAGCGGACTTACCCCCGCGGTACCATATTGGAAGACCTTCCCTTCGGGCTTGGAGTACTGCGACGCCGCTTCAGCGATCGCCTTTCTGATAGCCGGGGACGCCATTGTGGCGCAATCTAAACCAAGGATATGTTGACTAGCACCAAAAGAGCTTGAATAACTGAGACCTCAGGGGGCCAAGGGACATATAATATGAAGCGAAAGGGGGGTAGAACCACAATAAAAAAAAAACGAGAGAGGGGAGGGTCAAATAAAAGATTGGGTGAGACACGCTCCGTCCAGCTCAGGTTAGTTTCCTGCCCCTGTTCCCCTGTACTGCCACCCAGGGTCCCGAGCGGTGGGCGGTGAGGCACCCGCAACATTCATGGCATGGCGTGGTGCAATGCAGAAGCGGGAGGAAAGGAGTCGAAGAATGGCATGGCATGGCATGGCATCTCTTGTCTTTTGCTAGACCTGGTATTCAGTGCACAATAAACTAAAAAGAATCGTCCATTATAAATGCTAGGAATACCCTATTCATTGGCTGATTACCTGCGCGGTTGGTTGAAAACTACTCTATCATATAATACAAGCTACTACTATCCGATCATCTGCACTGGTGATACGAAGCTGGACCAATAGACCGTATGATGATGGTCATGCGTGTCCAGATACGTAGGATACATAATCCATTGAGCTGAATCAGGCTTTCAGCCTATCGCCCGCCACATCGTTTTGGACATCCTTGATGAGAAACCTATCGCAATTGTCAGCCACGTAGTAAACCTATGGTCAGATTCCACCATAAACTCACATGTACCACCAAGCAGTTGGGATTACGGTTCCAAGATGCCAAAGGCTATGCGCATCAATCAGCTCGTGCCAAGGGGGAAAGTCCAGCAATTCGAGGCTCATAGCCAAAATAATCCAGACCACGATCATTCCGGGCCAGGCCATCCATTCCTTGCCGTACTTGCGGTAACGGTGAATACTGAAAGCCACCCACAGGATGTTCTGGGCCATTCCTATCACGATATTTGCGATCATGTTGTAGGTGTAGTCCCACGACCAGAAGCTGAGGTAGCACACATGCAATGTGTAGAGCAAAGCACAGACCGTGGTCAACAGACGGCGTAAAGTTGGTTTATGTCTAGGCTTCTCTTGGTCCAGACGGAAGATCCGGAGGAGTGCAAGATAGAAACCATACATCACATTAGCCCCCGCTCCAAAGTAGTCCAACTTTTCAGTCAAGGACAAGTCCCTCATGTGGAAAATGGCGCTGAAGGTCCAGCATGCCAAACCGCAGTATCCGAAGGCAATATAATAGGGTCGCAGGGAGTGCCAAGCTGGTACCGTCTCACGAATGCGTCCTATTCCGTGCCAGTGGGCAAGAAAGTTGAACAAAGAGAAGAGAACGGAAAATGGTTCCTGCATCCCCAGGATTCTGCGGAATGGCCATTTACCATGGAATTGTAATACTGGGTTCAACATGGGAGAATCACGAGCGACACGGCGGTCCGTCACGACATGTTGACAGGTATAATCGCATTCGGAAGGGCATGTCCACAGCATGAGGCGAAGATGGAGAGCTGGTAGCAGATTGGTTAGTAGCTAAGCTGGTAGAAAGTACTGCTGACGTAACTCACGAATTACTTCATTGCCATCCTGGCAATTCTCAGCCTGGCAAACCTGTTCGTTGCTTAGCCATTGGCTCCCGGGTTGTGGATGCTATGAGGTTCCGGTTGATGTACCTTGACGCATTCTTTGAAGTCGGGAAGGTGGTCACCAAGAGAGGCTGTCGATTTACCAACAAGAGCAGCAATAAGAAGGAAAAGAAAGCAATAGTAAGTACTCCTCCTTATCTTTCCTATAAACATGGTGCTTTTCGTGTTCGTTGTATGGCAATCCAGTTGAGAAGGGAAGCTTCAGGAGTGAAACTAACAGCTCAAACGCTAGACGGGCGGCATGTAGCTCCGGCGGGGGCGGAGCGGCATCACCCACGGCAACAATGGAACAACAGCTTGGCAACCGATCGATTAGTTCAACACCTTTAAAGGCATCCATTCTCACCGTTGCACTATAGATAGTCAGAAATAGAAGCAAGACCATCTCAAGCTCATTTGTGAATCTTACTCAAATCTACAAAGTAATTGATCCAGCCCCACTTTTCCGGTGTGCATCTGTTTCAGCACCAGGCTTGGGATGCTTGTTTCCGTTCGTTCATGTTAGGGAATCTTACGCGGTACTATGCACCACCAGTAGCATGCGAAATACGGAAAAGCAGTTGTGCGACCATACGAGGCTATATATAGCATTCTTTGGAAAGTCCCGGAAATACCAACCGCTTAGACATCGTGCCAGCGGCCAAACTTCGATCATTCTAGGGACAGCATCGAGGCCGGCACCAAATTCCATATAACCGCCAACTGGCAAGAGTTATGCTCTACTGGCTGGTATAGCCCTAGTCAAGATAGAAGGGCTTGTAAGTCACATGATATTTCTGTCTTAGTACTAGCGTATATTAAGATAGGCTAACCTTATCTAGACTAGCGGGAATTGCCATCGAGAGGAGAAATTCCTAACAAGGCAAAAGTTAAAAAAAAAGAGGGCCGCGCTCGAAGGGATCTTTGAGGCGCTTATATCTTTTTCTCCAGAACATAGCTGTATAGCATTTCTCTTTCCACAGTTTTTTCTTTTCTTTTTTTTTTTTGCTCCTTGCATATTCCTCTTCTACTGTGCTTCTGCTTCTTCTTCTTCTTCCTCTTTTGTCACATCGACTATCACCAAATCGACCGATCCGCAAATATGGCCGGAGAAGCAGACTCTGCTGCTGCCATGACCAGCAGCAGTGCTGATCGCATGGTAGGCATGGACCACGCCGAAGTGCGTTATTTTACAAGGTATGGCCAAGATAAGAAGTCTCCTTCGCATCATTCATGCTGACCAAAATCACAGTTATGATCACCATGGTAAATACTATCAATGACCTAAGAAATCTAGTCGGATGTGGCTAATCTCGGACCCCGCTCAGGCATTCATGAGGAGATGCTTGTAAGTGCGGTCCTTCCACAACACCTCGAGTATCGCTAACCACAAACGGTTATTTAGAAAGACGATGTTCGTACTAGATCGTACCGTGACTCTATCTACCAGAACCGTCACATCTTCAAGGACAAGGTTGTTCTCGATGTCGGTTGCGGCACTGGTATTCTCAGCATGTATGTGTTCAAGCCGATCGACTGGTCAACAATGGGATATCTAACACATTCGGTCTGAAAGGTTCGCCGCCAAGGCAGGTGCCAAGCATGTGATTGGTGTCGATATGTCGTCGATCATTGAGAAGGCTCGTGAGATTGTTGCTGTGAATGGCTTGTCGGACAAGATCACCCTGCTCCAAGGAAAGATGGAGGAGGTTGTCCTCCCTTACCCTAAGGTTGATATCATCATCTCCGAGTGGATGGGCTACTTCCTTCTCTATGAGAGCATGTTGGACACCGTTCTTTACGCCCGCGACCGTTACCTTGTTCCTGGTGGCAAGATCTTCCCCGACAAGGCCACCATGTACTTGGCTGCCATCGAGGATGGCGAGTACAAGGATGACAAGATCGGATGTAAGCACACTTTCCTTGACGCCACTATTCTTAATTGAAGTTGAGACGCTAACGGATCTTAGTCTGGGACAATGTGTATGGATTCAACTACAGCCCGATGAAGGAGATTGCCCTTACCGAGCCCCTTGTCGATACTGTCGAGATGAAAGCGCTTGTTACAGACCCTTGCCCCATCATCACGCTTGATCTTTACACTGTTACTCCGGCCGACTTGGTCTTCAAGGTTCCATTTTCGCTTCCTGCCAAGCGCAGTGACTTCATCCACGCGGTGATCGCTTGGTTCGATATTGAATTCGGCGCATGCCACAAGCCCATCACCTTCTCCACCGGTCCCCATGCCAAATACACCCACTGGAAGCAGACCGTCTTTTATCTTCGCGATGTTTTGACCGTCGAAGAGGAGGAAGTTGTTTCCGGTGTTCTCGAGAACAAGCCGAACGACAAGAACAAGCGCGACCTTGACATCAGCATCTCCTACAAGTTTGAGACCACGGATCCGAACCGTTACTCTGAGGGCAGCTGCTTCTACAGGATGTGAGTACCCGTTTCTGACAGTATAACATATCGTGTGCTAACCCTTGAAGGTGCTAAATTCCTGGCCGTCCCTTATTTCTTCGGTTGCTTAGCCGCTTTGCTTGGAGTCGATTTATGTTCTACCAGTAACATGAAAAGGTTCTGCCCTGTGGGCAACATAGCATTTTAAGGAAGTTCACTTGTATGGATGTCGGTCTGATGGAAGGTTTTATTTTTGGACTTCCTTTGATTTCAGTCATGCCATTTCTCATCATTTTTTGTTTTTCGGCGTATACGGAAGGCAAGGCAACGGCATCATCAGTTGGCGCGGTACGGAGAGATGATTTCCACAAGGACGATTATGAAGCTCCTCGAATTTCCCAAGTAGATACCCCGAGTCGACGCTCAGTCTAACACCTCCGACGTTCTGTCTATGCATTACTTAGCTTCAGGTCTATTAATTTCACGAAGTTCAATTAAATGGTCCACTACCACGGATATTTCTCTCAAAGTCCATTTCTCTTGCCAATAAGATGAAAGGAAACAATTCATAATGTACATTGAAAGGCATGGCAGTATCGTCATTAACTTATAAAAGCTCGTAGAAACAAGCAGTTATCGGATGGGGAATCTTCTCGGCCTAGTCGGTTGATTCGTGATCAAGCCTCGGTTTGGCCGGAGCCCCGCAACGGCATGTACTACACTAACTGCCCCTTCTGGGGTCCTTTCTCCGCATTATCTATCTTCGACCACCAGATAAAGAAGCGTCCCCCGTAGGCCCTATCATTGTCCTTAATCGTTAATCGTGTTTGGTGGATTGTTTGCATTTTAATCAACCTTCCATAATGTCAACCCCAGGAGCTGGTCATGAATTTCCTCGCCAGGAGGTGTCCTGGCTCAAGCGTGACGCTCTGCTATTTGCCTACAGTATCGGCTGCAAGGCCGATGAGCTGCATTTCCTCTACGTGAGTTCCACTTTATAGCCTTATATCAATTATACACTTATCTTACTGAGGTTCTCACAGGAGCTTCACCCAAACTTCGCTGTCTTTCCCACATATCCTCTAATCCTTCGTATGTATAATGTCCTCGGCCAAGCCTAAGAGGTGAAGTGGTGTTTAAGAGTCATGTTTCGGATATGAACTCTCGGGGTTGATTGTTTACAGCTGGATGGAATGAATATCCCGCTAATAATATATTCCTTGCAGCGTTCAAGCTCACTGATCAAGAAGTAACGGACTTCTATGCCCGCTCTGGCGGATCTCCTATCCCTGGTGTTCCGAAGTTCGACTATCGCCGCGTCGTTGACGGCCAGCGCAAGCTCACCATCCTCAAGCCCTTGCCCCCAACGAGCGAGGGTAAGAAGTTCGAGCTACGCAACAAGGTCATTGGAGTCTATGACAAGGGCAAGCCTGGCACTGTCATCGAAACAGAACAGACCATTGTGGATAAGGAGACAGGTGAGATCTACTCAAGAACTGTGGGCAGCGGTTTCTTCGTTGGCCAGGGTAATTGGGGTGGACCGAAAGGTAAGGCTTCCAAAGGCACTCGTTACATCAAAGAGTCTTGTTACTGACGCGGTTATTTTTAGGCCCCAGCAATGTCAACTATGCCCCACCTGAAGGCAAGCAGCCAGATGCCGTCCATGTAGTTCAAACAACTCCGGAGACAGCCCATCTCTATCGGTGAGATACCGCCCCAGCCACATAAGAGTACTAGCGTCGTGGAAAAGGTGGATCCTCAATTGCTGACAATGATTCCGCTGATTAGACTCAACGGGGACTACAACCCTCTACATGCTACCCCCGAGCCAGGTGAGAAGATGGGCTTCGGGGGCGCCATCGTCCATGGCCTCTTCAGCTGGAATTCCGCTGCTCATGGTATCCTGCGGGAGCTCGGTGGTAGTGATCCGAAGAATCTTAAAGAGATTCAAGCGCGCTTTGCTTCGCCAGTTATACCTGGTGACAAGCTTATCACTGAGATCTGGAGAACGGGCAGTCTCCAAGACGGTTATGAAGAAATCCGATTCGTAACCAAGAATGGTAAGGGCAAGGCGGTCCTGAGCAACGGCCGCTGCCTGATGAAGGTCACCGGCCCAAGAAGCAAGCTATGATTGGCACCTGTGGTCTAGTTAGTTAGTGTAGAGATCTGTCACCAGCTGTTCCTCTATTAGTTAGCCCAGCAAATTTACGGGCAGTTAATCTAATATTGGAGTCCATCGGCCATCCACTACGTGTACACTGAAATCAAAGGGAAGACAAGATCAGAATGGCGGGCCGAGGCCAAATTGACGGCTGCCACGTGACGTGGGGCCTGATATGGGATGACATTGCGGAGATCCATTGTTTCCCCTCAATAATCCTCGTTTGGCGTATAGTAAGATAAAAATGCATAGTTTGGCCAGATTCTCCTTTCTCAGGGCCCTTAGTCCCTTGAAGCACGCAAGGCATGACACCCCAGGACTTTCTCACATACAGTAATGGTTGACCGAGGTACTAGCATATCGCGTGCCGTGTCATCATTTACCCCGGGATACGTTGGAGTGGTAAGAGGCACATCACCGGATTTATCGAAGAATAGCAATACTGATTCACGGAGTTACACCCTCCGCAAAGGCTCACAAATTATCAACCATCTCAACTCGATACCCCACGCTAGTACGCGCGAATTCATCTGTTGCAGCCAATGCCGGGGCCACATCCGGTAGCAGCACAAACGAGGATCCATGGCCTGTCCACTTGAAACATTCTAAGTGGGAGTCGTTGCAGCTCGGTCATGCAGGTCAAAACAGCAACT